ATATGTCAGGAGTGCTCTGATGGTGTTTCCTGCTTGGCAGGGGGTTGGACTTGATGGCCCTTGTGGTCTCTTCCAACTCTATGATTCTATGAAACATTCCCCTTGTGAACGCACAGCGGTTTGCTTGTTGCAGGCTCGTCTGAGCCTCTCTATAGGAGATTCCTGGTAAGATCCCTTCTTGTCCCTCTTAAAAGAATAGACACGACCATCTTACGAAAGTCAACATAAAAGTAATTTGCTCACAATCATTCAGTTCACAATTGGATCCCTGAAAGCAGACTTAGGTTACAAACCTATATACACATGTGGAACTATCCCATAAGGGAGTTAGTTCCTAAGTGACTGCGAACAGGCAGTCACTTCTGCTAACACATGGAAAAGCAAAATGGAGGAGAGAGAGCAAGAGAAGAACGTGTGCTCCCCTACCCAGAGTAGGCCACACCCACACCTAGTCACATGCAGAGAGGAAGTCCGTCCCAGCTCAGGAGGAAACAGGAAGTATTCTCCTGGCTGGTACAGAGCATCCCCTAGCATGTCCCTTCCGGGAATGTTGTACTTGACTGCTATGTGTTTCTCATCCCACAACCTCCTCCTGTTCAGCCCCTCCCTCTGGCTGGTCAAAGTCTCCCTACTTCCTGATGGGACCTTAGGTACCCATCTCCAAACCTGTCTCTGCTCCTTCTTCCTCTGGCATCTGGGCTGCTGAGTCGTGCCAAATCCAGGGGCCCTTGACGCTTCCCCTCCTGCCAGTGTTGCGGGCAAGGTCAGATTATAATGGTGCAACTGTAGCAATTGCATCAGAGTCCATTCCAGTAGGGAGCCTGGATTCTGAGCTATTATTATTTTTAAAACTATGTATCTAGCCCTCTGAAAAGGAATGTTACGAAGCAAAATGTGCAGGCATTTTTCTGAGCAGTTTCTGTGAGAAATTCTGCTCCCACCTGCCCACCACTGCTGTTTTCTCTTCAGATTGTTTCCTTCTAATGCCACTTTGCAGATGAGAAGTAGTGCCTGGAGTCTGAAAATACAGCTTGGCTATATAAACATACAGCTCAAATTTTAAGAGTGAAAATGATTTCTGGCCTTTGAGCCTGCAGAGAGAGATTTGAAAGCTTGTAGTCAATGTGAAATCCTGCAAGCCTGAGTCACTGTGGTTTCCAAGCAGGATTTGCAATGGTTGAGACTCCTCCCTGGGTCTTGTAGAAGAACTAGGCAAATCTGCAAACTTGCATGATTTAGGCAGACTGCAGAATCCAGCAACTCTTGGTGCAGAATATTGGCTCAGAAAGTTAGCACAGCTCTGTTGTGAGGGTCCGGATTCAGCATAAAAGAGAGCCCAAACACCAGGAAATGTTGCGACACTCAGAATATCTGTCCTGATAGCTGATGCAGCTTTCTGCTGGTGAAGCGGGAGAGGTTTGTGCCAACATTTTACAATTCCAAACAACATTTACGGTAACTCCATTAGCAGTACTGACATCCCATAATTACTCACAGTTTAGGAGAGGTCTGCCATGTTCTCAATGCTACTTGTTAAAAATATAACTGTCAGTTACTTTGCAATGTGTTGTAAACAAGAAGCCATCCCTACTTCGACAGCAAACCATAACTTGTCAAAGTGACAGCAGCAGACTGACAGGAACATGGTGCTTAGGGGGGAAAGGGAGAGATGGAATGTTTTCCAAATGAACATCTTCATGGTGGTTTAAAATATCTCTGTGCATTTGTTGTTTTAGAAACCAGGGTAGCAGGTACCCAGGGGGGTGCAGAGAATCAACATTATTCTATGGATAAATTAAGCACAAGATGTACCAAGGGGGAGGGAAGTGACAAGCTGCAAACTAAAGACCCAGGTATGTTCAAAGTCCACAGCCTGCCAGGTGTTTCTGCCATGCAGTTGTCATTCTGCTCAGTGGGTCTACACAGTGTCTTCCTCCAGAAAGGCTTTGGGCTTGACTGATCAGGGCTTGAAGGGGATTGATTTTGAACAAATGTAATCCAGGAACAAGAGATGGAGCTGAGCTGAGGAGGCTCTGTAGAAACCAGGACAGTCCTCGGGGAAGAGGATGCTGCTGTGAGAATGGCCAGTAGTGATTCGGGTTACTTTGAAATGGAGAGCTGGCAGGAATTTTAAGGGACTCCCCTGCATTAGGGGCCACGCACTCTCAGGCATCTGGCCGTCTCCCCAGGTACACCCAAGGCTCCATTTGCACCATATGTTTAAAGCAGTGTTTCCCAAACTTGGGTCTCCAGCTGTTTTTGGACGACAAATCTCATCATCCCTAGCTAGCAAGGTCAGGGATTATGGGAACTGTTGTCCAAAAACAGCTAGACACCCAAATTTGGGGAATGCTGGTTTAAAGCAACATCATGGCACTTTAAACCGTCATGGTTTAAACCCCAGAGAGTCTTGGGAAATGTAGACTGTTCAGGCTGTTGAGAGCTGCCAGGAGACTCCAATTCACCTTGCAGAGCCACAGGTTTCAGAGTGGTTTAGCAATCAATCCCTCTTCCCAGGGAACTATGGGAACTATAGCTCTGGGAGGACTAGGGGTCTCCTAACAACTCTCAGTGCACAAGTGATATTACCACCGTTTTGTTTCAAAAGTTGTGCCCCATGTCCCTGCCTACAGCGTCAGGTGCCAGTGAAGGCGCATGACACAACCAACTGCACATCTTTAGGTCTCTGTGTGTGGCTTGCAACTGAACAAGGGAATCCATACACTTGCTGGATCGGGATGTAAATGTAAATGATTTCTAAGAGTGGTGTACAGCAGGCCGGTCCAACTTTTCTTACCAAGTGGGCTGCAAGAGCACTTCAACATGGAACCCACAGGCCACACACTGAACTGAATTTCCATATTGGTAAAAGCAGAGACATCACCTTGCCAACAAAGGTCCGTATAGTGAAAGCCATGATTTTCCCAGTAGTGATGTATGGAAGTGAGAGCTGGACGATCAAGAAGGCTGATCGCCGAAGAATTGATGCTTTTGAATTATGGTGCTGGAGGAGACTCTTGAGAGTCCCATGGACTGCAAGAAGATCAAACGTATCCGTTCTTAAGGAAATCAGCCCTGAGTGCTCACTGGAAGGACAGAGACTGAAACTGAGGCTCCAATACTTTGGCCAACTCATGAGAAGAGAAGACTCCCTGGAAAAGACCCTGATGTTGGGAAAGATGGAGGGCACAAGGAGAAGGGGACGACAGAGGACAAGATGGTTGGACAGTGTTCTCGAAGCTACCAGCATGAGGGAGGCAGTGGAAGACAGGAGTGCCTGGCGTGCTCTGGTCCAGGGGGTCACGAAGAGTCGGACACAACTAAACGACTAAACAACAACAACAACAATATAATATTCTGTAATAATATAATATAATATAATTTTTAATATACAGTTAATAGATTTAATTGAATATATATAATTAAAGGCACAATTAATAGATTTAGTATATTGAATTCTTAAACAAATTTAATTCACAAACAGCTGTGTGAGCTTTTGTTACCAATACATGACACAATTTTTTAAAAGGTTTTAAGATTTTTTTTATTGAATGTTGCAGAGGGCCACCAAAAAGGCCTTGTGAGCCTCATGCTGCCCACAGGCTGTGGGTTGGACCCCCCTGGTGTAGAATACTGGATGAGGACCTGGGAGGCCAGAGTCTGAATCAGTCAAGAAGCTCAGTGGGTGACCTTGCGCCAATCACGGTCTCTTAGTCAATCTAACTCACAGGGTTGTTGTGAAAATAAAATGAAGAGGTGGATAACTATGAATGCTAACTTAAATTCTTAGGAAGAAAAGTCAGATGTAAATGCAAAAACAAATAAAGAAATGAGCTGGTGCAGGGTGGTTGATGCTATTATATGCTTTTATTTATTTGCTTATTTGTTATAATCTGCTTTTCATGTCGCCTGGGTCTCAAAGCAACTTACTAAGAATAAAACCATACACTATACAGAATTTAAAGCCTTAGAGTAATGCGGTCAGAAATTTTGAACAGGCAGTGGGAAACTATATGGAGCCCACCCAGGAACTAAAACAGGAGTGTGCCCTGACAGAACAGATGAGAGAAGAGAACGTTGCTGAATCTTGGGCGCCAGAGATGGAGGGAGCTGTGGCCCTGCAGGAACATGAGCTTTTGGATTTGACAAATGAACTTGGAAAAAGCCAGATTTGGAAAGATAAAGCTTGAACTGGTTTGGAAATGGGGGGTTGGATAGACCCCCCCTATGCAGGGATGTTTGGACTTTCCAAGTCTGGCAATGGGCCGTGAGATGTTTGGGGCTGTGGGGGCTCTTAATTTTGGAGGGATTCTGAAACATGTTTTTAAATACCACATGGAGTTTAGTCTGGACTATGGAAAAGGGTCAAAAACACTACCAAGCTGGAGTTCCCACGAGTGAAAGGAGAATATGAAGAAGAGCCGCGGAAGGGACATGGAAGAGACTTAAGGGCCTCGGATATAAGGTTACCAGGTTAATGCGCTAGATCAATGGGATAAAAGGACTGATAAAACCCGGGACCAGGAGGAAGGGACGCTGGATGAAGATTGGATTGTTTTTATTTCTTTTTTCTTTATTATTAGGATTGTTTTATAAAATTGATGAATGTTAGAAAAATGTTGGAACGAAATTACTTGACTCTAGTGAAAATGTTTAAAGAATTAGGTAAGAATATTATGGTTATGAGAAGTTGGTAAAAATAAGATTTAAATTTTAAGTTTTAAGGTTTTCTATAAGACAAGATGAAAATAGATTAAGGTAATGTAATGACAGAATATTATGAAATATGGAAAGGATTTGCTGTGATAATTAATAACCAGGATACAAAAAAAGGGAGGAGGAGGAGGTCAAAGAAAGAAGGTAATGAAAGTTGAGGATTTGAGAATGATGGTTTTGTTTTTGTCTGTTTGTGGTGTGTTTTTTTTTTTTGAATTTGTATTGTTTGATGTGCTTTGTTTTTTCTTTGTTTTCTCTTTTTCTTTTTCTGCTTGTTCTTTTTTGTAATTCTAAAAAATTTTCAATAAATATCATTTAAAAAAACAAAACAGAATTTAAAGCCTTAATTAAAAGAGTGTATAGGTTTTGTTTGCTATTGTAGATGATCCCAGATCCAGGGAAAGCTTCAGTAACCAGACATCTCTCTCTAACGGGGTACTTTTCTTCTAAAAATTGAATTGCTTTGATTTTCAGAGAAGAGACTAGTCTGAGAAACAGACATGACACTTCTCTGCAAATATAGAAACCCTAATGACTTTCTAAGTAATGAGCTCAGGGAACATTACTAGTGTCACAACACTCCAAAGGGAGGAAATACTGATGTCATTTACATCTGTAAGTGACAACTCAAAAGTCTCAGCAGCATTGGTGCAGCTTTCACAACAAAGTGTCACCTTGAGACTTTTCTCAAGTGACAGCTATTTAATAGCCTCTTGAGCTTCAGCTCTGAGACATCTGACCCAGTTAGCAACGTGAAGGGACTGGAAAGGGGTTTATTTTTTTGCTGTAAATCTAATGGCTCCTTAAATTCACATATCATTATAGAGTATACTGGTGGTACCTTTTCCCAAAGAGAATGAGTAGAATATATACCACTGCAATCAGTTTTATTGTATATAGCCAAAGGCCTTGACAATGGATGATAGAGAATAAAAGGAAACTTCCATCTAAAATCATACAACATAACTGATCAGAAAGGTTGGCAGTTTGACTCTGTGCAACAGCGTGAGCTCTCTTTGCTTTGCCCCAGCTTCTGACAGCCTAGCAGTTCGAAAGCATATCAGCATGAGTAGATTGGTACATACTTCTGTGGCGGGAAGGTAAACGGCGTTTTCATGCGCTCTGGCTTCCGTCACTGTGTTCCATTGTGCCAGAAGCAGTTTAGTCATGCTGGCCACATGACCTGAAACGCTGTCTGCAGACATTGAAGATGAGCACCTCACCCCATTGTCTAATTCGACTGGACTTAACCGTCCAGAGGTCTTTTACCTTTACCATTTGGATAACAAAGAATAATGAAGATGTGGTTCTGAATAGAACAAAATAGTTTTGTATAAGGGGGATTGCTAAAAAGAATCAAATAGTTCCGGTTCAAAGTAATCAATAAATTTGCTGGCTGTGTGCTACTAGATCTAGTTACTCTTGTCAGGTACAGCAAATATTACATTAAAAAGCCTGGCTATCACTGACTGTATGTATGCTGCTTTCTGCTTATATTAGTAGATACAGTCGAGCACAAGACTTCTAATCTCAGAGTCAAGGATTTGAGCCCCATGTTGAGCAAAAGATTCCTGCATTGCAGAGGGTTGGACTAGATGCTCATGGTCCTTTCCAACTCTACAATCCTATGATTCTATAATACTTAAATTCTCCTGCAAATTGCTCCACAGTTCTGGATTTCTTATGCAACACCAACTGGAAAGTTATTTTGAATTAGACAGAAGCTGGTACAACCCTCAGTCAGCCAGGGAATACTGATGTCATAAAATCTGTAGATGGTATGCAGAGCAAGCAAACAAAATATGATTTATTCCATGGAGAAATGTTGGTTCCTGAAGGGGTAATAAGATTAACTAATGTAGCATAATTAAACAGAAGCAAATGCAGTTATGACGCATGACTGGCCTAGTTTTGTGATAAATCCTTGGAGACAAAAATTAAAGGATGGATTCACAAAGCTGTCATCGCCCTGGTTGAGGAATTACTTTGCAGGACCCTCATGGAACTTGTGAAAGAGGCCCTAGATGCATTTTTCTGCCCAGGGCAAGACAGCAGAAGGATTTGCCACAAATGTGACTGGCCCCTGGTGGCTGGGAATAAGGCTATTCCAATAAGTTCCTGCCTCGTGATCAGGTGGAACATCAGAGGAGACTGCTGGGCCCAGAAGACTTGGTTGGCCCCTCATTCATTGAACCACAGTAAAAAGGGCTCACCCACCTACCCCACCAAAGTCAACTCCATCCCTTTCCCCCAGTGAAAACCTGCTCACCCTTATATGCTACAACCAGCTCAGTCTGTACAATCCAGGCAAAACATGAGCCACAAGGAGGCATCAGGTGTGTTGAAGAAAAGGTGCTTGCAGAATATGCACATCCCCAGGACTCAGGCAAAACCAAGCCAAGCTCCAAGGAAGGCAAAAACTTTTCAGGGCTACCAGCACCTTAATGTTTCAAAAGTGAAGATTAACCAAGGTGTTTGCTGCCTGTCTTACTTGGAAATTTGCCTTCACAAATCTTTTTTGGTCCTGAAGCCGTGTTTATTCTGAGCCTCTTCTTTTCCAGTAGGCCATGGTCCACAATACTCCTGGGCTCACAGAGGTAGAGACTGAAGGAACGCTGTAAGTGGCAGGGCAGAGACATCATAAATCAATGTGAAACTGAAGATCTCACTGCCCTTTCTACGTTTGAATGCATGGCTGATCACCCATCTTGTTTTGATACTGATTTGGACATGGGTACTGCTTATAGTAGTGTATATGTTTAAATTAGGATTGATTGAATATTCTTACTGTTCATACCAGCTGGTGATGTTTGTAATCTCTTCTCTCTTCGTTATATTTGTAAAAAATAAAATAAAAGCAGTGAAAACAACAACAACAACAAGTAGCCTGGCATGTTTACAATTAGTTCACCCCAGTGTCTTGGCATCATTGACCAGAATGCTAGATGTAGGAACAATTGAGTATAAATTTCATATATGGGGGGGGGGGGCTTTTGAAAACAACCAACCAATAGGTCCTGGGTCCTTACAAGGGCCTTTGAAATTACAGCCCTGAGGATATTTTCATATGCCCCCATAGCTCATCTCACTAAAGAGATGTACCCAAACGCTTCCCCATAATAAGAAACAACACACACACACACACACACACAGAGAGAGAGAGAGAGAGAGAGAGAGAGAGTTCCAAATGAGTCATTTAATCCTGAGAAGCCCTTGGAACTAAATCTTCTCTATCAATTCAGAACCAGAATTCCAAGAAGAAAATAAAATTACAGCTTGTCACTTCTCATTCCATCAGGGAGCACTGATAGATAAAAGAGGAGAGCAGGCAGGCAAAAAGAAAATAGTGATTAAAGGTGCGGGGGCTTTAAATTATACATTGTTACTTGGTTGGAAGTCACTGAAATGCATGTAACATACCAATTTTTTTTCCTCAGGACAGGAATGTTGATTTTTTTCTAAAAATATGGCTTCATCAAGACAGGCATAGCCATTGTTTTATGATTTCTGCTAACAAGTGCACTATGTAACACTTTGTTATAACCCTTTCTCTCCATGAATGCCAACAATATCCTCTCTGTGTAGATAAGGGGAGGGCAACATTTTAATACTTTAACATGTCCCCACCTTTCACAGAGACAAGCAAAGTAATATTTTCCTTCAGAGATCTGAATGCGTTTTGAAACAGTGTGAACAACTCATCCCACTTTAACCTCTGGACAACAGCTTTTGCAGCATTTTGAACCATTTCAAAAACCTGAAAAAGTTGTCTGATCTCAACTAAAGCACCCATGACAGATGGCCATCCAACCTCTGCTTAAAGAAGGGGAGTCCACAACCTCCTGAGGGAGACAGTTCCACTGTAAAACCACTCTGTCCTGTCAGAAAGGTTTTCCTGAATCTCCTTTCTTGTAACTTGAAGGCACTGGTTTGAGTCCTATCCTCCAGAGCAGGGGGGGAAACATCTTGAGGAAATAGCAGGATACCAAAAACTCATCCTGAGCTGGTTCTAGGCAGCCCTGCATTCCAAAACAGGAAAATAAACCACAGATAACACAGCGTGAGATTTCCCTCACAAAGCTGCAAAACTATCAAGCCACTCAGAAACTGCACACCTCGCCTCAGCAAAAAACAGGCACAACTTCAGAACAGCCCAGCTCCAATTCAGAGAGAGCCCTATAGAGAAAAAGTATTCATACATCCAACAGCAAACATGCATACCATTAAACAGAGGAAACAGCTAAGCAAGAAAACACAAGCTTCCCCCTTCCTCACAGTTTATCGATCCTGTAGCCCAGCTCCTGTGAGATTTTTGCAAAACTTTGCTCCTCCCTTTGAACTGGGGGAAAGAAACCAATTGGAGAGATTACATTAAATACTCCTCTTTGCCAGGCCAGTGACCCACCTTTGCCTGATTTTACAAGTTAGAAACACTTTGTATTTCACATTTTACAGGTTAAACTCCAAATCAAAACTATTGCAGTTGATTTATACCCCCCAAAAGTTTGCAATGTGGGATGCTCACCCAAAGAAAACATGGCTCAGTAAATGACCTGTTATAAAACCATTAAAGACACCTTCCAAGCTCATCAAGGCCTCATCAATCACCTTATTCTTTAAGATAGGACTACAGCTAATTTTACTGCCCTTCAGCACAAAGATGTGCATTTAAACAACAAACTAGCATTTACAGCATTGAAATTCTTACAACTGGGGCAAACATAATAAACCACATTCCATGCACACTGAAGACAGAAAAATGTCCAGCATGAAACCAGAACTGCTGCTGCTCTTAAGAAACCAGTTGCTGTTAAGAAACCACCAGCAACCACAAAAAACAGCTGTCCCACTATCACCCTAGGACTGATATCAGCGCTTCCCCCAGGAAAACCCCTAAACGCAGATCACTGGTTACCAGTACATCTCTCAGCATCAAACATAGCAGTCTCCCTTCTCCTTCTCGCTGTAAAAGTGTCTTCTCACTGGGAATGTCCAGAACAGGAAACAACAGCAGAAAGCCTCCATAGACGCATCTCTTCACCCTGAGGCTTCTCTTCACCGCTGCTCTTGGCATTGCCAAAAAAATTTCTGAAATGGCCAGAGAATCACACACCAGAGATAAATCTGTTCTCTGACAGCACACAGTCCGCCTCACTGCAGAAGTTGGAGATGGGTACTCAGACCTTCCCCGTCTCCAACAGCCACCCAGTTTGCCTCTGCTGGGTGTCCAGGGTCACCATACATCCAAGTGGCCTTCCTCCAGGGATGGCATAAACCAAACCTGTGCTCAGCCACCCACCAGGCAATCAAGCACATCGCCATAAAAAATATCACAGAGCTCAAAACTTCAAGGCAGGAAAAAACGCCAGGATGTCACTTCCTGAATCAAGCAGTTGTGGAGGTTGCTGCCCTTCTAGTAAGTGGGTCTGCTGAAACAGAATGGCTTCATGCCAGTAAAACCACTGCCAGCTCCTGGCCCCTCTGGGTTCTCCATACCTCCCAGTGCTGCATCTGCACCAAGCGCTACCAGCCATCTCTGGAATCAAGTCTCTTACAGCTTCTTGGCGCTGCAAGGCTGTTCCACAACAGCCACCTGGCTCATAAATCACCACAACCAGCATCCACTCCAGCTGCTTCAAAACCTCTGCCCAGGCATGGAGACTCTCCAGGTCCTCCTTGTCCTCCTCTGGCATTTCACCACAGCTACTCCTTTGCTCATTCACAGCAAACACTCCGGCACCACACAGCCGGACCTCCTCAACACTCTGCTCAGCCTCAGGAACCTATCAGTGGGGGTTGGGGCATTATGGGCCCATAACCTGTCGTGAAATTCTACTCAGTATTGATCCAGAGCAGATTCCAGTGTATGGTTAGCAGACCAGAGGCAATTTTATTTCATCTGGCAGAGCTTTACTGCTACTGAAGGCAAATGAGCATAATGGTCACAAATTTAATACATTCAGGATTGGCACTGTCCGTAAGAAATCCAGTTGCAGCAGACTTACCTTAAACTTACAATAACTTATAATAAGTCTAAACCTTAACACTATATATACTATGTACAGAACATCACACCAGAAGGAAGAGTGATAGAAAGACAAAGTGAAACGCAGGCCCCTTCTGGCCTTACTTTTATAGTCAGCATGACCTTGACGGAAGAGATAACAGAACCAGTTTAAGCCAGCTGTACTCAGCTTCTCTGAAGGAATAACCCAAACATCATGAGCCTTCTGCTTGTTTCTTTCATACAGAGAAGCTTCCAGAACCCTCTTGAATTAATCAGACTAGGAAAGATCTCTACACATCAGATCAATACTTTCTGCACTAAGAAATGCAAACTGATAATTTGAAGGTGGTTTTCATATCTCATTTCTATCTCCTCTTTTCCAGGCTAAACATACTGCAAACCCTCAACTGTTGCTCATAAGGCTTGGTTTCCAGACCCTTGGGAATCTTGGTCACCCTCCTCTGCACATGTTCCAGCTTGTGAATATTCTTCTTAAATTGTGGCATCCAGAACTGGACACAGGATTCCAAGGCAGAATCGAGTGGTACTCTTACTTCCCTTGATCTGGACACTACACGTCTGTTGATGCAGCCTAGAATACAATTGGCTTTTTTTGTTGCTGCATCACACTGTTGACTCATGTTAAACTTGTGGTCTACTGAGACCCCTAGATCCTTTTCACATGTGCTGCTGGCAAGCTGGGTGCTGATCTTATATTTGTAAGCTGGTTCTTCCTGCCTAAACGCAAAACCTTACATTTGTCCCTATTGAAATTCATTTTGTTAGTTTGGGCTCAGTTAAGGTCATCTTGAATCCCAATTCTGCCTCCTGGACCCAAGTTGTTTAGGGCTCTTTGAATGAACACAAGAATCATAAACATGGCCCGATCACTGACAAACATTGCAGCTCCCCAGAGTTTCTAAATCCCGACAATGCAATTAAAGAAAATATATATCCTTGGAAATATTAAGTGGAACTACACACAGGCTTAAAGCCCTCGGTCTCAGCCCTCTGGCAGGCAATTATAGAGTGCCTAATTGATATGCACAGCCTCACAGCATTGTGTAGAAAGACTGCTGTTTCATGGCAGCTTACATTCTGAAAGTGAGGGCGCAGGGAATCAAGGAGTCGTTGTGTCCTAACACAGACATTGTGGCAGCTGCCATACTAGCCACTTCCTGTGCTTCCATCAGATGCCAATGTCACTGAGACCCTCCCATTCCAGTTTGGTTTTCTAGCTCGTCTTCCCATCTTTTCTCAACACATGGTTTGCGGCATATTTTGAAATGCAATTGTAGATGAGCAAAATGCAGAGGGGAATCACCAGAATGAGTGGTCCATGAGGGAGTTGTTGATGAGCCTCCCTTTCTGCATCACTTTGCCTGCATTGCGCTGCCATTACCACACCCAGCCCTACCATTAGGCAGAGGCTGTGTAAACTCTGTACCTTCAAAGTGCCTTCTTTCCCTCAGGGAATTCTGGACATTGTGGTTTATCTCTCATGAGGTTACAACTCTCAGCCACTGTTAACAAGCTACAGTGCCCAGAATTCTTGGAGGGAAAGAATGTGCTTCAAATCTTCCTTAAAGAGATTGTGTGTACACAGCCAGGTGAGGTAGCTGAGGAGTGGTGAGGTGATGGAGGGAAGAGCGTGTGCCAGGTGGGCTGCTCAGTGCTCCCTCAACTCACCTGCTGCCTTCAGGTGCTGTGAAGGATGCTATTCTGTCACCAGTGTTGAAGTAAGGTTTACTTGCCAGTCTGGCTGGCTTTTTTTATATAGAATAGGGAAAGCTGCCATCTTGTCCCTCAGGGCTTTTTTTCAGCCAGAGCTCAACTCCGGTGCCTCTCAGGTGGGCACCATTGAAATTATAAGAGAACAAGGGAGGTGTTCATTGTGAGTTCTGGCACTTCTTTTTCTAGAAAAATAGCACTGTCGTCCTTCGCCTCAATATATCTTGGGCCAGCCCTGGCTATAATCCTGCAGCATGGTCCTCCCCATCCAATTTTATTCTGTTTCCTTTTTAAATTCAAATTAAATCTAGTTTTTGAGCTAAAGCATGAATGCACAAATAAAATAGTACAACCCCCCTCCATTAAAGCCTGGTTGCATTAATAGGTTTTGTTTTAAAATGAATGAGAAAAAGACGAGATTGGCTCAGCCTGCAAAAAGGAAAGTGCTCATAGAAATTTAATTAATACTAATAAATAATAATAATAGGTAATTCAAGCACAGAAGCCGTTTTACAGTCACACCAAATGGAGAGGCTTTTGCTGCTTAAGGGTTGCAGTCCCAAACCCACTTCCTAGCATCTAATGGGACTTGCTGTACAGTGGTACCTCGGGTTACATAAGCTTCAGGTTACAGACTCCGCTAACCCAGAAATATTACCTTGGGTTAAGAACTTTGCTTCAGAATGAGAACAGAAATCGTGCTCCGGCGGCGCAGTGGTAGCAGGAGGCCCCATTAGCTAAAGCGGTGCTTCAGGTTAAGAACGGACCTCCAATTTTATGTATGCAACAACAGCAGCAAGAATACTCATCGCGAAGTATTGGAAGACACAAGATTTACCCACCCGGGAAGAATGGCAGATGAAGTTGATGGACTATATGGAACTGGCGGAAATGACTGGCAGAATCCGAGACCAGGGAGAAGAGTCGGTGGAAGAAGACTGGAAAAAGTTCAAAGATTATTTACACAAATACTGTAAAATTAATGAATGTTAGAAGAATGTTGGAACGGAATTATATGGCTTTAGTAGAAATGTTATAAGGAATTAAGTATAAATAGATTAATATAATATTAAAGGAAAAAATAAGGTTAGAATGTGTTAAGATAATTATAGGATAGAAAACAGAGGAAGATGGAAAGGAATTGCTGAAACAATTAACAGAAGTGGAATACAAAAAGGGAGGTGTGAGGAGGTCGTGGAAATAAGTGAATGAAAGATAAGATACTGAAATTGTTTGATGTGTTTTAAACTGTTTTTGTTTGGTTATGTGTCAGTGTTATGTACTGTTTTTGTGTGGTATTGTTCTTTTTTTTGTAGTGTTGTGTTTAAATTGTTGGAAAAGTAATAAATATTATTTTCAAAAAAAAGAAAAAAAAGAACGGACCTCCAGAATGAATTAAGTACTTAACCTGAGGTACCACTGTATTGTTTTTAACACTCGATTGGAAGCTGCCCAGAGTGGCTGGGGAAACTCAGCCAGATGGGTGGGGTATAAATAATAAATTATTATTATTATTATTATTATTATTATTATTATTATTACTTCACCCGACCCAAGAGAGTGAGCAGTGTGAATTATGGAGGATTGTCACACCACCATTTCCCTAGCAAAAATCACCACCTGAAGCTGCTATTTCCCCACTATTCCAGTCCTAACCATACTTTTAAAACATGCTCTTAAATTAATGTTACCAGACGTCCCCGTTTCCCAGGGACAGTCCCCGGATTGACAAATCAGTCCCCTGACAAAATCCATGGAAGTTGAAAAGCGTCCCCGGATTCATTGAAAAAAATCTGGTAACCTTATTTTAAATGTGGGTTTTCTTTTTTGCTTTTTAAAATTTTTATCTGTAAAACCAGTGCCATCTAGTGTCTGATCCACGATTGGAAATAATTAGTGACTAATTACAATGTTTTGCATGATAAATTGTAATTGTCATGAATTTGTTGCATGGAATGCAACAAAAAGGCCATTATATTGCACCTTAAAATTTTCTTTTAGCTTTTTATCATATAGTTTTATTGCTTTCCAATACAGTATATAACAATTAAAAAAGAAAGAATACAATAACAAAATCCCAACTTTTAGCTTTTTAAAGAATGTGCACTAAGATGTATATTTTGAATGATTTATTTACTTTTCTTTTTTGTATGTTTGCTCAAGGAAACTTTGCCCCTTTGGTTGTTCATTAGAAAATTTATTTCCTTGCGTCTGTAGAGATCATGCAGACAAATCCCTAAGCCACTTTGAGCCGTTTGAGGAAAGAAAAGTTGATAGAGTGATCAAATAAGCAAGCAAGTAGATGGAACAATCAAATAAATGCAGATCATGGAAATTATTTGGGGTGGGGGTTGTCAGATGAAGAGTGGTCTTTCGTGAAACGGCTGAGATGTTTATTTTTCTTTCTTCTAATTTCTAGACTTCTTCCCGGCGAAACTGCCTGGAATCTAAAAGCATATCTTAACTCGGTTTGCTTTAATATGAACAGGATAACCTTGTTCAAATTAAAGTATTTTATGATTGCATCTGACTAAGCACTCTAGTCTACAAATGCTTGTGCCATAATAAATCTGCCTTTATTGCACTTGCTTGTTCAAACAATCCTATGCACGCTTGTTTATTTGTTACATTTATATCCACCTGCCCTCGAAGGAGCTCGGGGTGCAAACGTGCTTCTCTCTCCCCCCCATTGTGAGGTGGGTTAGGCTGAGAGACTGGGACTGGCACAAAGTCACCCAGTGAACTGCACAGCTCAGGGCGGATTTGAGCCCTTGCCTCCCAGGTCTTGGTCACTTATGTTTTAATAAACATATAACAACAACCTATTATTTATATGTTGCCCATTCGACTGGGTTGCCCCAGCCACTCTGGGCAACTTCCAACAAATTAAAACACAGTAAGATATCAAACATTAAAAACTTCCCTATACTGTACAAGGCCTCCCTGTACGTGTGTGTGTGTGTGTGTGTGTGTGTGTGTGTATATATATACTGTATATATATATATATATATATATATAGTTACACTATAGCACTACAGTTCACTGTTAGCTTACCAGGAAGTAAATCTAAACGAGGCTTCCTAATGATTAAACCTGTATAGAATTGTGCTGTTAATGTTACTATTCACTATGGATTTTAGAATTTGGGAGGGATAAAAATCATATTTTCTGCATGTGCGTGTATAATTCAATGTCTCTGAAATCAAAAACTTGTTGCTCATCCCAGAAAACCGGGTGAGTCCCTGTGCCTGAGGCGTGTCTTAATTTCCCCCTGCTGAGCTTGCATTTACAATTCCCTGTTTTCACTCTCAGCCAGCAAACTCCGGCAGCTGCGTTGAGCTGCTTAATGCAGGGCAGTGAATTCACCTCTTTGTTCTGAGCATGCTCCAAACCTGTGGGCATGCTCAGTAATGTTTCTTTATTTCTTTTAAAGCAGCAGCAAAGCCGCCTGATTCGTAGAAGCCGGGAGCAGAACTTCCTCGGCTGGGCCAGGTGAGAGAGCGGGGAGCCCTGTTTCCATGGCAGCCGGTGCTTGGGTTGCGCATGGTGCCAGATTTGTGGGCAAAGGAGGACGCTAGTTCAGGGCTCTTGGGCAATGAATAGGGCGAGGTTATTGCTTTGCTATGCCATGGTCCGAGGGACTGGTCATCTGTAACAATGCAGTCCTTAACTGTCTTCTAAGGAGTGCATGATGCCCTGCAGAGGGAGGAATGCCCTCAAGCAATGGTGTTTCTTTTTTAAAACAACAGCAATGGTGTTTTCATATTGGTTCAAGACAGTCCAGGAAGACAGTTTGTGTGCAAAATGCAAAACTGCAGCTGTCCGTCTTATTGCCTCCTTTAGTTATGGCTGGTGGAGTGAAAGTCACAAAGTGGTTTGTCCGCTTCTTTTTCAGGCTGAAGGGCTGTGGTTTGGTTTGGTTTGGTTTTCAAAGGCAGAGGAGAAGGAAAGGGAGTGGTAGAAGTGCCGTGTGCAAGAAGTTGTTGAATCTTGAGGGTGATTTCATGAAGTTCTTTGAAAGCGCAAACACTTAGGGGCCCAAAGAAGCAATGGACACTCTGCCTTTGAAATGTGAAAGTCAGCAGTTTAGATAGAGAGATAAGATAGTCATTTGGATTTATAGCCCACCCTTCACCTCAAGGTTCCTGCAACTCAGTAACAGCAAGATCTTATAGCACTATCTCCCTCTTGCCCAAGACCTGGGCAAAGATGTGTATTTGAACCAAGCCACAGTGAACAATGATGGCACTAGATGTTTGTTGGCAGGGAGGAACCACCGCCGAGAAAGTCATGTTATGGGTGTTCATCCTGCAGGCCTTAGAAGGCAGCCAGCACTGCTAATAGCACCTATTATAATATCCAGGCAGGTGCGTATGGAAGGAGTCCTCTCTCCTTCAGATATTTGGGACCACATGACTGGGCTCCACCTATACCTGTGGTGGTATCATCTTGTCCCCGTCTATTGAATATCTGTCTAATATCTACGTGAATCCATTGAGAGTAGCCATGAGGGAATTCTGAGCAAGGTGTCATTAGTACATTAATGATACTCAGTTCTATTTCTCTGTAACGTCTGAATTAGGAATACTGGTTCTGGCCAGGATCCTGTTTCATCCAGTGACCAACCAGATGTATCCAAGATGCCCACAAGCAGAGCATAAAGGGCAACAGCCTTTTCCTTTCCTTTCCCTCCTCCAGCAGCTTCCATTATTGTGGAAGTGAATGCCATATGCATTTACTTACTGCATCATTAAATCCATATAGGATTCCCAGAACATAGGCTCTCTAGGGTGGCTTACAAAACAAATACAGTCATACCTCATGTTATGTTTGTTTCATGTTATGTTTTTTCAGGTTGCGTCCTGCGGCAACCCGGAAGTACCGGAAAGGGTTACTTCCGGGTTTCGCTGCTCGCGCATGCACACAAGCACCAAATCGCGCTGCGCAGATATGGCGCTTCAGGTTGCGGGCTTTTCATGTTGCGAACGGGCCTCCGGAACGGATCCTGTTCGCAACCAGAAGTACCACTGTACAGCCATTAAAAGCAATAAGAGCTTTTAAAAACTAAAAATTCAGTCATGAGGCAAGGTACAGTATGTGCTGTTGGGGGGCTGTTTATTTGTTTTGTTGCTGAATGTTTGCCAAAACTGCATACTGTTTTTGAAAAAAACAATAGAAAGTTCTCTCTGTCCTGGACTCTGTCTGTAAGGGTTAAGAGAAGGCTACTCAACATCTGCTTATTTTCCTGTCACAACCAGGGCTCTTCTCTTTCTTGGACTCCACCCCAACCGCTCTATGGCAGCCCAGAAGAAACTGCAGGGTGTGGTGGCAGCCACTGTCACGCCAATGACTCCGGATGGGTAACTATCTCCTTGGCCTTCAAAGCAACGGCAGTAAGGTTTGATGGGCTCTTAAATAAATCACAGGCACAGATCATGATTCGTTTTATCATATCCTTCATTGCCTATCTGCACATGTCTTGCAACAGAAAGGGGGAAATTGGATTTAAAATGGCAATAATTAACCAGTGTGTTGGGTCTTGCCATCAAATTTTAGAGCACAACTTCTCTGCAACTACAAAATACTAAGTTTTTGTCCCTCTTGAGCAGATGGCTTGGCTCACTTGCTTGAGGTATCTGTTTGCACTTCTTCAGAGGCAGTGTGCTGCTTATTTCCACCTGGACTGCTATCTCTTCCTTTCCCATACTGCTGCCTCCCCTTCTTTAAATTCCTCAGAGCAAGGACCTCTAGTGTGTGTGAAATACATAACTTACAAAGTTACTCTGTATGGCTCTGTGTACCTGGATACCAGAATTCAAAGACCCACTCCACTAGGGCATGGCTAAGGCTGATGGGACTTGGATTCAGAAACACCTTGAGGGCTCTTGGATGGCTGACCTAAGGAGTCACCATTTCTCTATTGCAACCACTTTTGAAATGGAGAGGTGTTTCTAAAGCAATTTGTGAAGTGGCACTGTGACCTGCTGTTCCGAGGAGAGGGAACCCAACACCCCAAAGGTTGTACACAGTCCCTTGGAGATGCCTGGAGTTCCTCTTTAGCTCCTCACCCAAGTGGGCTCCTTTGTAAGATGTGGAGGATCCTGATCTGGAGCAGGTGTTTGGATCCAATCCTTTGCAGATACCGTATTTTTTGCACCATAACACTCACTTTTTTTCTCCCAGAAAGTAAGGGGAAATGTCTGTGCGTGTTATGGAGGGAATGCCTACGGGTGGCGGGGGGGGATCTGCTGCAGTTGTGAGCAGAGGATCCATGGTTCCCCTTCCTTCCCTTCTCCGTGGCTCGCTTTGAAACAGCAAAGCGGGAGATGAGCCGCTGAGTGGGGAGGAGAGAGGGACAGAGAGCCTGCTTCTTTAAAGGAGCAAAGCGAGTGTAAGCAGCTCCTGTCCGGTTGGTTCCTTTAAAGCAAGCAGGCTCTCTGTCCCTCTCTCCTCCCCACTCAGCTCGCTACATAGCAGCAAAGTTTTTCAGCTCGCTAAGCCGGGGATGAGCGGGGAGGAGGGAGAAAAGCAGAGCCTGCTTGCTTTAAAGGAGCAAAGCGGGAGAGGAGAGGAGCCTTCTCCCCTTAAGCCCCTCTCCTGCATTATTAGTAGCATCCTTCTCCACCCACCCCACGCATGTTCCTTCTCCCCTTAAACCCCTCTTCTGCATTATTAGCAGCATCCTTCTCCACCCACCCCACGCATGTTCCTTCTCACCTTAAACCCCTCTTCTGCATTATTAGCAGCATCCTTCTCCACCCACCCCACGCATGTTCCTTCTCACCTTAAACCCCTCTTCTGCATTATTAGCAGCATCCTTCTCCGTACACCCCACGCGTGCTCCTTGTCCCTTGAGTGCTTTTCCTTCCCTCCCCACTTAAAACGTGGTTACAAAGCACGGATCCACATGGATCCTCAGGATTTTTGCACTGGGTCACCCCAAATTCACCATCAGATCACATAGCATGTCCATGGCTACATCTTGCACCAAAGAAATCATGCACCCACTGTTGCCTGGGGCTGCAGTGGTGCAAAAACGTGGTTACAAAGCATGGATCCACATGGATCCTCAGGATTTTTGCATTGGGCTACTCCAAACTCACTGTCAGATCACATGTCTGTGGCCACAGCATGAACCACAAAAATCATACATCCACTGTTTCGTTTAGAATATTTTTTTTCTTGTTTTCCTCCTCTAAAAACTACGTGCGTGTTATGGTCGGGTGCGTGTTATAGAGCGAAAAATACGGTATATTATTCTAGTGTAGAGTAGACTAGGAGTGGGCAGTCTGCCTCCCTGCATTATCCAGTTTCTAGTGGCCAACCCAATGTATGCTGGTTGCTGGAATTCTTGCAAATAGTGCTGGACTGAGTAGACCTTGGTCTGATCCTCTCATCCGTTCTTAAGCAGCCATGCATGCTTGGGCAGTCATTGAACACAGATTAGTTAAACCTTAACTGTTAAGATTGTATAGTTAGGATCTCTTGCCTGGTAGGGGAGATGACAGGCGTTCAACAGAGTCAGCAAACACTCCCTGCCTGGTGAATTCAGGAAACTGCCTGCCTATTTAATCAATGGGAAAATCACAATTCTCACTTCCACCTAAAGTTCAGAAGGACCAGTCGCTCCCTTTAATGTAGATTTTGATTGTATCCATGAATTTTTTATATATATTTTAAAAATCATACTGAATATGCTTTTTATGATGTACATTGCTTAGAAATTTTATAAATATTAAGCAGTTTATAAATACTTCTAGATTAAATGCAATAAATATGAATATAAAACCGTGGTAGTTCTAGTAAGAAGAAAAAAAAGTGGACTATAGAAGGGTGAAATTGGCCCACCATTGGAATAAACCATAATGGTAGCCCCCCCCTGCCCCATTTAACAAAAGAAAACTAAATTTTAAAAAACAGACTCTTGCTTATTCCTGTGCTGCCTCTCTGGCTCCTGGAGCCCAGTGCAACCTGACAAGCTTAAGATTAAGAGCTGAACAGGACTACTCAGAGTTTATCAGGAAGGAAAAACAGTGTTGTTGGTCAGCCATTCTCTTTTCAAGAATGTGACCCATCTTCACAGATCACTAGTTTGCTTCTGTCAGCAAGGGGTGAGGCACTTATTAACAACGTTGACCTTGGTACAAACAAGTGAGGTGACCTTGGAGCCAGACACCCTGTGGCAACGATGCCTTGGCCCAGGACTTCCTCCTGCTCCTGTGGCCGTGCAAATGCCTTTCAAAGAGGCAGGATGGACTTCCCTGAATGTTCATGGGCCATGGCCTGGGGCTTCTTCCAAGGGGGACGGGGTGGGAAATGGGAAAACAGATGGGCTTCCCTGTTTGGTTTGCTGCTTGCTCTGTATCCAGAAGCCCCACTTGGACCGGCAGCTAGACAGAACAGAGTTTCCGAGCCCTCTGCTCTTGGCAAAACCTGGTGACGTCAGACAGACGGTGTTTTCCTGCTGCTCCCATTCGGAGTTGGAAAGCTATCCAGAGAGAGCAGGGGGAAAACAGGAACAAGGAGGGACAACAGCTTTTGCAGCCTGCAAAACATGGTTGAACGTTTTCATGCTCTGGGCTCTCCTTTCTTTGGCTTTCTGGTTTCTGTTTTTGTGTCATTTGTGAAAACACCAGAAAAACTGTGAATGGAAACAAAATTAATATGGCATTAGCATCCTGCACAGAGTGATGACTTTTATCATATGATTCTATGATCTGTCTGGCGAGGGAAGATTGGTTGTTCAGGTTCAGTTTTCATGTGTACCTGCCTGGCACTTCACATTCTGGGTTTTTCTTTTCAGTTACGGATATAGGTGATCATGCTTCCTGTCTTGTGTTCCTTTCTTCAGAGAAATCAACCTCTCTGTGATTGGCCAATATGTGGACTACCTGATAAATGAGCAAGGTGTGAAGAATGTCTTTGGTAAGATATGGCTTATGAGACCATTTGCTTTTGTGTGGACTGTCTCCTACACACAAAGGGCTATCATTTCAGCCCCAGACATCTAAGATGACACAATATGTCGTGATAACTTTATATTACCTTCAGGATTAGAATACCACGCCTCTGAATGTGTCAGTTTGGGGAGCAACAGCAGAAGAGTGCTGTTGTACTCTAGGCTTTTCAGAGGCATAGAATTGTACAGGTGAAAGGGACCCCAAGTGTCATCTAGTCCAGCCCCCTCCACTGTAGGAAGGCATCTGATTGGCCACTATGGGAAATGGGATGCTGACCCTTGCTCTGATTTGATGCAGCAGAGCTCTTCATATCAAAAGAGTCTATGCACAGTCTGGTAGATAACTTGGCTGCCCATATTCACTCCAGGGAGGCCTATGACAACTGAAATGGCTAATTTATTGTTGCAGTGTGTGGTTTTTGTAGGTACTTGTTTCTGAAACAGAGCCTTCTCCATGGAAGTTTCTGCTGTGAGAAGTCCCATGTGCATGCTTCCCCCAAAGAATTGTGGGAACTGTAGTTAACTGTGCTGAGAGTTGTTAGGAAACCCTTATTCCGCCTCACAGAGCTACAATTCCCAGAGTTCCCTGGGAAGAGAGATTGGTTTTTTTAAACCTCTCTGTGAACTTTAGCCCTTGTACCATGGGCCAACAGATCTGACCCAGTATAAGGCACAAGGCTGGACCAAGACATTTTGGCCCCTGCAGTAAACCACAAAATGGCGCCCACCCCACCCCTCCAGGGAAGAAGGGGTGAGCAAAGATCTACATCAGGAACAGGGGGGGATTAAAGATCTACATTGAGCTAGATGGTGGGAGGAGATCAGCAGTGCCTCCTATTGGCCAAGAGGCCGCTGTAGAGGTGGCATGGGGTGTGCTGCTGCCGCCACCGCTAATACATTCCTTGGAGGCCAGAACTGCTGCCCCTGTGGGTTCACCTGCCTGAGGCAGTCGCTTCACCTTTCCTCATGAGTGGGCTGGCCCTGATAAGGCAGCTTGCTATGTTCCTGCAACGCACCCCACGAGGCTGCTCATGGGGTCCCTGCCATGGGAGCATATTCACCCAGTGCTTTTCCAGCTGCACTGCCTCCCGGTGGAGTACAGGGTCAGATTTAAGGTGCTGCTTTTGACCTTTAAAGCCCTTCACAGCCTAGGCCCCTCGTACCTACGGGACTGCCTCTCCTGGTATGCCCCACGGAGAGCCTCAAGGTCCATAAATAGCAACACCCTAGTGGTCACGGGCCCTAAGGAAGTTAGATTGGCTTCAACCAGAGCCAGGGCCTTTTCAACACTGGCCCCGGCCTGGTGGAACGCTCTGTCTCCTGAGACCAGGGCCCTGCGGGATCTGATTTCTCCATGCAGGGCCTGTAAGACAGAGTTGTTCCACCTGGCCTTTGGCTTGGAGCCAATTTGATTCCCTCCCCCTCTTTCTTTTTTCTTTCTCCTCCTGTGAAGAGGCTGCATCCTAATGTTTTAATGTTGTATCTTAATCTTTTAAATTGTATTTTAATCCACTTGTTTTTATTATTGGTTGTTAGCCGCCCTGAGCCCTGAGTCTTGGCTGGGGCGGGCGGGGTATAAATAAAAATTTATTATTTGTTATTATTATTAGCTGTGAAGCAAGGCTTCCTGCAAACATGCTGAAGTAATCATTCCCCCTGCAAAAAAAAAAATAAAAATAAAAATCTCTTCTTTCTATGTGTGCAAATACTTCCATTTTTTCCTTTTTTGGTCACAGTAAATGGAACTACAGGAGAAGGCCTGTCCCTGAGCGTTCAGGAGAGGAAGCAGCTGGCCGAAGAGTGGGTGACGAAGGGCAAAGATAAGTGAGTAACTCGGGGAGAGGGCAGATTGGTGTGTTTCATGGAAATCACTGCTAAGCAAAGACAGTTGATTGTGAAATCTGTGTTCTGTTTCCTTCCTTTTTTCCCCCTTTAAAGGCCAGGGAGAGGGGAACAGTTTTTCTTTTTTTTTTCTTTTTTTAAATAATTTTTATTAAAGTTTAAAACAACATAACACAAAAAAAAACAGAAAAACTCACATAAAAATAATACAAAACTTAACAATAAAAACACAAAACACAACAATTAAAAACAAACTCTCTTTTCCATATCCAATTTTACGTGACTTATTTTCTAGACTTCCTCAAACCTCCCTCCTTTGTATTCCAGTCCACATTGTTTGTTCAGCAATTTCTTTTCCACTTTTTTTTTTTAATCCCAATCTTTAATTTAATAAAATGTTAAAATATATAACTTCAATTTTTTTAAAACCTAATCCTTGGTCTTAATATCATATAACTTTAAAGTTTCCCCTTTTAATATCAAATTTCCATAACTTTAACCTGTGCAGCTGGAAACCACTTGTTTTCAGTCCAACATCACTCTAACATTCCTTAATTTTGCAATGTTTCTGAAGATAGTCTTTGAATTTCTTCCAATCTTCCTCCATCGACTCTTCTCCCTGGTCACGGATTCTACCAGTCATTTCAGCCAGTTCCATATAGTCCATAAGTTTCATCTGCCATTCCTCCAGCATGGGAAGTTCTTGTGTCTTCCAATACTTTGCGATGAGTATTCTTGCTGCTGTTGTTGCATACATAGGGAGAGGGGAACAGTTTTTCAAGACTACTGTTGAAAGTAACAAGCTGCAGTATGTTAATGTCTGTCTCTCATCTCCAGCAGATTTCTTTATTTCTTCTCATTGCTCAAAGAAAACAAGGAAAATAAAAGTGGATATTTATCGGAGGAGAGCTGTCTGTCTTGTTTGTGTCTATACCATTCCTTGCAGGCTGAAAATAAGGATGGAGAGGCGGGATATGGGGAAAGAGAGAGTGTTGTTTCTTTAAGACAGAACGCTTGGGCTGCGATGATGCTGGTTCAGAGATGAAAGAATAGCTTTACCTTTTATGACAGTGGAACAGATTTCCTCAGAAGGTGGTGGACTCTCCTTCCTTGGAGGTTTTTAAAGCAAAGGTTGTATGACTATGCATCTAGCTGAGATTCCTCCATTGCAGGGGGTTGGACTAGATGACCCTTGGGGTCCCTTCCAATTCTACAATTCTATGATTCTATGTATGAATTATGTAGAAATCACTGGAGGGCAGAGCACACAGAGCATGAAAGCTTTAAAAAATCCTATTCCTTCTACTTGCAGATGTTAACTTCGTAATACTAACAGTCTGTGGATATATTGGTTTCTGCTTTTAAAGATTAATCTCCCCTTCAAAAAGCTTGCTAAAAGCGATTTCAAATGGCTTTGATGCAGCCCCCTTTCATTCTCTTTTTAATTTGCTACCTTGACTACTGCTTAAACTTTAAATAGCTGTAATCCTCTGATTCTATAAGAGCGCGTGGATGTGACCTGTAAAGCAGCTGTGAGTAGGCCAAATAATAATTTTTACCATTCCACAGTTTGCTGGCATAGATAGCATCTGCCAACGGTGATGCTTTGTATGGTGGTGACGTTCCATAGCCAGAGTCCTTGTGTTTCTGAATGCCAGTGGCTGGGAAGCCCAGTGGGGAGAGGGCTGTGGAGCTCAGGTGAGGCACCTGGCCGGCCGCAGTGAGAGCAGGACGCTTGACCGCGTGGATGGGCCATTGGCCTGACCCGGCAGAGCTCTTTTCATGGTCCTGTGACTCCTGGCTTTCCCACTGAATATCATACATTCTTTTTTCTTAATTGGTGTTCTCTTATGAATATTTATAGTACTTTATGTAAACCACTTAAGATATTTATTTTTGATTAAGCTGGCTTTAAATCTTGCTAAGTGAAGGCACAAATCTTCAGAGAAGAGTTTCTGGGGCACTCCGGGGGGGGGGGGATGTGACTCAACATCCTCCTTTTCCCCTGCAAATAATAATTTTTACCATTCCACAGTTTGCTGGCATAGGTAGCATCTGCCAACGGTGATGCTTTGTATGGTGGTGATGTTCCACCTCCACAGCCAGAGTCCTTGTGTCTCTTAATCTTGTGCCTACAGATTTTGACTGCGTTCTACTTTTGCTCTGTGTTCTATTTTGCTGTTCATCTTTTTGAAATACCTGCATTTCTGCATAAATATGCCTCTTCACTGGACTAAATGGCCAATATCCCTGTGTTGCACGTTGTCACATGTGATGAACACACGTCTGTATGCGGATGTGTGTGCGCTGAGAGGCTAACTGCACATTAAGTCCCAATGCTCTCCTCCTCCTCCTCCTCCTCCTCCTCTTCTTCTTCTTCAAGTTGCTTTAGAACAGATCATTTGAAAGCAAGTGAAAGACTATCAAGGGAGAGGGAAAGCTGTGGAGCAGTTTGGATTGGAGATGTCTGAGGAAGGAATCAAGTGTCCTGTTCTGCTTTTCTGTTAATTCTTAATTGCCTCTCAGCAAAGCAGATTTTCTGTTCCAAGATATTAGATCAGGAGGACCTTTTCAAGCCGAGAGGCTGCTTTCCCTCACACTCTCTATCCTCCACTCAGGCAAGCAAGCAGCATCGTCATGGCTCGGGGGCACATCCCACCCTGGCAAAAATAGCTGGAGACAACGCGGCTGAGACCTTGTGCAACCTCTGGGTCTGTGTTTCCCCACCCTGATAGAGAGACATACATGCACATGTACAAATACATGGACCTGGTTTTAATACATGAGTTTGTCCTCGACAAGGTTGCAGTTAAATAGATATTATGAAATGCTTGCACTGCAGACTATCAGCAATAAGAAGAACACACACACATACACACACACTTTCCTCTTTTCTTTTTTGCAGACTAGATTACGTGATTATTCATGTTGGCGCACTCAGTTTACCAGAAGCAAGGGGACTGGTGAGTGTGTGTTTTTAATATAATAATAATAATTATTATTATTATTATTATTTATTTATACCTCGGCGGCTTCCAAAAAAATATTTAAATACTACAATACATCAAACATTAAAAGCCTCCCTAAACAGGGCTGCCTTTAGATGTCTTCTAAAAGTCTGGTAGCTGTTCTCTTTGACATCTGGTGGGAGGGCGTTCCACAGGGAGGGTGCCACTACCGAGAAGGCCCTCTGCCTGGTTCCCTGTAACTTGGCTTCTTGCAGCGAGGGAACCGCCAGAAGGCCCTCAGTGCTGGACCTCAGTGTCCGGGTAGAACAATGGGGGTGGAGACGCTCCTTCAGATATACTGGACTGAGGCCGTTTAGGGCTTTAAAGGTCAGCACCAATACTTTGAATTGTGCTCGGAAACGTACTGGGATCCAACGTAGGTTTTTAAAGACTGGTGTCTCGGCGGCCGCTCCCAGTCAGCAGTCTGGCTGCCGCGTTCTGGATTAGTTGTACTTTCCGGGTCACCTTCAAAGGTAGCCCCACATAGAGCGCATTGTAGTAGTCCAAGCGGGAGATAACTAGAGCATGCACCACTCTGGCGAGACAGTCCACGGGCAGGTAGGGTCTCAGCCTGCGTACCAGATGGAGCTGGTAAACAGCTGCCCTGGACACGGATTTGACCTGTGCCTCCATGGACAGCTGTGAGTCCAAAATGACTCCCAGGCTGCGCACCTGGTCCTTCAGGGGCACAGTTACCCCATTCAGGACCAGGGAATCCTCCACACCTGCCCGCCTCCTGTCCCCCAAAAACAGTACTTCTGTCTTGTCAGGATTCAATCTCAATCTGTTAGCCGTCATCCATCCAACCGCCTCCAGACACTCACACAGGACCTTCACCGCCTTCACTGGTTCTGATTTAAAATAGAGGTAGAGCTGGGTATCATCCGCATACTGATGAACACCCAGCCCAGACCGCCTGATGATCTCTCCCAGCGGCTGCATGTAGATGTTGAAAAGCATGGGGGAGAGGACAGAGCCCTGAGGCACCCCACAAGTAAGAGGCCAGGGGCCTGAACACTCATCCCCCACCACCACTTTCTGAACGTGGCCCAGGAGGAAGGAGCGGAACCACTGTATAACAGTGCCCCCAGCTCCCAGCCCCTCTAGATGGTCCAGAAGGATGTTGTGGTTGATGGTATCAAACGCCGCTGAGAGATCCAGCAGAACTAGGAAACAGCTCTCACCTTTGTCCCTAGCGCGTCGGAGATCATCAACCAGTGCGACCAAGGCAGTTTCAGTCCCATGATGAGGCCTGAATCCTGACAGGAAGGGATCCAAATGTATTTCCCCCCCTGTTTTTATCCTACATGAATGCTGGCTGCACAAGGAGAAAGTCCCGCCTACATTTATTTGTTCATTGCATTTATATCCCGCCTTCCCTCCAAGGAGCTCAAGGTGGCATACTATATATAATTCTCCTCCTGCACATTTTATCATCACAACAGCCCTGTGAGGGAGGTTAGGCCGAGTGTGAATGAATGGCTTAAGGCTACCCAATGGCAGTGAGCTTTATGGCTGGGTGGGGATTTGAACCCTGGTCTCCCACATCCTAGTCCAACACTCTAACCATTATGCCACATTGGCTCCCTTCCTGTCAGTGCAGGGTTGAGAAGCTACACTTGCTGAAATTCCGCCTCCTATGAAGGATAGCAGGTCTTCTGGTCCCTCTAAAGCAGCCTCTCCCAACCTGGTACTCTCCAGATGTTGTTGGACTACAACTCCCATCATCCCTGACCATGGGCCACGTGGGCTTGACATGATGGAAGTTGGAGTCTGACATCAGTTGCAGAGCGCCAGGTTCAGGGAAGCAGCTTTAGGGAGAAAATAAGGTGAGTGTATGTTTGCAACAAATTAAGTGGGTTCCGGCTATTTAAAAAATAAAGTGTTATTTGCATTGCAGATACTTGGAGTAGCTGATTGTTAACATGTGATCACTGCAGATGATCAAGACACATAAAGCCCACCAAAATAATTGCTTTGCAATCAGAATATCTCCTCCTCAAAACTATAGAAACAATACCATCGGGAGATCCAGTTATATTTGTATATCTAACTCTAGCTGGGGAATTCTCATGTAATTGGGGAATAGACAAGTGATCTGTTCCTTTTCTAGCACTTGCGTGATGGTGCCAATCTCTATGGATATAATTTCTTCCTTTTCAGGCTAAGCATGCAGCAGAAATAGGAGCGGATGGCATAGCTGTCATCACCCCCTCTTTCTTCAAACAGGTGAAGAAAGGTGAGGAGGCAGGTCCCACTGTATTATTTCCCCTCTTTCCATCCACATCCCAGGCAGGTCTTCAGTACTGTGAAGAACAATGTTGTTGGGATGTGCAGCGGTAAAGCCAGAGGATGTGAGCTGTTTCTGTTAACTGCTGCATAATCAATGCCTTGGCCGTTACTTTTCAATTTACATTCCCTCTTTGTATACTATGGGAGTGTAGAAAAGCCACAAAATGTGGCATTGGGGGCAAGTTCACCTTCCTGTGGATCTCTGCTTCCATTTGAAAAGGAAAGAAACCAACTTTGCAATCCTTGTGACTTGGAAGACACAAATTAAAATGATCAGGTACTGGACCTTGTAAAATCTCAGAAGCCAGAGTGGGGGCTGAATAAGAATTCCAGTGACCAGGAGGTGAGGCTCCAGTGCCTTCCGTAGCTCATTGCCTCTCCTCTTGACTGACAGAGACAGAATAAATTACGCAAGATGAGCATGATAAATTATACAAATTTGCATAATTTATATAGGCTGCAAAAGCCCATTTTTCTTTGTACAGATTTCAGGTTACCTTAGCCAGAATGTTTTGGGGGAGTGTGTGTGTTTTCTTTGAGTGCAGAGTATGCCCATCCATGAATATAGAGGAAGATAAAGGTAAAGGCTGTAGGTCCACCTCTGCGTACCAGGCAGAAGGAGGCATCTAAGCTTTGAACATACTTGGTTAATCTCCTGGGAAGTTTTCTACTTTTATGGAGCCTGGACTTGCATCTCACAATTCACAAATAATGAAGATACAGGTCTGCAGTCTTTTTGTTCTTGAATCTTCCTGCATACATATTCTGTGCTCATTTGAGATGCTACCATCATTTATCCTCACTGACATGAATCAGATCTGGTGGTTTGGGAATCCCAGATGAAAGCCTGGAACAATCCTTTTCTCCTTTTTGGGCTCTCCACCTCCAGCCACGTATTTACAATTGGCAACCGAGCTGGGAAGATGAAGACCCAGATGAATTAGTGACTACAGCACCCCTTCAAGAGTGGATTTTAAACTCTCTGTGTGTTGGATGGTGGGGGGATAGTTGTGCAGGCAGTTTGGGGTTGCTGCTTGCATGTCACATAGGCCTACATTGCACATGAGCTGTGCTCTTCAAAATTACCCAGGTTTTCAATTGCTTTCCTTGTCTTCTCTTATTTAGATGCTCTAGTTGCCTTCTTGCGGGATGTTGCATCTGAAGCCCCAGGCATCCCATTCTATTATTACCACATCCCTCCCCTGACTGGTATAAAAAGTAAGTGTTACTCGTCTAGACCATCCTAATTACATCTCAGGGAAAAGCTGGACTCAGCAGCTCTTTCTGTGTATGTTTGGTGCTTAACTAATTTAGGCAAATGTCAAATGCATAGGATTGTGCTTCAGAATGTAGTGGTGGTCAAGATAGCCCCAGATCTATTGTACTAGTAGAGACATGGTCTAAGGAGCATTGTTGTTGTTTAGTCGTGTCCGACTCTTCGTGACCCCCTGGACCAGAGCACGCCAGGCACTCCTGTCTTCCACTGCCTCCCGCAGTTTGGTCAAACTCATGCTGGTAGCTTCAAGAACACTGTCCAACCATCTCGTCCTCTGTCGTCCCCTTCTCCTTGTGCCCTCAATCTTTCCCAACATCAGGATCTTTTCCAGGGAGTCTTCTCTTCTCATGAGGTGGCCAAAGTCTTGGAGCCTCAGCTTCAGGATCTGTCCCTCCAGTGAGCACTCAGGGCTAATTTCCTTAAGAATGGATGTGTTTGATCTTCTTGCAGTCCATGGGACTCTCAAGAGTCTCCTCCAGCACCATAATTCAAAAGCATCAATTCTTCGGCCATCAGCCTTCTTTCTTCCTGCTCCAGGTGGATCACGTTTGGTCAAAACTCTCCACTATGACCTGTCCATCTTGGGTGGCCCTGCACAGCATAGCTCATAGCTTCTCCGAGTTATTCAAGCCCCTTCGCCACAGCAAGGCAGTGATCCATGAAGGGGCTAAGGAGCATAGTAGAAGCTAATTCCATCTTTGGAAATAATATTTCTAAACTCACTAGAACGTTGATGTGTACTGGTGATTGATTAGGGGCAGATCCACACAAATCATTTAGAGCACACCCAAAACACATTTATTGTAAATAAATTTTTATTGATTTTCACAATTGAATTCCACATTTAATCACAATAGTACTTCCCCCCCCACCCCCAAATTCACAAATACCTTTTTCAAAACCTTGTCTTTGAGGTTCTTTAAACCTCATTACTTCCCTCCATTCCCTCTTCTTGGTTCTTTATATAGACAAAATTATTCTGCATTTCCATATTCATGCTTAACCAATTATTATTCTCTTAATTTATCCAAATTTCTACTGATTGCAAGTGTTTAGTCAAGGCCTATTGATGTTTCAACCTACTTGCAATACCCTGCATTCGAACAATAAACATTTCCCATTCTTTTTCCTAACTTTAGCATACTCCAACTTTCCCATCAGCAGACAGTATCCATAAGTTTTATAAAGAAAGATTTAGTAACCTTTTCACTTACAAATTGTTTCCATGCAGTGATAGTTACTAATAAGACGGGAATGGACTTTTGACGCCAAATTCCGCCTAATTAATTAATTCCGAAAGTAAATCTTTACCTTTCCACTGGCCTGGTAGTAATTTTTGGAAGATCTCTGCTTCAGGCTTGAGCTGAGGCTTCGCTCCCGCAGAGTTGTGATACTGCCATGACCGCAGGCTCGATCGCTGCTTCCTCCCCCCTCCCCATACTTTCCAGCACAAAAGGAGTTTGGGGGTTGCAGGAGAGCCCTTTTGCAGGCTGCTGGACCTCTCAACACCCTGAGCACCATCTCGGGGCTTTTTGGGGGGTGCGCCTCACCTTGGCGCTTCCCCGTTTCTCCGCTGGGCTCGAGTCCATCAGACGATCAGACTCACGCTCCTTTCCACCATCTGCAGAAACCGGAAGTGCGCCCACAATTCCCAGAGTTCCTGCTCTGAGGCAAGAGGACTTCTGCAAAATCTAGTGTAAGATTATAGTGTATTCTGATCAAGGAATTCAATTTCTGTTGCCTTCCACAGATAAGGAAGAGGGAACTTTTTGGGGCATTCTTCCCAGATTTATACCTTTTCACAAGAACACATTCTTTGCAGTGTATTTTGGGATAGATTCACAGCCTCTATTGTGATGTTTTCTTGCCAGATGTGGTCATGTGCTTTGCCCAGTAAGACTTGGAAACCTGTTGGTGTTCCTCTCTTTTGCTCTCCTTCTCTGTTCAGTTCCTGCCAAAGAACTGCTAGATGGGATGATAGAGCAGATTCCCACCTTTAAGGGGGTGAAGTTCAGTGATAAAGATCTCCTGGATTTTGGGCAGTGTGTGAAGAAAAATGATAGAGGCCAGTTTGTACTTCTGTATGGTGTGGATGAGGTAAGGCATTTCTACATTAATAACTCTGGTCTATTAGAATGGCACGATGGCTTCCTAAAGCGATGTAACCAAGTAGTGCTTTTTGTGCTACTGGGGACATCTTCTGCCTACCAAAGAGCTGCCGTGATCACTTGTTTTTTATGTAATTTTAAAAATTAATTTTCCATTTTTCAAAACAATATTATAACATCGTATCACCTTTTACAAATTTTTAGCTCTTCTGAGCTTTTGACTTCGCTCCGCTCCGTCATCTGGTTTTTATCAAACACAACGGCACATTTATACCGTCTAACTTCTACATTTAACTTAAATTATTTAGAACTTAAAACACAAGTAGAAAGTTTCTGCTTTTAAACATTGTGAACTTTGCTGCAGTCCTGCTAGTGTTTTTATATGTTTACAATGATTGCCTATGTATTCAATAAATTTACTCCATTCCCCCTGGAACACTTGGTCACTCTGGTTATGGATTTTCCCCGTCAGCTTTGCCAATTCTGCATAGTCCATCACCTTCATCTGCCATTCCTCTATTGTCGGTATTCTTTCTGTTTCCACTTTTAGGCTAATAAAGTTCTAGCTGCTGTAGTGGCAAACATGAACAATTTCTGGTTAGCTTTTGATATTTCCACTCCGGTCATCCCCAACAGGAATGCCTCTGGTTTTTTAGGGGCCATGATCACTTTTTGAATACTGTCTTCCCAGCGATAAGTTGTTCTACTGTTTTCTTAAGGAAATAAAAGATGTATTTTTTGTCTTTCCCTAACCAGCAACTCCTGGCTGCACTCGCTATGGGAGCGACTGGGGCAGTTGGAAGGTCAGTCTCTCTTTCACAGCACAAACCTATGTCTACTCAGAAGTAAATCCTATTGAATTCAGTAGGACTTACTCCCAGGTAAGGAGGGTTAGGCTAGCAGCCTCAGTCATCTTTATATGAATGAGAAAGTATGAGTTCCAATGCCATGTCTTTTGAAGCAAAGAGGATCATTTTGCAGTTCATTTTTCTGGCTGCTTTTAGCCCTGCACCAGCTTTTGTTTATACAGCTGAGTGATGAGTAAGAAAACTTTCATGTCTGAAACAGTTTTCTTCTTTTTATTGGTATAGCTCAGAGCTTCTCAAACTTATTTGGCCTACTGCTTCCTTTTCAGAAAAGAAACTCAGTGCCCCCCCCCCAGGAAATGAACAAACAGAAAGATTCTGTGACAAATTTGCATTCTTTCATGTATCTATATTTCTACATATGTCCTACAACATAGTAAAGAAAGATGTTGTATATAAAACACCTTATTCACAACAGATGAAACATGTGGCTTTTCAAAACTGGACAAGGAGGTGGACTAGTCACTGGGATTAAAGGGAGTGGCTCAGTCCAATCGACCTCAGGGGCGGGGCTGGTGCAGCTGCCTGCCTGCCATTGGCCAAATAGGGAGGCCAGCTGCGATCAGGTGAGCCAAAAAGGTTCACCCAAGCCTGGGAAAACGCACCACCTCCAGGATGACTGCCATCTGGGGAGGCATTGCTGCCATCCTGCAACGGGGCCCGACCTGGCGGGAAGCATCATTACACAATAGATGAAACATGTACAAATGGTTTTTCAAAATTTTATTCTCTTCCACCGCCCCCTTATTTTTATTCAATGCCCCCAGTTGCACCTGAGGCTACTACTGTCCCCCGCCAGATCATTCCAGTGCCCCCCAGGGAGCGGTACTGCCCACTTTGGGAAACACCTGTCTAGCTTTTTGCCTGCAAATTCTTATTATCTGCACCTTCTGCCCTCTCCTGCTGACCAGTATTGTGGCTAAGGGTCCATTCATATTCAGCATGCTAACGCGTTGGTTGATTACTCTCAACCAATTATGTTTTGCACCCTGCTTGAGTGTTTTCGCCTGGCAGGGAGGGTGTCCTTGAACTCTGATCACGTCTCTTCCTTCCCTGGATGAAGAAGGATAGGAAGAAAGCAGCCTCTTGTGCAAGTGTTGCATTTCTTGCCTTTGGCCCTGGACACCACTGTCTTGTGGCCCCTGGAAACTTGTCTAGAGGGGAATGTGGCTCTGAGTCTGAAAAAGTTCCTTGCCCCATTTAGAATGGGAACCACAGAGGGCACACTCTGTGCAAGAGCATCTCCCCTCCCCCACTTTCTCCCTTTTAATAGCTTATTACACATGACACTGACCTAATGGTCAGGGGTCCCTTTACCTTTACACGTGACATGCTACTTTGTGCAGGAGCAACTCCCAGTTTTGCACTGGAAGGATACCTTCAGATTTGCTATTCTGCTCGATCGATTCTAGTTATGGCGGCACATATTAATACTAACTCTGCCTTTGCTCTGTTGGCTTTTGTTTTTGTACAGCACCTATAACTATCTGGGCAAGGCAAATAACTCAATGCTGGAAGCTTTTGCCAAGGGAGACCTCTCCTTGGCACAAAAATATCAGGTATGATATTTCTAACTGAAGCTGATGACAGTGGATGATAGTATGATAACAGATTCCTCCTTCCTTTTGTATACGGGTAACTCCTAACTTACACTGGCAGCCCAGGACCTCCATAGCCACTGCCCAGGCTTGCACCCCAGAGAGGTCACCTGGGTGCTGCTAACGCAGCCGTTTGACTTCACCCCTGGAGGTGTACTCCATTGTCTCTTGAGACAGATGAATGCCATCAACTCTATTCAGCTTTACGCACTTAGCCAAAAAATTAAGGGGGATGGCAACCCCACCCACCATTTAACCCATTGTGTTTTGACTATACACGATTTTGGCATTATGCTCTATCCCCGGAGTATAACACACACACACCCGTAAGTTGTACGGTACAGATAACACACACTAAAAGTAGTGTGCCTCTTCCCCTTACCCTTCACTCAGCTTGGGACAATGGGCAAATGGGAACAGGTTTCTTGACATGTATCACTTGCTGAATGAGGAGCACCTGTCCTGTATTTGCAGACAGTTGGCGTGGGACCCATATGACCTAGCTGGCACTCTGCCAAAAATGTAAATAAACACTTTCATTGCACCCACCTCAGATCCTGTGTGCACTTCCCTTCCCAATCCTTCATTGTTCCCTCTCCCCTAATTAACCTGATAACACTATGTATACCACCTCCAGTTGCCCTACACCTTTTTTATTACCTATAATAAAATTAATAAACTTATTTTCTGTCTCTTAGTGCAGTACCCAGGAAGTAATCAGCTTTTTCATGGCACAGGGTAGGTACCACAGTAGACCGAATCCTTTTCTGCCCATCAGACATGGTTTATCCAACGTGCTTGAATGCTTCTGAATTTCCTTTTTTTAAAAAAGCTTTTATTGCCCAAGAAGCGCAGATACGTTCTGAAAGACTCCATTTAACTTTCTCTCTCTCCATTTTTCCTTTGCAAATTGCCCCTTGCACTTTCTTCAAATGCAGCTTTTCTCATGGGAGTAGCCAGGATTTTTGTTAGGAGGGGGCAGAACCTCAGATTTGTATTGGTTTTTATTGATTTTTATTGATTTGGGGGGATAGCTTCCTCTGGCCCTCCTTGGCTACGCCCCTGGGTTTTCTCCTACTGCTTTGATTTTCAGACCTTGATTTCTTTTCCAAATACATTTCTTTAAAAATATATAACATTACTGTAAGATTATAGTAACAAATTATTTGCACTCAAGTGCTTACACTAAAGTGCATGTACTCTATGCTAACCATCTAGCAGCTTGTACATTTGAACTGTGCCTCAGATTTCATCTGTAGATATTCCATTGTGTATCTATTTGTAATATTATCTTGTTCGCTGCCATAGCATTTAGCCAGATTCCCCAAATGTTTAGCAACAGTAACGCTCCATGTCAGGCAGTAAATGCATGTCACGTGTGGTATAATCAGCCCTAGAATTTTGAGAGCTCATATGACATTGTCATGTTGAATCAGTAAGTTCCCACGTGGAATCTCACCTCTGCACTGAGCTTACTGGGAAGCCTTTAGGCAGGCCAGTCTTTCAAGCCTTCTGCTGCCCCAGCTGCAATATGAAGACATCACATTGGGCAAAAGATTCCTGCATTGCAGGGGATTGCACTTGATGACCCTTGTGGTGCCTTCCAACTCTAAATTCTATGAGTTGGTTGTTCTTTTGTCTGACTTGCAGGGCTATAGTAAGAATTAAAGGTAAAGGGACCCCTGACCATTAGGTCCAGTTGTGGCTGACTCTGGGGTTGCGGCGCTCATCTCGCTTTACTGGCCGAGGGAGCCGGCGTACAGCTTCCGGGTCATGTGGCCAGCATGACTAAGCTGCTTCTGGCGAACCAGAGCAGTGCACGGAAACGCCGTTTACCTTCCCGCCGGAGCGGTACCTATTTATCTACTTGCACTCTGACGTGCTTTTGAACTGCTAGGTGGGCAGGAGCTGGGACCGAGCAACGGGAGCTCACCCCGTTGCGGGGATTCGAACCGCTGACCTTCTGATAGGCAAGTCCTAGGCTCTGTGGTTTAACCCACAGCGCCACCCCCGTCCCTTATAGTAAGAATTACAACAAACTAAAAGCTTAGAACACTGGAAAACCCAATAAATCTGATTACAATATTATGTTTTAACTTTTCTGTCAAAAACATTCAATAATTAAAGGTTGGGGACTAGTCAGTTGGCTAAAAGGTTGGGGGCAAGGGCCAGACTTCCTGAGAGGCAGTAAATCATAGGGTTTCTCTCCCCCTGCTCTTTTATGAAAAGAAATTATTTTAGTCACATCCCCACTATACATTGTAAAGCACTCTTGTAACAGTTGTGGCTTTCCCTCAAAATCTTGGGAACTGTCGTTTAAGGGTACTAGTCTCACATAGCTACAATTCCCAGCACCCTTAACAAACTACAGTTCCTAAGATTGTCCATGACTTTTGAATTGGTATGGGTGCTTTAAATGTATGGTGTGGCTGTGACCTCCATCATCGACTATAGAGTGGGGCAGAAACTTTGTTGTGGAATGATTTGTGTCCTTTTTTCTTCTGGCTAGGCTTTGGCGTTGCAGAGACCAAAGCAATCGTGACTCTGCTTTCAGGGATACCCATGGGTCCCCACGACTTCCACTCTCAAGTGCCTCTGAGGAGTTCATTGCCAGTGTCAAACCCAAATTGGAGAGCCTGAAGAACTGTTGCTACAGCTGACTTTAAGTATCCAGTGTGGGCATAGGAACATGGGCCATGCAACTTGGTAAACAGGTCTCACTTGCATACTTGAGATGCATCCTGACTGCTCAGCGTCCGTGAGGAAATTACTCAGTGACTCCTAACAGGGACTATGCATTGATGCCCTCTACATACCTTGCCTGGATGGAAAAGAGTAGCTGCTTTGCTGCTTGGCAGGGATAGGATGCCTCTCCAATAAGAAGAAAATAGCTTATTTTGAAAATAGGAAGATGCAGTTGACAGAACGTCTATCAATTCTTTTGCACTATTGGGGAATCAAGACACAGCTTTGACTCCTTTATGCTTTTCTTGCCACTTTCATATCCCTAACCAAAATACAAACAGGGATATAACTGGATTTAGTACCTTGTAAACCTGAATTGTGTTTACAGAACCCAGACTCTGGAAACTCCAATGTCGACATTATTTCAAGAAGTTCCTAAACTTTTGCAAGTTGTTTTTCTATCTTCCTGCAGAGTTGCTGACATTGTTGGACTCCAACTCCCATTAGCTTCAGCCAGCTTGGCCAGTGGTCAGGGATGATGGGAATTGTAGTCTGAAAACAGCTGGAGACCCAAGTTTGGGAAACACTGAGCTAAAGCTATCCTGCCAGGAGGTCCGATCTTCAGTAAGCACCTAGAGGTGATTCCTCATGAGCAGATCCAATAGTGGGACTCAAGCCTCTTGCTTCAAAATCAGTGCTTTCTAGGAAACAGGTCTATGGCTGGAGATGAGGCCAGGAAGCCTCTCCACCCATCAGGTTGTTTTACAATTCACATCAGGGAGCCTTATCCTGAGTCAGACCATTGTTAACACTGATTGGCAGTGACTGTCCACTCCACGGTTAGTAGGAAGCTGTTCTATGTACCCCCATGGCTGCAGCAGATTCTCCATACCAGTTAGGATCTCAAGGTCAGATACCCGGACTTTTCTGACAAGTAACCTGTGCCCCTGGCAAAGAATTCTGGGAACATTCTGTAGCACACACACGGTTCTTACTGAATGTTGTTCCATTGCTAAGTATGTGAATGGCCTTTAAAAAGTTAATCTAATGGGAGCTTTTCTTCCAATGCAAATAGCCCCTGTGGGGGACTGATCTGGATCATAGCCTAAAATCTCCCACCCACTCTGGATTCTACTATTGGAGAATCCAATAGTAGTTCTAGGGGTGTAGTTTGGGGAATTAGTAACTAATAAAAGTTGGGGTCTTCTTTTGTTCTGGGCTTCCATCTTGTTTCACCTGGTGGCAGGTGGGAGTCATGTCGCGACAGTCTTCAATAAAGACCAAAGCTGCTGTTTTGCTCTGGTATTCCTGGCTGGTGGCCTTGTTTTCTTGTCCAAGGGAGCCCTCGGATTTCTCCGTTAACAGTTGAAACAAGACCCCCTTGGGGTGTTCACTGGCGGAGGAAGAGGGATGTGGGGGGAGCACACCACCCCCGGCAGCGCGATCCTGGTGGGGTGCCTTCGCAGCTGCCCCCCCTGCCCGCGCGGGGTGCCACGCCCCTACAGGCCATGCCCCCAGGATGTGCGCCAGCCCTGCCCTCGCCTGCTCTCCGCGCCCCCCCCCCCCCGGTGCCGGAGCATGAAGCTCTGCCACTGGGGGTGTTGATGCTGTGAACCCCTCTACTGCAGGCTCAAGTTGCATGTATGTAAATAAATAAACCATATATCATAAAAACACCACAGTCTCCACTGTGCCTCATTTCCAAGAGGAAACAAACCCTGAGTGAGTGCTTGAAACAGAAACAGTGTGACCACCTTCCTTAGTGCCAACTAAAAGTGAAAACGCAGCAAAGCGAATTGGCTTTCTCTAGAGTTTCGTAGAACTCTGCCCTCGGTTAGTCCTTGAACAAACAAAGGATGCACATGCAAATAAAGTGAAATGAAAATGCAAATGAAATAAAAACATGCTTGCGCGCCGCCCCGTCTCGCAGCGGCTCCGCGCTTTTGCTTTTGCTCTGGGCTGAAGTGCCGCTTCCATCCGCCAGGGGCGCTCGCTCTCTCCGCGGCTCGGCTGCTGCCCGTCACCTCCCCTAAGTGCGCAGGCGCAGAGGCGCCGCCATCTTGGCCTCTTTGTGGCGAGCGGCGGAGGACCTGGCGAAGCGGGAGCCGCTTGACGGGCCGAGGAAGCTCCTATGCTGGCCAGGGGCTGAGGCAGAGGTACCCGGCGCAGGACAATTTAGCAGGATTTCATTTTTTAAAAGAATAATTGGCATGCGTGGGTGTGAGGGCAGGGGCGCCGGGGAGAGAAAAACGGGCGGGGGAGGCGGGGGAGGGAGGAGAGTGCGCAGGCGCGACGAGGCGGCGGGGAAAATGGAGTGGGAAGCCGCATGCGCAGTAGAGCTGCTTGGGTTGGTGGGCGGGAGCCAGGCGCGCGTGCGCATTTGTGCTCCCTGCTATGTTGGCGTCCGGTTTCATGCATAGAGTCGAGAAGGGCAGAGTCGTGAAACGACCCCTGATTTCCGGGTGTAGTTTGGGCTGTTGGGGGGGAAACCGCGCAAGCGCTCTAGGAATGCAACGGTGATGCCTCCACATCCAAGCCAGTGCTTGGGTTCGATTCATAGAATTGTAGAGTTGGAAGCGGGACGGCGGCAATTTATTTTTATTTTATTTATGTATTCATTACATTTCTGTACCACCTTTATATTTTAATAAAGCTAGAGCGGCCTGTGTTGCAGCCTCAGGTGTCCCTGTTTCATCTGTAAGCCGCCTTGACTCCCTGTCAGGGACATAGCCGGATTACAAATAAATAAATAAAAATAATAGTAAATACCTAACTATTGCCGTCAGCAACGTAAGGATAGAAACATAGAATTTAGAGTGGGATAACAGCTATGGAAATAAGTTGTCTTTTCTCTCGTGTAGCTGAGCTTGAAATAGTGTGGACTGTGCTGACTGGGGCTGATAAAGAAGCCACAGCCTAAAATATCTGGAGGGTACCACGTTGGGGGAGGCTGTGCTAAATGTGAGATAGCTCTGTCGGTAGAGCATGAGACTCTTAACCTCAGGGCCATGGGTCCCACAATGAGCAAAAATATTCTGCATTGCAGCGGGTTGGACTAGATGACCCTCTTGGTCCCTTCCAGCTCTTTTATTGTAGCATTATATCTCAGTGTGGCCAGTGCTTTCAGAGTCCTGAGTTCCCTCTTGTTTTGTGTCAGCGGCTTCTATTTGTGTCCTCCTAACAAAAGGAAAATGTCATTATAGCTAACGGGGGACATCTAGCCTCTGGTCTTGCCGCCTTGTGCTGCCTGGGGCTCCTGGGAGCTATAGTTCAAGAATACTGGAGGGCCACTTGGAGAAGGCTACTCTGGAGAAAGAAAGTTAGTCTATGTCCTAGTGCTTTAAGTATGTTTTTCAACCTCCCACAGTAGGGGCTGCACTACTCCACCCAGTTTTGCCATGGGGGACGTGAAGAATTTCCTGTATGCTTGGTGCGGCAAGCGGAAGATCACCCCAGCTTACGAAATCCGTGCTGTGGGCAACAAAAACCGACAGAAGTTCATGTGTGAGGTGAGAGCCTGTGTCTGAGGAGCTCAGAGCAGCTTTGCTTTGTCTTCATGTGCTCATGCAAGGGTGCTTGGAAAAGAATATTTCCTAAAGCTGGGATGGGCAACATGTTGCCTGGGCCAGTGACCTCTCTTGTCTAGCACCAGGCGCTTTTGGGTGCTCTCCAGAGACTGCATTAAGCAGCCCAAGCCCACACCCTGCTTCGTCCGCCGAAACTGTCCTCCATCCCCATCGCCACTTGCCAACTGCAGCTGGACATCCACACCCTGATTTAGATTGTACTTTTTATGGCAAACAGGTAATGGGAGTTGTTCATTGTAAACGTAAGTTGCTGTATGTTTTGCCATTCAATCCTCTCACTTGAAGAAGTCTCAAAGGCAGTATGCCCAGTTGTTCTCTGCACTTTTTCGTTTTCCAACTTGAAGTCACTTGGAAATGGTATTTGCGATGAGCTGGTGTGGTGTTGAGACTTCCCATGTTTTTCCTTCCTGAGCCTGTGTATCCACTCATTGCAGGTTCGGGTGACAGGCTTCAACTATACTGGCATGGGCAACTCCACCAACAAGAAAGATGCCCAGACCAACGCAGCAAGGGACTTCCTCAATTACCTGGTTCGAGTGAATGAAATCAAAAGTGAAGAAATCCCAGCTTTCGGAGTAAGTGTTTCTGTTCTGGGGGATATGTGATGTGGTATGTCATGATTTTATAATCAAGGTTAGGTTTACTGTCAAGGACCAGGATATGGTCTGAAAGCATATGAAGTGTTTCTAGGTCTGATCAAGTGACTACCTGGAAACCAAATGTAAGCTGCATTTTTTCCAAAAAATTGCTGCAAGGAAGGCCATATACTGAATTCTCAAAATACTTGTGCGAAGTTGCTAATGTTTGTGAAACTTGCATAGTTTATTACTGTGGATGATATTTGAAGATTGTATCCAGCTATGTTTTACTCAGAGTAAATCTATTGAAATGAATGAACCTAAGTTAGTAATGGCAACTGATTTCAGTGAGTCTGCTCTGGGTCTGACTAACATTGGAGGTTTTGTCTTTCCACCCACTTTCTAAGGGTTAGAATCGTTCTTAAAAGAAAAGAAAGCTGAGGCACATAGGAATGCAGAGCCCGATGTGTGGAGGACATGTAAACGTACAAGCCTTTTAAATTAAAATATTTCCCATTGTTTTATCACTTGTTGTTGCCTGGGGCTCCTTTGGAAAGGATGGCAGATTAAAAAATAAATTAAAAGTAAGTCCACCCCAGTTTTGCCCCTCTTTAAGTTGACTATGAAAGGAAAATACTTAGCAGAGTCTGGGTCACATTTGGGGATTGGGGACTCTGAGGAAAGCAACATTGTAATTCACAAAATACTTGTTCTTGCTTAGGCGGGAGCTGTGGGTGCTGGTGATGGAGAAGTGGCTGGAACAGAAGAAGGTGCAGATGGGTTTACTACACCTTTGGGAGGGCCGATTCCTCCTCATCTGGCTCTCAAAACAGAAGTAGGTAAGGCACTGAACACCTGCGTCTTACATGCCTTATATGTGTTACACTCTTGGTGCTTTATAAATCAAGAGGTTGGGAAGACAGAGGTGGTGAGACTCTGGGGAATTCTATTAAAATGTACTCACAGCATGTGTTTTACAGCTATTAGGAAACACTTCGCTTTCTTCTCTTCCCTGATAGATGGTGTTCCTTCTTCTGGAGTTGGAAGCTCTGGCTATGGGGTAACTCAGTGGGACCGCGGAGCTAATCTGAAGGATTACTATTCCAGGAAGGAGGAGCAGGAGGCTCAGGCAGTAAGGGTTGTTTCTCTCTCCCCCCCGCCCCTTTAAGATAAGTTCAGTACACATTATAGTTCCAGGTCGGTTGATACATAGAAGATACTTCCATATGCTTGTTTGGTGGGGTGGAATTTATGTGAGATTATTCTGCAGGTAAAGCTCAAATATTTGATATTTTTATCTTCTTGGTTAGCATATGAAGTAACTTTTGTTACTGTTACGCTTCCTTTAATCTACGGCTATATTTGGGGGATAGTGGAATAATTCTGGGCATATTACAAAATAGATTCTCAGGGGTTGCCTATCAGAACATGTGGAGTCTCCAATACACAGTTCTAATGGTTTAGTCATAGTATTAAAGTTGTTTAATTTACTGTGGAAATGCTTATCTTAGCTTGCAGACAAGATGATCCAGAAATCTTAAAGCCTGTTTCTTCTAATACTGACATGTAACAAAGTTAAGAGTGGCCCTTGTAAACTTTAATTACAAGACATTTGTTTCTTACCATCAGACTTTGGAGTCAGAAGAAGTAGACTTAAATGCTAGTCTTCATGGGAATTGGACCTTAGAAAATGCCAAGGCACGCCTGAACCAGTTTTTCCAAAAAGAGAAGATTCAAGGAGAATATAAATACACCCAAGTGGGGCCTGATCACAACAGGTTTGCTAGGTTTTCTCCTTTGTGTTGCTGATAATGTTGAAATGCTTCTTGGCTGCTCTGCACTTTCAAATAGGGAATTTAGTTAACTTAATGGATACGCAAATCAACTATTTGTCGGTCTCTCTAATCTAGCCACTGCCAGGAGCATAGCCTCCGTAGAGCTGCATTCCCTCTGCTGAGAACATACAGTTTTGTGTTTTGGCAACTGCCCGCCCCATTTCTCTCCTCCCTTTCAAGGAACTTGTACCATTATTTGACTTCAGCTTTCCAGATAACAGCCAGTCTTCTGGCTACAGTGCTGCTTTTGAAGCTGAGCTTGGAAGAGGTCTGTATTTTAGTGTCCTATATTTGCACTTAAAGAACAGAAACAGGCCTGGTGACACACTTCCAGGGCAAGGAGGCAATTCCCCTGTGATCCCTTCTGGCTGGCAAAACAACAGCAGGAAATCTGGAGGGAGGACTTCTTGCATCACTTCAACAGCTGTCTCTGAAAATTCCAGAAGCCAGGAGCAGCTGATACCGTCTGCTTGGTGAAGCCTATGAGACACCAGGAGTATCCTCTTTAAGGAAGGAATTGGAAGATAAAACTGTAGAGTGAAAGATATATTTTTTTAAGGCCGTCCAATTTTAGCTGTGTAAACTGCTTTGAGAATATTCCTTTTATGTCAAGGGTGGGAAAGGGCACATGCTGCAGTTATAGCTAGTGCTCACGGCAACGATACTTGCGGGTTTCTGGTGTCTCTTTCGAAAACACCACCAGGTGTGCAAGAAAAGGCAGTGCAATAGGGGAGAACCAGGAGGTCAAGGACCTCTCTTGTTCTGGCTCCAATGATCCATAGTTGGTTGGGCTGAATATGTTCCATCTGAACTGGGCCATTGTGTAATCAGAATCAGATTTAATTTCTGGCTTTAAGTGTACTTTGTGACATTACTTTTTTCTTCCAGCTTCCAGTGGAGATAATTGCTTTGAGTACGCAAAACATTGTCAGGGTTGCCATCTTTTTACTGGCCCTACTCCTGGGTGTTAAATCAGCAGCCTGGCGTGCAGTAATCACTTTGGTAAAGCTTCACTATCCCAGGAAAAAACTTTGCCTGCTTAATTTCTGCATGACAGACTAGAATACAAAAGAGTGGTACTGGTAAAAAGGTGGCAGCCCTAATTTTGAATGCTTTGGAAGGTGTTAATTACAGAATATTTTTCCACCCAACTGTTGTGGAAGTTGTACTTCTCTGGAATGTGACTTCCAGTCTGTTTGCTTGATGAAGATGGGAGCAGTGAGTGACAGTACGTTTCTCAGCCTGCTTGCTATTTTCCAGAGAGCATTCCAGGGTGTAGAACTTGTTACTCCCAGGAAGGCTCGGATGGATCACTTGTGTCTGCAGGGAAGCAAAAAGATGTTTTCGAAAACATGCTGTGATATATCCAATGGTTTAGATTTATCTAAAACTTAAACTTGCTCAGTAGTGAGAAGGTGGGGGATGCATAGTTTGTGTAGCCTGTGCAGTGCAGTGTTTCCCAAACGGGTCTCCACCTGTTTTTGGGCTACAACTCCTATAATCCCTAGCTAGCAAGACCAGTGGTCAGGGATGGTGGGAATTGTAGTCTAACAACAGCTGGAGACCCAAGTTTGGGAAACACTGTTCTAGTGGATGACTGCAGTTACGCAAACAAAAATTCTGAGAAAGCATGGTTTGGTTGTATTGGTAAGTTTTGATGTTTCCTTTTTAGTGTTACAAAAACTTCTGCTTCCAGTTCTAGAATAACTAGAGGTCACCATTATATCAAATTCTGCTGTCCCATCTTTTAAAGTGCCAGCTGCCTGGTTCCATCCTGATTTGAGTAAAGCCCATCCCTTTGCGCAGACCTAACTTGTCCCAAATCGAAAAGCCCTCCTCCCAACACCAGTTTTGTTTTAAACTCATCTAACACGGAACTCTGATTGACTTGAAACTGGAAGCAGATTCCCAAACCAACCTATTTTAAAGTTTTAAGAAAAAAAGCTTAGCTACTGGAAACAGTTCATACTATTTTTTGCTCTTCTAAAGGAGCTGTGCACATATTTCTATCCCATTTTTATAAATATAAATATGCTTCCTTTGGGTAGTCTCATAAAAAAGCTAATTGCAACTTTGAAACTGGCCATTTGGGCTAATACCGTGTCTGTTCATTATGTAACTGATTCATTTTGTGAAAATTAAGAAGTGGATAGTTTCCCATGGACAAATACAGCAGGGAATTTTTTTTAAAATTCCACATCATAGATGAGAGTTGGTACCATGTCTTCCTGGCATTTCATTTGTGATTGGATGTTTCTTTCCAGAAACTAGTTTGGGAGTATATAATTCTAAACACAAGCATGCTTTCCTTGCGCACAAACAGGGTGCTCTGTCAGATGGCAGGGTGGGAAGATGACTCCATAGCAGCATTGCAGGTTAAGCTCCAGGCCGAAAGGGGTGGCCAACTGCAACACCAGAGATTTTTGCTCATTCACACATGTGCTGCTGCTTAGGCTGTACTAAGCAATCACATGGGGATCTATTGTAAATTGATTTCTGGTGTTGCTGTTCCCCCCCAGGTGGAGGAGAATGAATTGAGTGCTGGATATAAGCCTGGCTGAGAAACATACTGGCATCGGTGTCATTAATGAAAGGGTGGCTGTTGTGTCCCTGAGAGCCAGTGGCCTTTTGACTCATGAAGCCGCTGTGCCTGAAGGTCAGTTCACTGGGGGTTTAGGAAGAGGCCTCTGAGCGTAATATAACTTCTCTTGTTTGCAGTGAGATATCAAAACCTTGAACTAGTTGCAGGTGCAATGTGATCTTCTTGCAACACAGCAGAAATGCTGGGGGCAATTCCACCTATTAAAGTATAAGGAGACCTCAACAAATTTTAAAACCCAGTTTGAGTTAATTACCATTCCCAAGCAATTTATTTAAAACCTGACAGTTCTTACACATGTTTACTCAAAAATGCATCCCACTCAGTTAAATGAGTAACTTTCTGAGGACTGTCACCCAAACTTCATTGGTAATAGGTGTATGCGTTGTAACATAAACATATTTAGGACTATAGCCTTGTCCATTCGTACCTTAAATGACCAAGGTATTTGTGGAAACTAAACCAACTGATCGCATTCTAAAGCAGGTAAAAATAAGAGCCACGTGAAGCTGTGTATTTATCTTGCTACCTTAGATGGGTAGTTCCAACCTCAGCCATATTTTTCCTAGATAGCTTGTTGAGGGAAGTGCTACCTTTACTGTTGCCTATTTTGCCAGATTAGTCATATTTTGGCTCCTTTTTGGGCAAAAGCCTGCAGTTGCAGATGTGAGGCTGAGATAGACAAAATCCTAAATGGAGTTTTTAAAATCTGGTTCTTTTTGGGTTTTGTACAGTGTGCTTCTATTCTGCAATTAAATCCTGTAATTTTTTTAGTCTAATTAATTTTTTCTTCTCAATGGATTCATATTAATTTGGAAGCTTATTATTTGCCCATTCTTTTTTAACCAGCAAGACGTACAGATTATAAATTATTCTCTTAAGAACACCTTAACCTTTAAAACATTGTAAAAACATATGTGCTTGGAAAGAGCTGCTCATTTTACAGTTACTTTACAGCGAAGTCATTAATTTTTTTTAAAGTGCTAATCATGTGGAGTTAACAGTGAAAGTTTGAATTTTATTGGGCTTTGCTTAATGGAAAAGGCCTGGCTATGTTGGAGGTGCCTAGTTTGATCTCCCTCAAAAACTAAAGCCCTAATACTCTGCTTTCTGTATGTGTTGCAGGAGCTTTATTGCAGAAATGACCATTTATGTCAAAAAGCCGGCTAGAAGTAAGTGTCTTATTGGGAGTGAATTTAGTGTTGTATTTTGTGCAATCCCTATTGGAAGTTTTTTTTAATATACTGTTGGTTTTGGTGGTGTTAGTGAGTCTCAACTCTTTCAGGCACTTGCAGTTGAAATCAGTATGTGAAGTACAGTTCCCTTCCTAGTGGGGTGGGAGAGCTGAAAATAATGCCAATATATTTCACATCTGGCAACCAGTGCACCCCTTTGGTGTCAGATAGTACATGGGTAAAGGTAAAGGGACCCCTGACCATTAGGTCCAGTCGTGACTGACTCTGGGGTTGCGGCGCTCATCTCGCTTTATTGGCTGAGGGAGCCAGCGTACAGCTTCTGGGTCATGTGGCCAGCAGGACTAAGCCGCTTCTGGCGAACCAGAGCAGCGCACGGAAATGCTGTTTACCTTCCCGCCGGAGCGGTACCTATTTATCTACTTGCACTTTGATGTGCTTTCAAACTGCTAGGGTGGCAGGAGCTGGGACCGAGCAACAGGAGCTCACCCCGTCACGGGCATTCGAACCGCCGACCTAGGCTCTGTGGTTTAACCCACAGCGCCACCCGCGTCCCACAGTACATGGGTAGATGAGTCTAAAAAGCCCAGGACACGGCCCTTTAGCAGCTATGATGGCTCATTTACCAGAAGTAATGTATTTAGCATTAGCTCTGGAAGTGTATACTCAATTCTGACCAAACTAAGCCTCCTGGTGTATATTTTTCTCTAGGAGACATGTTGTAGCCTATAGCCCAAACTACTCTGGGTCCCCTTGATTCCATGCCCACACATGCCAGCCCTCTTATTACATGTTAGCCAACAAGGCACACAACTAGAGAACCAAGACCCTGCGGGGGGTTGGATCAGATGAGCCTTGTGGTCCCTTCCAATGTCCTATGATTCTTTGTGTTCCCTGATGGTAATTAAGTACCAAAGCAATTTGATTACTTGCACTGATAAAATTTCACGGCTTCCGCTTGTGATCTTTGAGAAGTTTCATTGTTGTTGTTTAGTGACTTCTGGTTGGGAGATGGCGCTGTGAAACACATCTCTATTTTCTCTTTGGACTAATAAAATTTCAAACTATGGCAATATTGGACTGCTCTATTTCAGGAATCTATGCTCGTGAGCATGGCTCAAACAAAAAGCTGGCTGCCCAGTCCTGTGCTCTGTCTTTGGTTAGGCAGCTCTATCACTTGAACATCATTGAGCCTTACTCTGGACAGACCAAGAAGAAGGAAGGCGAATCAGTGAGTCCTGTTGCAAATGTCCTATGCTGTTGTGTGTGCGTGTGTTTGTGCACGTGCACAAATGCATTCCTCAGACTTGTAAAAGATTTCATTCTGTTGAATAGTCACCAGGCTAGAGTGTCTTTTTGTAGCACTGTGGAGCCTTTCTGTATCGACTGGCTTTCTTGATTTGATAATGGCTGGTTTTGGATACTTGCTCTGTTTTAAATTTTTTCCCCTTTTTGATGAGGCAGAAGACTAAAACATCCCTCCCAAAGTTAAGCACTTTTAAGTACAGTTGCTATGTTTTGGTTTTTAGATACGACACATATACAGTGGTGCCTCGCAAGACGAAATTAATTCGTTCCGCGAATTTTTTCGTCTAGCGAATTTTTCGTCTTGCGAAGCACGAAATCCCATAGGAATGCATTGAAAATCAATTAATGCATTCCTATGGTCAAAAAAAGTCTAAACAAAGCCAAATTTGGTACAACACGAGTTTATTAAGTGCTCTTTAAAGTCACACATACTGTAAAGAGCATTTCAAAATTCAAACCCAGAATTTTTTTTAAAAAACAGCAGAGTTGCCCAATGGTCACAGAAAATCATAAAAATGCAGAAAAAAACCCACAAGCTTCCAGATTCTTGCAAACCCCTCCCCAACTGTTCCCCAGCCACCCAGCACACAGAAATTCAAATCCAGAATTTTTTAAAAAACAGCAGAGTGGCCCAATGGTCACAGAAAATCATAAAAATGCAGAAAAAAACCACACAAGCTTCCAGATTCTTGCAAACCCCTCCCAACACCAAGACCTTGAAAACCAAACACCCCAACCCAAAAACCAAACCCCCAAAAAGTTTTAAAAGCTTAACTTACCAAATGGCTGCAAAAGAAGTTTTGGAAAAGCTTCAAAATCACCAAAGTCTTTAAAACCTCAAAAAGGCTACTATGTACACTGCATGTTCTATGAGTTGCTCCTCAAAGTCAAGTCGCAACTGTATTAACGGTGTTAAGAAAAGGAAACAAACTTTGCAAGACGTTTCGCCTTGCGAAGCAAGCCCATAGGGAAATTCGTCTTGCGAAGCAGCTCAAAAAACGGAAAACCCTTTCGTCTAGCGAGTTTTCCGTCTTGCGAGGCATTCATCTTGCGGGGCACCACTGTATTTACTTTTAAAAAGAAAGAAGAAGTTTTCGTGGTTTAATGTGATCTATTTCCTATTTGTGTTCTGAGCCAAGAATATTATGACTTCCTTTTCTGTAAGCAAGTGTACTGTGCAAGTACATCTTTCAAGGGAGTGGTTTCTTTATTGGATCTGAGAACATCTTTACGCATGTCAATTTCATAGGTGGAGCCTTACGAAGTCAACATCTCTTCAGATTTAGAATATCACTTGCAAGGCATCGTTGAGGAGATGTGTCTTGAAACTGTTCCACCGGTGAGTGTGTGGTCAAGAACAGCTTTCTTTTCACTTTCTCAGTCAGATGGGATTCTGCCTATTTTCACTAAGCACTGTGTTATTTTTCTAACTAACTTGGCAGCCCGAAGATCCCAACTTCCCTGCTATTCTCAACATTGGAAAGTTGGCCCACTTTGAACCATCCCAGAAACAGAATCAGACAGGGGTTGTGCCCTGGTCCCCCCCTCAGTCAAACTGGAATCCGTGGACTAGCTGCAATATTGATGAGGGTCCTCTGGCATACGTAAGCCTACAGTTCATATATTTTATTGTGATTCCTGGCATGACTCATTTTTACTTTTTACAGAAATTTGTTTGCTGTTTACTTAGTTGGCTTTGTTGTACCTATTTTAAAGCAGTATGTATCTTCAAATCTTGTGATCTTTTCTCAGGCTACACCAGAACAGATAAGCATTGACCTAAAAAGCAACCTCGTGTATCAGCTGGAAAATGATCAGGAACTGCAAAAAGTAAGTCAGCTGACATTTAGTGATCTTGAGCCTTGTGATAGGTTTTCACAGGTTAGAGAAAATTGCAAGGATATATTTTTGGGAGTGCTTGCTTTACATTACCACAGATATTAGCCAAAATGTCTTATAGACTTGGGTTAGTTTGGGGTATAAAGCCAAACTCTACATACATGGAGCACAACTCCCAAGATACATGCTATCTTACTTCCACATACCTTGTCCCTGTCTGTCATTTCCCAGTGGCTCTTCTCCATCTGCTAGGGGGCAGGTTCTTTGGAGTAAGATTTGGCCAGGTATTGTGCCTGATCACTTCTACTTCCTCCTTTGTCCTAGTCTGCCAGAGAAGGTTGTAGGTCTTTGAACTGGCAGAAGCATATTCACCAGTATGATGCGCATATGTACACACACACACACACACACTTGAAAAGATCTTTGTGTTGTATATAATGGGGAAGAAACCAAAGGGTATACTTAGATCTCCAAACTTTCAAAGTGTGCAGAAGTTGGGGTGAGGAAGACAGTGGTTTATTTGCTAATACATAGCCAGGAAACTGCCAATTGCCAGGTTATTTGCTGAATATTAATCACAAACTGCTCTCTGTCCCAGATTCTTCAAGAGAGGGAAACCCTGCCTGTGAAAAAGTTTGAGCGAGAGATTCTGGATGCCATCCACCAAAATTCTGTTGTCATCATCCGTGGGGCAACAGGCTGTGGCAAAACCACACAAGTTCCACAGTACATCCTGGATGAATTTATTCACAGTGGAAGAGCTGCTGAGTGTAATGTGGTTGTGACTCAGGTGAAGAGCCTGTTCAGAGCAGTCCTTAAGATTGGTGAAGTATTTGGGAATAATACCCATCAGAATTAGTTGCCACGAAATTTAGTAAACCAAGCCGTAATATATCCTTAGTGCTCCCATTTGTCATCTTGTGGATGCAATGCATACTTCTCAACCATCCCTGTGAGATTAATTTGCTAATTGTCCATCACTGTGCTGTAGTTAACTTGAAAATGACTGAGTAATGTATCTTTTAAAAAAAAAAAAATTATTTATAAATTTTTTCAAATATAACAATAAAGGAAAAACATTCCATCCAAAATTTACATCCAGTTCTAATCTTTGCACTTTCAGACTTCCCTCAGTCTATCTGGAAATTTTCCGTATTATCACAATTATTCACATTTCTTCCATCTATATTGTTTGGGTTTTTTTAACCATATTAATCTTAACAATTATTATAAAACAATATTTCTTTCCATTATTATCACAGAGCTTCTTGAAAACCTACAAACGTTAATTGTTCTTCGCATATATTTTCAATATACTCTGTAAATTTATTCCAGTCCTCGGTAAATCTTTGGTCTCGCTGGTTCCGAATTCTCCCCGTTAGTTTATCTAATTCTGCGTACTCCATCAACTTCATTCTCCATTCTTCTTTCATCGGGATTTCTTCCTGTTTCCATTTTTGTGCCACCAGGATTCTTGCCGCTGTTACTGCATATAAAAACAACTTCTCATCCTTCTTTTTTATATCATTTCTTAGTATTCCTAACAGAAAGGCTTCTGGTTTCTTAACAAAAGTATATTTCAACATTTTTTTCAACTCATTGTAAATCATTTCCCAGAAATCTTTCATTTTTTTACATTCCCACCACATATGATAAAATGTTCCTTCTTTCTCCTGACATTTCCAACATTTATTACTAACTTTATACATCTTTCCAAGTTTTACTGGTGTTACATACCATCTATATAACATTTTCATAACATTTTCTTTTATTGTAGTACATGCAGTAAATTTCATTCCTTCTTTCCACAGTCTTATCCAGTCATCAAATTGAATATTATAACCAAAAACTTTGGCCCATTGAATCATTGCAACTTTAACCTCTTCATCCTTAGTATGCCACTCAAGTAATAATTTATACATTTTAGATAGAATTTTAACATCATTATTCAAAATTTCTTTTTGAAATCTAGATTTTTCTTCTTGAAAACCTCTTTCCAGCATCTCTTTTTTAAACATCGCATTCAATTGGAAGTAATGTAAACAATCATACACATATTCTTTAACTTCTTCGTATGGTTTCAATTTCCATTTATTTCCTTCTTTTATAATTAAATTCTCATATGTAATCCAACTCCCGGTCATATTGATCTTCTTAACACTCATTACCTCCAATGGCGACAGCCAGAATGGAGTTTTAAACTCTAATATATTTTTGTACCTATTCCACACTTCAATCAGCAGACCTCGGAATATGTGATTTTCAAAACCTTTATGCACTCTTTTTTTCTCATACCATAAATATGCGTGCCAACCAAATCTATTATCATAACCTTCTAAGTCCAAAAGTTCTGAATTTTCTAACTTTATCCATTCTTTCACCCAGCAAAGACATGCAGCCTCAAAATATAACTTTAAGTCTGGCAGGGCAAAGCCTCCTCTATCTTTTGCATCTGTTAAAATCTTAAATTCTATTCTGAGCTTCTTGCCCTGCCAGATATATCTTAATAATACTCTTTGCCACTCTTTAAATATCGTCACACCTTTAATTATTGGTATTGATTGAAATAAAAACAACATTTTTGGTAGCACATTCATTTTTATCGTTGCAGTTCTTCCCCAAAATGATAACTTCATTCTCCCCCACACTTCCAGGTCCTTCCTAATCTTATTCCATATCGGTACATAATTATTTTGAAAAAGATCAATACTCTTGGGAGTTAATATAATCCCAAGATATTTAACTTTCTTAACCACTTCCATCTCTGTTTGTTGCTGACTTCTTTCTAATATCACTTGGTCCATATTTTTAACCATTATTTTCGTTTTGTTCTTATTTAATTTGAAACCGGCAACTTGTCCAAATTGCTCTATCTCTTCTAAGACTTCCTTAACACTTTTAATAGGGTCTTCTATTGTTATAACCAAATCATCAGCGAAGGCTTTTACCTTGTATTCCTTCCTATTAATGTATCCTAATAGGAAAAGGGTACAGACAGTGACATCATCTCAGCTCAGTTTACAAAAACTGTCTTTGTCAATTGAGACTGCATTTTCCTCCTCAAGTTTTCCAGTATGAAAATGTACATGTTGGAATTTGTATTTAATTTATTTAAAGCATTTTTGCCCTGCTCAACAACTGAAAAGACAATCGTTTATTTTCAGTTTTATGTTTATCAGAGGACTGAGGTTTTTTGGATAAAGGTTTTTTTGGATCAGAGTTGTCTTGGCCCTGACTCTTTCAGGTTTTGAAATGCTAGCATTAATTTTTGGCTTTCTTCCTGCCCAGATGTGGGTGGGTGGAGAGATTGCAGATCACTGAATCCCCAGCATCCAATGTTTGGGTACCTTGGTATCATGACACCTGTGATGTTTCCACCTTTTCATAGATGCTGTTTGAATGTATTGTTTCCAGTTCTATGATTTTCATTCATGAGTTTGTTGCAGGGAATTGGTGTTGATGAGTTGGTGCAGATTTCATATTTTGAATTGAAAGATATTTCTTTTAATTCTATAGCCCAGGAGGATCAGTGCTGTTTCTGTGGCAGAACGAGTCTCCTACGAGAGAGGAGAAGAACCTGGGAATAGCTGTGGTTATAGTGTCCGCTTTGAATCGGTGCTTCCCCGACCCCATGCCAGCATGATGTTCTGCACTGTAGGTGTGTGCTGCTTTCCATTCTCTCATTTCCAGGCTAGGATAGTGAGGTGATATAGAAAATCTGGAGCTAAGCAGAGTTGGAGAACCTCATCTCACAGTGGTTTTAGTCATAGCGAACATGAAAATGATTGAAATCTTAGAAACTTACTTCATGCAGCCTCTGTCTAGAAGCTTTGCGCTAGAATGAAAATGGCGCCATTTCCTCCTCATGAGAGAGGTAGCTGTCAAACCCATAGTAGTAATTGGAAAGGAGCTGTAGAAAGGGCTTAGATGTGTGTTTGTACTGAGGGGTTGGAGGTGTTTTTTTATTTTGTTTTTTGTAGAGGGGGGGCTGGGATTTCCCCCCCTACCCATTTCTGACCTTCACCTGATACCTATCTTCATTGACATGAATTTCTTTTTTCTCCTTCAAGGTGTCCTCTTGAGAAAGCTGGAAGCTGGCATCCGTGGAATCAGTCATGTTATTGTGGATGAAATCCATGAGAGAGACATTAATGTAAGCTTTGAACTCTACCCAAACAGCTTGTTTGCCACCTAGCTCCCTTAACATTTTGTAAGCATGCCTATTGTTGTGAAAGGGAGTAGGTGCTTCTGTTAGGTTCTGCTGACACTATGTATCTGCACCATTAAAACAAAGTTGTCCTAAGCTTACAAAGTGGTGGTTCTCTTGTTCACCTCTAGCCCCTGCTAGAGATCTACATGCTAGTACCTAGAGCTATCCTTTAGGCAAATCGGGTAGATAGAAAATAACTCTACAAAATAATCCATTGGTCCTGTAACTTTGAGCAAATGTGAAAGGTGCACTCCGAAGCACCCCAGCATTCATCAGATGGTGGGAACTAGAATGGGGCATTGTTACTACTTTATATTGGGGGTTTAGATTGCAGTGGACTTTAGTTGTCACATCGTTGCTAAGAGACTGAGCTATGAATTGAGAAGCCTGCAGTATGAATGCCCTCTCTGCCATGAATTCACTAGGAATCCTTGTGCAAGCCACCTTTCCTCAACCACCCATCTGCACTATCTGCCCCTCCTTTTCTTAATTCTGCCTTCTGTCTTGTGGTGTTTTTGGTAATAGCTTTAATGATGGAATCACTGTTTTTATTTTTTCTATTTCTATATTTTGCTAGCCACTTTGAAGGGGAAAAGCAAGATATATATATTTTTTTGATATGGATAAATAAATAAATAAATAAATATGGGGATAACAACCCTTGTGTAGCTGCAGAACCTGTGGCCCTGCAGATGTTGCTGAACTGCACCCCCTCCATCATTCCTGACCAGTAGCCGTGCTGACTGAGGTGGATGGGAGATGGAGCCCAATGGCATCGCAAGGACCACAGGTTCCCCACCCCTGTTCTAAGGCTACACGGTAGTGATGTGAAGTGTTTTGAACAATATAAATGCTAAGTACCTCAACTGGCGATCCCTTGATACGATAACATGATACGTAATAAGCAGTCAAATTCATAGGCGCCTTAAATTTGATTCAGAGTTCAGGTGTGTTTGTTTTCTTTTTTAAGGGTTGTTTTTTCTCTCCACAGACTGACTTCCTATTGGTGGTTCTGCGGGACGTCATTCAGACCTACCCTGAAATCAGAGTGATCCTCATGTCTGCCACCATTGATACCACCATGTTCTGTGAATACTTCTTTAATTGCCCCATCATTGAGGTCTTTGGCAGAACCTACCCTGTTCAAGGTGAATGGCTGCCCAAAGGAATATTAGAAAAGCTGGAATAAAGGACGTTGTCATTTGGTGTCATGGGGATATCCTTACAGTGTCAGAACACTGGCATGAATTGCAGAGCTGACACAATTGAATTGCTAATGCCAGAAATAAGATTGTTTCTAGTACAGACACAGTTACCAGGTTATATATTTTTAATGCTTACAGAACTTTTATCTGTATTGTACCTTTTACCTGGGGAGATAAAAGCAACAGTAATTTGGACATTTTACTGTTTTTCTGCCAATATTTGGTTGGGCAGGATAGAGGTGAGCCTTCATCTTCAGAATCTTTTGGGTCATCCCGCTGGAGGTCCCTGCAGAATCCTAATAATAATAAGAAATAATAATAATTTATTACTTATATCCCACCCATCTGACCGAGTCTCCCCAGCCACTCTGGGCAGCTTCCAACAGAATATAAAAAACACAATAAAACATCAAACTTTAAAAACTTCCCTAAACAGGGCTGCCTTCAGATGTTTTCTAAAAGTCAGGTAGTTGTCTATTTTGTTGACATCTGGTGGGAGGGCGTTTCACAGGGCGGGTGCCACTCCCAAGAAGCCCCTGTGTCTGGTTCCCTGTAACCCCACTTCTTGCAGTGGGGGAACCGCCAGAAGGCCCTTAGTGCTGGACTACTAATGAATAGTTAGTTGATAAGATAATCCCTACAATAAATGCTCTCTCTGTTTTAGAGTATTTTCTGGAAGACTGCATTCAGATGACTAAATTCATTCCTCCGCCAAAGGACAAAAAGAAGAAGGATAAAGATGAAGATGCTGGTGAAGATGACGATGTGTGTTGGGGTTTTTTTACATGTACAATTTCTGCAGCACTCATAAGAACAGTAATGATAATGCATGCGTAAAGGTAACGGGACCCCTGACCATTAGGTCCAGTCGTGACCGACTCTGGGGTTGCGGCGCTCATCTCGCTTTATTGGCCGAGGGAGCCGGCGTACAGCTTCCGGGCCATGTGGCCAGTATGACTAAGTTGCTTCTGGCAAACCAGAGCAGCGCACGGAAACGCCGTTTACCTTCCTGCCGGAGCGGTACCTATTTATCTACTTGCACTTTGATGTGCTTTCGAACTGCTAGGTTGGCAGGAGCAGGGACCGAGCAACGGGAGCTCACCCCGTCGCGGGGATTTGAACCGCCGACCTTCTGATCGGCAAGTCCTAGGCTCTGTGGTTTAACCCACAGCGCCACCTGCGTCCCTCAATGCATGCATACATATAACTTAAACATACAGAAGAACTTTCTGACAGTAAGAGCTGTTCAACAGTGGAACAGTCTCCCTCGGAAGGTTGTGGACTCTCCTTATTTGGAGGTATTTAATCAGAAGTTAGATGGCCATCTGTCAGGGATGCTTTAGCTGAGATTCCTGTGTCGTAAGCAGTTGGAGTAGTTGAACCTCAGGGTCCCTTCCAACTCTACAATTCTATTATTCTATGGGAGGGAATTGAGCAGGTTGCAATATTTTTACCTCTTTATACTACTTTGAACTTTGGCTTATTCTACTTTGTATAAGAAGCAAGATTAAATTATACAAAAGCCCTGTACAATAAACCAAGACTGCACTTCACTTAGGAGTCAAGATATTTTGCAACCAAATACATCAGGCCTTACAGAGGCATTACTGCAGTGTACTAGAAGGTTCACACTAGGAAATGAGTAAGGTGGTTTAATATTCATGATAGGTTGGTATTCCCTCTGCTTCAATTTAGAAACCAAAACTTTTTTTATGTCTCTCATGTGTTCCTGAGGGTTGCTGACTTTTAGCTGCTGTTTCTTTGGTTTACCGTATTTTTCGCCCTATAGGATGCACTTTTCCCCCTCCCAAAATGAAGGGGAAATGTGGGTGCATCCTATGGGGCGAATGCAGCGCGCCTTCCCGCTATCCCCCGACCTGGTTTGAAGGCTGGCAGCGGGGAGAAGCGTGCTTCTCCCTGCCGCCAGCCCCACAAGCTCGGGACAGCGGGGAGGTGCAGTGCGCCCAGGCTTAGCTTCACGCAGCTCTTCACAAGCTTGGGAGCCCGGCGCCGGGCTCCCACGGCTTGCGGAGAGCTGCCTGTTCTGGGGGCTGAGGTCGGGGGAAGCTCGGGCTCCCCCCGCCCCAGCCCCGCGCCTCAGGGGGGAAATGTTTTTTTTCCCTTTATTCCCCCCCCCCAAAAAATTAGGTGTGTCCTATAGGGCAAAAAATATGGTACTTTCTGGTATGAGTGGCTATATTACTGAATTTTTGGTTTCTGTATCCTATATCTGTTGCATTAATCAGCATTTTGTGATTTCATGAAAGCTGTCCTGGGCATCAAACAGTAGAAAGACTGGTCATAAATGTCTAAATAAATAGCTGGTAAATGAAAACCTTACACCTTCAACCCCTCTTATTAGAACTTGCTTGACAATTCCAAGTTAAGAGTCCTCATCTCTTATTGGGGGAAAAGTTACAATTTTGGCAGCAGATTTCTTTGAAAGTAGGGCCAGAATAAGTTCCGGTTTATTGAGCAGTGAGAACTGAACCAGCAAATGCAGTCCTTTCTATTCTGGGCATTCATGTCTTTATGAGCTGTTGGTAGGGGAAGTGTTCTCAAAGTGCTGTTTTCTCCTCTCTTGTAGGCCAATTGCAACCTTATCTGTGGTGATGAATATGGCCCAGAAACGAAGCGCCGCATGGCCCAGCTGAATGAGAAGGAGACCCCCTTTGAGCTCATTGAGGCCTTGCTGAAGTATATCGAGACCCTGAATGCGCCAGGAGCAGTCCTTGTTTTCTTGCCTGGCTGGAATCTGATCTACACCATGCAGAAATACCTGGAAATGAATCCACACTTTGGTACAAGCACTTTTCAGCTTTCCTCCTGCCTTTGTTGCTTCTTATCTGATGTGTTCATGAAGGTGAAAGAAATCTCGGTCTCCCTTATGTGAAAGGAGTGAGTGCTTGAAAGAGAGTGAATGGTAGTATTTAAAAATAGTGGGGGGTGAGAGGGATGTTCAGTTGTGCGTATGGAGTTTTAAAACATTTGCTTTCACATGCTCTTATTATAGGAAGCCAGAGGTACAGAATACTTCCCCTGCATTCCCAGATTCCCCGAGAGGAGCAACGCAAAGTATTTGACCCAGTGCCGCCTGCAATGACCAAAGTGAGCCTTCCTTTTGTACTCTAGGCAAGGAGTGTAGTAGGTAGTCCCAGGTAATATTGTATTCAGAATAGATTTATGTTTGTTTTTCTAGGTAATTTTATCTACCAACATTGCAGAGACGAGTATTACCATTAATGATGTCGTCTATGTTATTGACTCTTGCAAGTGAGTTTTTGTTCCTCTTGTTTCTTTGGTTTGATCTGCAAAATGGGTTTTATGTTGTCCCGCCTGCCAGAAAGCTTAAGATTAAGCATGCAGAACCTTTTTCATCTGTTACAGTTAGGAACCACCAAGCTAAAGTACACAGCCAGGGGCTTGGTGGAAATCTGTATTTCCTGACAGGCCAGATGGATGCTTAAACAGACACCTTAGGGCAGGTGTGTGTAGGATGCTTTCTTTGCCATGTGGATGTAATGGGGCAGCAGCGACTGGGGAAAATGCTTAAAATTTGGAGCTTTTCTCCACTGATTTCTTAGAACATGCCTAAGGTAAGACTTAACACATTTTGAAATTACACTTTATAAACATGGGCAGGTCAGGATTGGGTTCATCTGTTTGATTAATGTGGCTCTTAAAGCCATGTATCAATGGTACATGTTCAGAAAAGTGAGGATGTACTGGACCTGTGAAGCTAATTCTGCAGATTTTGCCAGGCTTCTACATATGTGCTCATCGTGGAAAGTGTATCATCACCCTCTGGTGAGCATGATGTGGAACCAGCCTTGTAGCAAAGTGGGGATTGTCCTGGCAGTTGCACATGAGCCCTCCCTATGTCCCTCCCTTGCCCATAGGTGAAAAGAAAGCCGGGAGAGATTGGGCTGCTGTGTTGCTGAGGCAGCTAGAGCACCTTGGCAGTGTTATGGCAAACCAGGAGTTCCTTGCTCTTCTCTAGAGCAGGAAAGGGTTTTTAACAATTGTGCTCTTGAGACCTATCAGCCTTTGGGATAGATATATGGTCAGTCCGCACTGGTAACTCCCCTGCTAAGAGATAGGAATCAGTTTTGGTCAATTGTATCCTCTACTGAGGGGGAAGTGCATAAAGAGCTCCTCTCCAATTTAGGTCTTACTGATTTCCCATTCCTTTTGTCCCACATGATCAGTTATGTATGTTTCGTTTTTGTTAAAATTTGATATCCTCATCCTGGTTTGTTTATACTGTGACAGCTGCCACCATAGTAGCTGTTCTACAATAGTGTCTGTCTCTTAACACGTCACAAGCCCTCCTGTTTCTAATATGTTCACAAAGTCATCTTAGACTTTGAGAATCCTGCCTTGTGCTGCAACCTTCCTCTTAAGTGCTAAATCCCTTAAGGTTCTGTGCATCACATCATAATTTGCTTTGTTTTCAATATTTAAGAACTTGGAAGTTAATTGATAATGCATTTTCTTCTAACTAAACTTCACAGGCAAAAGGTGAAGCTCTTCACTGCTCACAACAACATGACCAACTATGCCACTGTGTGGGCTTCAAAAACTAACCTGGAACAGCGGAAAGGACGAGCTGGTCGTGTCCGTCCTGGCTTCTGTTTCCACCTTTGCAGCAGAGCTCGCTTTGAACGGTAGGTGTGCACTCTGCTTCTTCTTAGAGTAAATTCCTGAATAAATAGTTAACAGCTAGAAAAGCCAGATGAACCCAACCTCAGAGACTGGGTAATGGTTATGAATTTTTTCCCCCTTAGGATGCAAATAAAGAGGAACTGTAGCCTGTAGTTGTAAACGTACACTGTTTTACCATTGTGCAAATTTATGTTATTAGTTTAAAATTAAGTTGCCCATTTTGCTGTTACTACTGTGGTAGCTTCCACTATGGCTACATCACTTCTGCTCTCATTCAAGGCCAAACTTTGTCTGCATGTGAGGGGTTAACATTTAACATGGAAAGATGGGAAAGGAGTAAAACCCACCACCAATACTCAGCAGCTTCAAAATGCTTTTCCCTCACCTGAATCTTGGAGTGAGCTGACAGGGGGGAAATGTATTAGAAGCAAAAGAGAGCTGAGGTAGACGGGGGAAGGAGTTTTGCTCCCATGCCCCTAGCACCCCGATAGGACTGTGAAGTGGGTATGGGTTAGCTTAAAAACCTGTCAGTGAATGTGTGGTTAACCCAGTCACCTGGTTTGGCTCCGAGACAGGGATGGGCCTTTTTGAATGCCCAAGTCTCACCCCAGCAAGCATAGCCAAAGCTTCCCCATTCTGTCCTAAAGGTTCTGCGTCAACAACAGATTGTCTGGTAATCCCTTTCACAAATCAGTATCTCCTTACACCTCTTTAGTTTTTTCATGTTTTGGTGGAGGGTTGTGACACTGTTAAGACAATAAGCTCTCCGCTATGGGTGTAAGGTGACTTAGGGAGCAGTGTTGGCCGAAGCAGAGTAGAGCTATTGGTAGTACCAGTTGAAATGGAACATACCCTAAATATTTTTCTCTCTCTCTTCATTTTGTCTCCAGACTTGAGACTCATATGACTCCAGAGATGTTCCGAACACCGCTACATGAAATTGCTTTGAGCATCAAACTGCTACGACTGGGAGGTATTGGCCAGTTCCTGGCCAAAGCTATAGAGCCACCTCCTTTGGACGCAGTGATTGAAGCAGAGCACACACTCAGAGGTACTAGACTGATACTTCCAGTCTGTAAGCATAGATGTGGTCTGTTTTCAAACTCTGTGTCATACATTTTCACACACAAGCAGCAGATAATTCAGTTGCTCTTTTCCTGACTCGATGTTTATACCTGGCTCTCATCTTTGAAAAACTTGGTCCACAATGCAACAGCCAGATCATTAACAAAACCACTGGAGTGAATGTATTTCCCTAGTTTGTTGTTGTTGTTGTTGTTTTAAATACTCTCAATTTATTTATGAGAAGTGCTGGTTTTAACCTACAAAGCTAGTCCATGGTAGTCCACAACTGCTTTCTCCAACACAATCCTGTTTGCCAATTGAGGTTATACAAGGCCCTTCCCTGCTTGCTCCCACTTTCAGCATGGATACTGGAGAAGAGGCCTCTTCTGTAGTGGAGCCTCCAATCACTATAGAATGGTGGTGTAATTTATGTCTTTTGTGTTTGCCATTGTGTTGTCTTGGTCAGGCCAACCAAAGTTCCATGTAGTCCAGTATTCTGTTTACAACAATAGCCAGCCCTGATGCTTTAGGGATGCTAACAAGCAAGATCGGAAAGCAACAGCTTTTCATTTTGCTGCCACCTTTCTGATTTATCTAACAGCCTTGTACCAAGCATTGCTCAGTATTTCTAAGAAACCAAGAATTCATTGTGGCTTTGAAACTTTCGGGCTGCCATCTTGATTCAAAGTGGTGCCCAATTGTATCCAAACAGAACAAACATCTGCTGCTTCAATATGGGAATCATCGTGAAGAACTTGATTGTGGTATCTTAAGAAATGTCCAAATGCATAGCAAACAGCTAACTTTCCAAAATATATAGTACAGTAGATGCTTCACTAATTGTGAGGCTGAATGAACAGTTAAATTAAACCCTATCAGATTTTGCCAGTGCATTTTTCCTCCCTTCACAGAGCTTGATGCCTTGGACTCCAATGACGAACTGACACCTCTTGGGCGAATTTTAGCTAGACTGCCCATTGAACCTCGCCTTGGGAAGATGATGATAATGGGGTGTATTTTCTAGTAAGTGCCATTTAATAGGGTTAGAAGTGTATGTGAATTGATTGGGTGACTGATTGGTCTCTAAATGGAGTGTTGTGGGTTCTTTTGGAAATGAATTTAAAAAACAATGAATTCTGCTGTATATTCTGTTAATAACATCGTTAGATATCACGTTTATTGAAGTTGATCTCCAGCTGTTAGGCGCAAGACCATGAGAAAAATCATTCCGTGGTTTCTGTTTCAGTGTGGGAGATGCTGTATGTACCATCTCTGCAGCCACCTGCTTCCCTGAACCATTCATTAGCGAGGGAAAGAGGCTGGGTTACGTCCACAGAAATTTTGCTGGAAATCGGTTTTCTGATCACGTGGCCCTCCTGTCAGTTTTCCAAGCCTGGGATAATGCCAGGTAAATTTATTTAGGACAACTAAAACTGTGAACAGCTGCATGACCTTATAAGGCATCCTGCTTTATATAGTTAGTTCAGTATATGGAAAATTACTGTGGAGCATCTGTACAGGTTGGTTGCAAATCAGTTTGTCTTGTCCATTTTCCTTTTGCAGACTGGGTGGGGAAAATGCAGAGATACATTTCTGTGAACACAAGAGACTCAACATGGCTACTCTGAGAATGACTTGGGAAGCCAAAGTGCAGTTGAAAGATATTCTTGTCAACTCTGGATTCCCAGAAGGTAATATGCATGAAGTAATTTCAAGTATAGGGAGTGTGGCACAGTAAACAAATACATGGCTCTGTAGACTCATTTTTATATCACACGATTTGGTCAAAGGTTATTTAATAATAAAAACATTTTAGATACAGGGAGCCCCCTCCATGTATGGCAGTGGTTGTTGGCAGGGGATGCAGTATGTATAGAAAGTACAGTTGTACCTTGGATCTCAAACGCCTTGGCTCCCGAACAAATCAGCTCCTGAATGATTGAAACCCGGAAGTGAGTGTTCTGGGTTTCGAACGATTTTCAGAAGCTGACAATTTTCGAACAGATTCGTGGAACGCATTCTGTTCGAGAACCAAGGTACAACCTGTACTCTAAAACTTGGTCAAAAGTATCTTGATTTCCCTCCAGAAAGAAATTCCATCATTTTTGTCCTAGCTGTGTTCTGCAGTAATCTTAATCCCATTTTTGGACAGAATGGATTTTAAAATGTGAGACTTCTAGATGTGCAGTTGCTGAATCTTGTTGCTACATCAGGGAGGTCCTGTCTTTGCACTAGTTTCTGCCTCCTTGTTGTAGGGATCTGTTTATATTTGTAAACTCAAAACACTCATTCTACAAATGTAAAATATGTTTCAAATGAGGAAATCAAATGCTTTTTTAAAGTTTTGCTTATAAAATGAAGTACTACTTGGAAAGCCAGTTCCTGTTCTCTTTTCCAGAGTGTTTGATGACCCAGGTATTTAACAACACTGGACCGGATAACAGCCTAGACGTTGTCATCTCTCTGCTGGCCTTTGGTTTGTATCCCAATGTCTGTTTCCACAAGGAGAAGAGGAAGATTCTGACCACCGAGGGCCGCAATGCACTTATCCACAAGTCTTCTGTTAACTGTCCATTTAGCAGTCAGGACATGAAGTATCCTTGTCCATTTTTTGTCTTTGGAGAAAAGGTAGGCAAATGTGAAAGATGTGCCAGGCTACCAAGTTGCCATGCATGTTTGAGTACACTTTTTGATCTTAGGCATTGTATGTTTGCTTTTAATTAAAATCCTCTGGTTGAAATGTAAAAATTTGCCGGTCTGGAGTCTATAGAAGATCTCTTGTCATGATTGTAACACCTTGGCTTTCAGCTAGTAGTTCAGGACCCACCACTGTGTCGTGGCCCGATCTAAGGTGGGTTGCAGTTGCAGCACTACCACCACGTAACAAGAGGAGGGAGGAGAAGAAATGGGTTCCCAAAAGCATGTTTGGGTTAAAGGTGGGTCCCTGGGTTTCTGAAAAAGGAGAAGACTATACTGATACGCCCCTTATTTTGGCATAAAACAGTATATAAATTAATAAATAATGTGTTTATGTGTTCTTGTTTAGAATAATCAGCACAATGTTCTTAAGCTTTCGAAGCATTATAGGCCTATATCAAAGTTAGTTTTGTTGTATTCTTGAAGTTAGATGGCTAAAGCCATATAACTTCTTAGTACTTCTGTGTTGCAAAGTATCTCGTGTCCTTATAGCCACTGAAAATATAGTGCAATATATACTCTGGTTTGGAGTGAATTTTGTACATTTCTAGAAATGTCAGTTTGAATAGGTGTGATTCCAGTATTTGAAGCTTTTAGGGCAAACAGGGAAGAAGATAAAGGCTACTTAGAGGTGAAGGAGGACAGAATGGCAGTTTTCTGGCAGCTATAAATTTTGCTCTCTGCTGATTTCTAATTATTTAGGCAGTGTTGCTCATCACTGTAACTATGACACCTGGAAACTTTTCCTTTGTGTGCTAGGATGCTATCGTAATTTCATATTATGCCCCAGATTCCATGTGGTATGATCCACAAAGACATCTGTATGTTTCTCTATTTACAGATCCGGACCCGAGCCATCTCTGCCAAAGCAATGACCTTAGTGAGCCCTTTGCAGCTGCTTCTCTTTGGCTCTAAGAAAGTTGTATCAGATGGGGAGATTATTATGTTGGATGACTGGTATGAACTTTTGATTGGCTCTGGATACTAAATGCATGGGGAACGACTGTGAGGTACAACAGCTGGTTTCATAGCTTTAAAAGGCTGTATAAGAAAGGAAGTGTAAGAACATTGAATGTAGACAGAAATTCTTCACAGAATTTTTAGGATCCTGTTGAGTGTTGATGCATCAGATGTGGAAGTGAGGGAAGGGAGTTTTGAACGCATGAAAAAAAATATGCAGTTGAGATGCCCATTCCTGTCTAGATGGCCCTATCAAAATTCTTGTGGGTTTGCTTTTTAAAGTTCTCAGTATTCTTAGAGAATTTCAGTTAACAGGCTTTACTGGGGGAAATTATAATACTGAGTTGATGTGCCTCAAACCCTAACAGCACAGCTGATTGAACACTTTGGATGATTAAATGGGAGGACATATGTTGGGTCGCAGGGATGGATACAGTATATTCATTTGCTAAACTGTTTCTCTCCTGTAGGATCAAACTGCGTATGCCTCACAACGCAGCTGCCTGTATCGCTGCCTTGCGTGCAGCAATGGAAGCCCTTGTGGTGGAAGTAACTAAGAATCCAGAAATCATCAGCGACCTAGACCCACTGAACAAAAACATGCTGGATGTAATTTGGGAAATCTCCAAACCATCAGCTGCGGGCATCAACCTCGCAGCAGGCACTATGAGGTTAGCTCCAAGCTATTTTAGAACTTTAGTCCATTCGTTGTCCTACCATCTATTTCCCACCCCCCTCCTTTTTTCTTGGCGTTCCCTCCTCCTTTCTATGTAGTTAGTATTTTGTTTGATGTGTTAGGCTTTTTTCCCTTGGTTGTAGGGCGTAAGGGAAAATAAACTATGGTGAAGATAGGAGCAGGATTATCTTTACTCCAGATTAGTTAATCTATGACTAATGTGGTCCCTGACGGGGTGTAGCCCTCAATAGAAAAAGGTTGCCCACCCGTCTCAAGAGTCATAATGAAACCTTGCCACTTGTTTAAGTTTCCTGTTTTCTTCTAACCAGAGATTACAAAAATCCTAAAAGGGATGGATCCTGCTTATCAGAAAATAGTTATTACAAAAAATGAAATTTGGGATAAATGGGCAGTCTTCACAGGGATCCATGTTGGGAAAATTTTTAACTCCTAAATAGTATGTAGAATGATACCAAAGTTTCAGGATAATAAAATAAGAAAGGAAATCATGTAGGCTTCAAAGGGGATATAATTAGATAGGATGATAAGGCAAGAAAATGCTACATGAAGACTTTAGTAAGTGCAAATAATGCATGGGGGGGATGAATTTTTGATTGATTGACTATAAGTTTACCAATAATTACAAGCAATTCAATCAAAGAAAGACAGATTATGAAGAGCGAGCAAACAGTTGAGGAAGACATATTTAACATATTCTGGATGGGGTTGCACTTCCCCTTAAGCTTGCGCTTGGAAATAAGGTCTGATCCAGGACTGCTATGAATACCCAAGCTACATTAGTAGCTTTCTGTGCCTTTCACCAGCTTTGGCTGGTGATGCAGCTGTAACCCCTTCATGGGGAAAGATGATCTGGCCCCCGTTATTTGTTTTAGAAACATTCTTATGGCAATCAGATCATTTCCTGGCCTAGTTCAAGGTGTTGGTTTTGATCTTTAAATCCCTTAATAGCCCGAGACCTTGGTATCTAATCCACATGAGCCTGAGTAGCTTAGTATTATTTTTGAAGGACATGTGAGGACCCCCCCCCCCAACCTTAAGTTACGTGGGTGGTTACCAAATAGGTCTTTGGAATGGTGGCACATAAATTATGGAATTCCTTAAGAATGTGCACTTATTATCATCATCATTGATAACTTTCAGATGCTAGATTCTCTTGCTCTCTTTATTGCATAGCTGTCAACTTTTCCCTTTTCTTGCAAGGAATCCTATTTGGAATGAGGGAATTTCCCTTTAAAAAAAGGGAAACGTTGACAGCTATGTTATTGTGGTACTTTATTATTTATTAATATGTGGTTTTATTAAGGTGGTTGTTAAGCCACCATAGGATGACCAAGGTGTACAGCCATCCTGAAATGAATTAAAAAATCCCCAAGAAGATACTTCTGAATTAAAACAAGGGTTAATAAGAAGCGTGTGTAAAAAGTAAAAGCGTTAAGAATGAAAGAGAAAAATAAGACAGCAATGTCATTATTCCATTAAGTTCACATTTAGAACACGGTTGCAGCTGGACAAGTTACAAAAAGAACGGCAAGATATTAGGAAAGACTTAAATCATTGAGGCTTCTTAGGGAATATAATGGAGGGGGAGAAGAATGTAAAATCCTAAGTAGTTTGAGGGAAAATGTAATCCTTAATGTTTCATTTTGAAACCTAGCATTAAATACTTGAAATGTGGAAAAGAAATTACCTGTTATCAATGTGAGATGGGTTTCCTAGTGTGAGCACCATAATCCTGCTTAGGACTGCATTTTTACAGTCAAAAATAACAGCTCTTATTTTTGTTTCCCAGGTATGGGGATGGACCTCGCCCCCCCAAAATGGCTCGATATGACAATGGAGGTGGCTACAGAGGTGGCAGTGGTTACAGAGGTGGTGGTGGCGGCTACAGGGGTGGATATGGAAGTGGTTATGGAAGCACTTTCCCTGGTGGTTCTGGGGGAAGGGGATATTCCAGTGGTGCTGGAGGAGGTGGCTTTCGAGGTGGTGGAGGCTTTCAAGGATACCAAAGTGGAGGAAACCGAGGGGGTGGGTTTAGAGGCAGGTGGGGGTGGTAGGGGTGGAACAATAGTACCACCCAAAAATAATGATGCATGATCTTGTTTTTCCCCATGTTTCTTTGCTTGTAATGCAGAAGTGTTTCTAGTCCTAGAGTTCACAAAGGATTGAAACTTTAATTTGATATAATAAATAATCATATTGCTATGATACTCTTTCATGATGTGTTCATTTTGATCTTAATAAAACAAGTTACTTGTTTTTAAATAGATTCATATGCGTCATATTTTTAGAGGCCGTCTCCTGCCACCCAGAAGTGCTCTGTTGGATATAATTTAACTGCAAAAACAGTGGAGAATGCCATTTCATAGGTTTGCACATAGTCTCTATGATGTAGTTCAGGGATCGCAAACCTGGTGAACTCCCACCCACTTGGGATTCTGGGAGGAGTTGCTCAGCAACATCTGGACAGCACTACATTGCCTGCCCCTGGTGTAGTTGGCCATATTTGGTCCAAGTCTTCCAGCAGGGCTCAAAACGTCTTCACTTGCTTCATAGCCTCCAGCTTCTCAAGGAACTGGAGTCCTAGGAAATGGGAGAGGATGCTGGGGAGGTAGATCAGAGCAATAGCACTAATCTCTTACCTCATTCTCTAAAGAACTTGAAAATTCAAGAGTCCATCAGTTTCTACGTCTGGGCCTGCACAGGTACATTTCCATGGCATGCACAGCTTTGAAGGAGTATGTTTGTTCCTCATCACTATCTCTTTTTGACATCTTGTTGGGGAAATAAAACTATGGTAATAGTTCTGCTGAAACTAAGTATTTTTCAGTATATAAGATGCCCTCATGTATAAGACAACACCTATATTTCTTTTACCCAAAATTAAGAAATCTAGCCAGAACCTGAACAGCCTGGGCTGCCCATACCAGAACCCCTGTGCATTCACCATCCATGTATAAGACAACCCCCAATTTTTGACTTTTTTTTTAAAGCAAAAACCATCGTCTTATACATGGGAAAATACGGTAAATTATTAATGATGCATTCGTGTTAACACTAGATGTGGAAGGATAATAAAAGGGCCAGAAAAAACTGACAGTTAACCTTTAATGTTGAATTGAAAAGGACTAACTCCACTTCCAAGTCCAGAATTCCTTATTTCTCACATAATCAATTTTAAGTAAGTCAAGTTTAGCTCTAGCTCCTCAGTCATACTGTCCCATGACTTCTATCCTTGACCTGCCAGAAGTATGCTAAATTTTATGGGACTGGCGTTCAAAATATCCTACTTCATTCGTAAGACCTGTTTATAATACAGTAAAAATTAACTCAACAAGACAAACTTGCAGTAATAAATCAGCAGTTTTAACTACTTTTCAGTAAGTCTGAAGGTTACTTACTGCTGTACAGGCTTTTAAAAAATATATTTCCGAGTTGGAATAGTGAGTACAGAATTCAAACTGATAGCCTCCAAGGGCTTATATTTTGAGCTATAAGCTATGGCTTCTGGTGCCAAAGACTTAAATGGAAATTAAGCTTAAATTCTTGCCAAGCTATGAAGAGCTTTCTGTTTACTAAGAAATAGAAATTACGGAGCTATTTCATGTTTCATCAGTATCCATAATAACTCTTATTAATATCCTTTAATACAACAAGTTTTCCTTTGTAGCTGAAACCTGTAGCTTCAGTTAACTATGCTGATGCCTTTGGTGTTGTCTTCTAGTATGTTTGTGCTCATCTCAAGGCTCAATTCCTGCATTAGTTTGGAAACAGAATCTTCGCCATCTCCTGCAGCAGCACATTCCACTGTTCCTTCAGCTGTAGCACACAGCTGCTCAGAAGGCTTAATAATGGTCACTCCATATCCATTGTTACTGTAAATATGATTGTTTTTCATCCTTAGTTTAGGAGCAGGAAGAACCTGTTAAGAAGGAATCAAAAGTTTATTCATAAACTCTCGGTAGCATCTTAATCAAATTATCTTCTTAAACATGGAAATCTTTTCAAATAATTTAGGTTGTTACAGTAGCATTCCATTGTCAACAAAAATTTACCTTAATGTTAATTCCACCAAAACTACCATGTGAGGAGTCACAGGTTCGGAAGTTATTGCAGTGGTGAATTTTGTTACCCTCCAGAGTAGCTGTGCTTCCTGGGTATAACTCGACTCCAGCCCCCTGAGTGCAAAAACCAAAATTTCGATTGGCATGCAACTAGCTGTTCCTACTGATCATGTTATCAGAACAAAATCAATTTTTGTGTGTGAATACAAGTTAACTGATGCAGATCATTTAGAGTTCTGGTCAGCAACTAGCAGCTGCGCAGTACTGAGGAGTGCATAGAGTACTGGACCAGAACTCCACTTGCATGCTGCAAAACTGATTGGAATCAAGTCGTCTTGTCACATCTACCATCCCGTCCACTCACACCTCTTTCCTGTGGACCGGCAACTGTAATATTGAAATTTATGCTATCTATCACTGACATCAAGTCTTTTCATTATTAGTTCCCCTTCTGCATTAAACCAGGTTTTTGTGTGTTCGCTGAATGAAAGCATCTTACATTCTCATATGTGTATTGTATCTTGTTTTGAACTGAAATAGAGTACCTGAGCTCCAGTAATCTCACTGTTTATAATTGTCAGAGAAGCCCCAACAAGTACACAGACACCAGTTCCTTCACACTTCAAAACACAGTTCTCCAAAAATGTGTGTCCAGATTCAACTACTATAATACCATCGAGAGTCCCTTGCTGCTGCACAGTAATATTCATTATCTTCAGATTTTGAGCCCTGGACACTATAAAACTGTCATAGACAGGATCTGAAACAATCACAATTTCCTCTCGTCTTCCAACTCCTAAACAAAATGGAGAAACGGAATTATTAAAATCAATTAAATGTAGAAGTGCACAGAAATTGGACAGTGGGAGTAGGGAGGAAATGTACATTTGACCAAGCAGCTTTAAGTACAGTGGTACCTCGGGTTAAGTACTTAATTCGTTCCGGAGGTCCGTTCTTAACCTGAAACTGTTCTTAACCTGAAGCACCACTTTAGCTAGTGGGGCCTCCCGCTGCTGCCGCGCCACCGGAGCACGATTTCTGTTCTCATGCTGAAGCAAAGTTCTTAACCCAAGGTACTATTTCTGGGTTAGCAGAGTCTAACCTGAAGCGTATGTAACCCGAGGTACCACTGTACTTCAAAAAAAAATGGATGGTATTCAATGCTGTCCTTGTTCAACCAGAATGCAGTTTTCCTTTCCTCTCTTCTGTGCCCCCACGCCACCTGCAAAATCTGCTTCAGAGGACTGATGCACATTGGTGGCACAGTTTGGTGGTTGGCTGATGGCTGTCAGAAAAACAGAGAGCTGACCATGCCTTGCATTTGCTACAATCTGGAGCCAATTCTGAGCCAACTTGGAATTTAGCAGGACACAAAACTTTCTATGCCGATTGCACTGTATAGTTCCTAATGTGATCCAACACTGATGGCTGCACCCGTGTACAGTGGTACCTCTGGATGCAAACGGGATTCGTTCTGGAGCCCCAGAACCTGAATCTGTGTGTCTGCACGTGTCGTGATTCGCCGCTTCTGCGCATGCCGTCATTTTGAGCATCTGTGCATACGCAAGCGGCAAGCCGCAGAGCACAACCCGAAAACGCTCAACCTGAAGCAACTTCAACTCGAGGTATGACTGTAGTCCCAATCCGATCACCAGCAATAGTTGTAAAGCTATGCTCAAGAGCAGGAGAGGAGACCATGAAATTAGACCCACTCTTCTACAGCTGATGATTAATTTGCTATTGCCAGATAATATGACCAGTGCTGCACATGTTTGCAGTTGCTTCAGAACTTGTATTAAGAAGATGTAATGCCTATAATAAGAGACACAAACAAGAAATGTTTTTATATAAAACCTTAAATGATTCACTCTCCAAATTCTGAAAACCTGAAAGAGCCTCACATTTAACCAATCTTTATTCTAATAGTTGGTTTTAGTTTTCTTAATCTATTCGATAAAAATCACAGCAGGCACACTACTGACCTTTAATAACAATATCTTCAGTTAACATGGAAAGGTTTGCTGCTTTATATTCTCCTGGGAAAATAAGCACATTATCTCCACTGTAACAGCTGTCCAAAGCCAGGTTTAAGTTATCATGCTGCTGAAGAAGTGTGTCTGGGGCTAATTCTTTAACCTGGGCAGATGAGACAGATACAAAGTAAAATTGGGGATTAGCCAGTCTTGTTTTAAAGGTTAATGTGGTTTTTTAGCCTATCCTTTCACTGTTGCTTCTATGCAGCATACTTCTAGGAACTCTCTGAACTTTACATGCTGTTCCCTACCTACAGTACAGTGGTACCTCAAGTTACAAATGCCTCAGGTTACAAACTCCGCTAACCTGGAAGAGTTACCTCGAGTTGAGAATTTTGCCCCAGGATGAGAACGGAAATCGTGTGCCGGCGGCGCAGCAGCAGCAGCAAGAGGCCCCATTAGCGAAAGCATGCCTCTGGTTAAGAACAGTTTCAGGTTAAGAACAGACCTCTGGAACGAATTAAGTTCGTAACTAGAAGTACCACTGTACACATTAGTTTCCTTCTGTGCACAAGTGTTGTTAGCATGTCTCTAAAAAACAAAACAAAAAACAATTTGGGCAAAGTTCCTTTATGGGTTATGTGTGTAAGTGCCATATTGGATGTGACCAGCACCAAGACGACAGGCACTCTGAAATGATAATAGTGTTTCCATAAACACCTTGCCAGTGCAAAAATGCTAGTCTTCATCTACTTTGCTAGCACTAAAACAAACAGCAGCTTATTAGGACAGTTTTTAACCAAGCAAAACTGAAATTAAATTAAAGCCAGACTGCTTTCGGGAGAATCATGAAGAGAGCAGAAGGCAACAGCTAAGTCTACAGTATTTCAAAATAAAAGAATCCTGCTCCTTACAGTTCTACCAAGGGAGCAATAATGGAGAAGCTGTTTGGGTAGGGTTGGAGAGAAGAAGGGATATCAAGGAAAGTTTGCTGAAGGAGAAGCAGCAGTCTCAGCTACTTGGATATTTATTCAAATGAACTCCTTACCATTTCTGCTGCTGCTGTTTTTGCAACAATGTAAGTTACAGTTTTTCCATCATCTCTGTGTCCTTTCCTCCGTTTCAAAATTCTTGGGGTCAGAGGTCCATGAGCCCTAAAATTTAAAATGAACTTTGTACTATCAATAATGCCTTAGGCAAAGCATTCTGTAGATGTATTTAAATAAAATTGGCTTCAAGTATGCTTAGCATTGTATTTCTTTCAGCTTTAAACAGATACAGACATTTAAGCCTAAACAATATCCCTACAGAAAATGAGCATACCAGAAATGTCTGGCATGACAAAGCCTTGAAAATGCAAAGCGAAAAAATACGAAGCATTCAGTATTTTTACTCTTTGCCAGACAACTTCATTTACAACTGATGTAATTGCTCTGTGGGCCCTAGAAATGTTTACTATGAATATTGGCTTAATAAAATTTGAACTTCAACTACTTAAAGTATAAACAGTATTCAAGGCAGCTAATTAAAAAGAACTAAAGGGTGCTGCGTCAAAGCTATTTGAAAGCATTTTTATCAACCATTTTGGAGGGGAGAATTAATCTTTAAAAGCAGAAACCAATATATTCACAGATCATTAGTATTACAAAGTTAGTATCTGTTAGTATAAGAAAAAAAGATTTTTAAACATTTTCATGCTCCATGTCCTCTGCCCCCCAGTGATTTCTCAATAATTCATTCAATTTTTGAACTTTTGCTCTGTTAAATATTTTAATGAAATAGAAGCATAGAATATAATAATTATTACAAAAGAATATACATATTTAAATAAACTTACATAGTCTTAAGTATAACAAAGGTCTCAAAATAACGAAGGAAAATTTAACAGGACCAGCTGAACTGGCAGCTTTTATATCACAGGGAACTGCAGAACTAATGCTGCCAGTCTAACCCCCTGAACCTGGGAGTGAGCCCTGTGGAATTTAATAGAACTAAGTAGACATGCTAACTGTCGCATGGTAACAAGAAGGAGTCCTGCTTTTCTACAACTAATCCTTTCTAACTCTAAAATAAGAGTTAGTGATAAGTGAAGTTCCACCAAATAGAAAACCTGTTACACTGGATTTTAGGTACTTTTCCCTTCATTGTCTAGATTAATATGAAGGGGAAAGTACCGTAGTTTTCGCTCCATAAGACGCACTTTTTTCCTCCTAAAAAGTAAGGGGAAATGTCTGTGTGTCTTACAGAGCAAATGTGTGGTCCCTGGAGCAGAATTGCCCAGGGGCAAAAAGCAGATTGTGCTTCTTCTTCTTCTTTTTTTAGAAAGAGGGAAGGGGGTGTTGAAACAAAGCCGCTGAGCAGCTGATCGGCAAGCGATTGGGAGGGAGATAAGGGACTCTAGAGATAAAGGAGGCTGCCTGGGAAGGGGGAGGTACAAGCCCATGGATCCTCAGGATTTCTGCATCGGGTCACCCCAAATTCAACATCAGATCACATAGTATGTCCATGGCTATAGCCTGCACCAAAAAATAATGCATCCACTGTTTCGTGGGGCCGCAAAGGTGCAAAAACATGGCTACAAAGCATGGATCCACATGGATTCTCAGGGTTTTGCATTGGGCTACCCCAAACTCACTGTTAAATCACATATCATGTCTGTGGCCACAGCATGAACCACAAAAAAAAAAAACCAGTTTCGCTCAGAATATTTTTTCCGTTTTCCTCCTCTAAAAACTAGGTGCGTCTTGTGGTCAGGTGCGTCTTATGGGGCGAAAAATACGGCACCTAAAATGCACTGTAATAGGTTTTCTATTTGGTGGAACTTCACTTACCACTATGGCCCTAATTACTTATGGAAATATGTACAATTGTGGGAAGAACACATTGTTACTAAGTTCATAGCTGTCAACTTTTCCGTTTTCTTGCGAGGAATCCTATTCGGAATAAGGGAATTTCCCTTAAAAAAAGGGAAATGTTGACAGCTATGTAAGTTCAGAAAGTTTCTTTATGATTATACAAAACACAGCTAGCAGCTCTACAAGTTCTCAGATAGGGATTTCTCCGTTCTTCTGAGTTGCCAGACACTGAAACTAGGAGCATAATTACTCATGCAGACGTGTAACCTACCGTTGGCTCCTGCCTTTCAGAAAATGAAGCAATCCATTACAAATCTGTGGAAATTGTTGATCTGGATAAATCTACTGGCATTATGATGATTATCTTAACTAATAAATAAATAATTAGTTATTTATCATATGTGGCTCTCTAAGCTAGATGCTGACACACTTAATCACATTTACATGCCATTCCCACCAATTTCAATGGAATTTGCTTTCTTTTAAGCGTATTCAGAAGAGCTGCTTTTGTTCTTTCCATTGATGACAAAAATGGTATGAAAATTAAGTATTTTCTGTTATTTACTACGGCAAACATTTCTTAATAAAAGTATGTACATACACTTAAAGGAACCAAATTTAATGCTATGGCAGAGTTTCCCAGTTTAATATTTATTCAACTGTTACACCAAACAGAATAAAAAACAGAAATGCAAAAACTAGTAAACAGGTGTATACCCAAATGTCCAATCTTGTAATTTCAAGTCTCTGCCTTAATGGCACAATCTGAAAACATACGAGGAGAAATGTCCAGGCCGCTGCTGTAGTGTCAGGAGTATTTCATTTATCATATATGATCTTATGAAAAAATACTGACTGGCTCTGACTAGGAGACCTGGGGTGGGACTGTGAACTCATCTGCGCTTCATTCAAGAGGCACTTTAGGCACAACAGGACAGACAGTTAAGGTGACATCATTTCATCAGATACCTCCTAGCAATCGTTTATAATGGAAATAAACAATATATTATTAACTACACCTGGATACGCCAATCTGAGTGTACATCTACACAAATTATGTTCAATGTAATTAAACATATACAGTGGTACCTCGGTTTTTTAACGTCTTCGTTGACTAATATTTTGGTTTTCGAATGCTGTAAGCCCGGAAGTAAATGCTGTTGTTTTCGAACGCGCCTTGGAAGTCAAACTGGAAATATGGCTTCCCTATTCGAGTTTATCGTTTTGAGGCTTCCGTACTGAGTTTTCGGTTTTTGAACGTTTCGAAACTCGAACCATCTTCTGGAACAGATTACATTCGAAAACCGAGGTACCACTGTAGTAGCATCTAATTCACTAACAAATGAACTGTACTTACAATTAAAATAAAGCAACAGGTAATTAAAACAAGCTATTTAGACAACAAGCAAAATAATTGAACCATTTTTTAAAATCAATGTCAACTTAAATTACCTCAAGCGTAAATCTTCCCATATTTTCAACAATCCACATAGCATTACCAATTCATAATACTTTTTCCAACATTCAACTGCTTCTTCTGCTGTGGGTTCTCCTTTAATATTACTTTGGTAATGAATCAACTCCAAATGCAGACTTTTGTACTTTTCAAGATTTCTTCTAAAACGATGAGCAATCGGAGCAGGGATAGTCCCATTCTGAATATCACACCAACTATGAAGATTTAAGAAAATTAGAGCTTCTCCTTTTGAAACTTTATGCAAAAACTAAGCTCTATTAGTTCTCTCAAACAGCAGATCAGGAGGTTAACTTGAATAAGAATTGCATCACTTCAAACTGCAGGTGACGTTACTCTCATGACAGGATGTCCCTCTATATATTAAAAAAAATAAAATCCAATTTATAGAATCTTAACATGTTACGGAAATAAATGGCTTCTAACCTAGCCCTCTCCATCACTCAGTAGAGCCTTCACCAAAAATCTGAAGTACTTCCTCATCTGCTGTTTGTGAGAACTATTCCTGAGCAGCATAAGGTAAAGGTAAAGGGACCCCTGACCATTAGGTCCAGTCGCAGACGACTCTGGGGTTGCGACGCTCATCTCGCTTTATTGGCCGAGGGAGCCGGCGCACAGCTTCCGGGTTATGTGGCCAGCATGACTAAGCCGCTTCTGGTGAACCAGAGCAGCGGACGGAAACGTCATTTACCTTCCTGCCGGAGCGGTACCTATTTATCTACTTGCACTTTGCCGTGCTTTCGAACTGTTAGGTTGGCAGGAGCAGGGACCGAGCAACAGGAGCTCACCTGAGTAGCATACTTACATCTTAATTCTCTCTTCTATCAGTGCAGCATAGGTCTCGCTCTTTTCATCATCATCCCAGTCTCTCCAAAGGAAGTCATAGAAGAACCTAAATAAAAGCCATAATTGCATTGCATTGATAATTATTATAAAAAGTACCTAAGTATATACGGCTACAAAGTTCAGGAGGCACTTGGGAGACTGGAGAAAGAGGACTACCATCTTTGCCACTCCCTAGTACTTGAGTAGAGACAAGGGCATCATCTAGCTGCTGTGAACCATTTGGCCTTGTGAGGCCTGTTCTGAACTGCATTTAAGCCAAGCTACTGTGGCCCATAGAGTGCCATGAACCCAGTTTTAGGATGGTTCAGTGTTATTTTTATTTATTTTGCTTTGAACTCTAATTTTTATATTTGCTCTGTATTAGTTATCTATTAAGTCTAGATTACTGAATTGTGATACTCAATTCCTTATGGGTTATACCCAATTGTGGTAGCTTGTTAAGGCAGCAACCATTACAACAGCCTCACCTTACAACAGCACAACCACCAAATCCAATGGATGTCCTCCCCTTGTGAAAGATGTCGCCCGACTGCCAGCACAACTGCTACTGTTATACAGTCGTACCTCCGCTTACGTATCCCTCTGGTTATGTAAACTTCAGGATACGTAAGCGGCAAACCCGGAAGTATATTTCTGGCTTTTTGCCACGTGCGTATGCGCAGAAGCGCTCCACCACCACGCGCATGTGCACAGAAGCGGTCCCTCCAATTGTGGAATCCTCGGGATCTGACCGGAGCTCCAGAACAGATCCCATTTGCAACCAGTGGTACCACTGTACTCTGTGGCACTTAAGCTTGTGTGCTAACACAGAATAGCATCAGCTGTCAATCTTTTTGAACTAACACTATGTTGGATCTCATCCTTTCTTTAATCATTTTTATCTTACTTGCATTTTTTATATGTTTTGTGACATACTATTTTTCAGAAGTTATGCATTTTGCTAATAAGTTGATTTTTGTTGAGCGATGCTTTGGGTATATTTTACTGTAGAAAATGGGCATGTAAGTAAGCTAAAAAAGGACACTCATTGCCAGAATGTATCTAGCAAAAATATATAGCAGAAATAATAAAATTCAGAAGGCAAAAGAGGGAAAAGCAAAATAAAAGTTTATAAAATTAATTTTGTTAATCTTGCTGTACCTCTTCCTATACAGTACAGAAAAACTTTAATGTACAAGCTGTCTATATTATGTCAACTTTACCGTATTATTGGTACACAATACAGTGGTACCTCGTGTTACATACGCTTCAGGTTAAGAACAGCTTCAGGTTAAGAACAGACCTCTGGAACGAATTAAGTTCGTAACCCAAGGTATCACTGTAATGTATTCCATCTTTTTCTCAATAAAAGAATCCTCTTTTACTTCATTTCTGGGAGAGCTGTGTCAGCTAAAATGTATTGTCTTCTCTTATGTCTAAACACCTCTCTGCCTGGCTTTGCTTGAATAGGTGCCTTACTTTGGTTCAAAATATTGATGTTCTGTTTTGGGATGTTTTTAAATGTCCTTATATTTCTATAAAGTCTTTTATGCTCTCCTTTCTTTCTGCAGCCTAAAGAAATAGAAACTTCTTTATGTTTAGCCGTTTGACAGATTGACCACATTAACCCCAGAATATTGTAAAAGAGTAGCAGGTGAGGAAGCAATACAGGCTTCCTTTATATAAAAAAAATAGAAAGATTAAAACAAAATACAGAAATGACATGAACTCACACTTCCCCCAAAGGTGGGACCAAATATTGGTTAGGTTCTGTTTATTTTTGGCTAAACTTCTTTAAACTCAAAGTTTGGATGAAATTGCCTAGTTATTTACAACAAACCCTGAATAAACTGTAGTCACTAATTAGATACAATGGCTGAATAACATCTGTTGAAAATCTCCTGGAAGTAGTATTTTAAAGCATAATAAGTGGGATGGCCACATTAGTCAAAGCAGCTGACATATGACAGGAACTTACAGCTCCAAACCAAGAAGAATCAAATTAAAGATAAGAATCAAAACAAGGCCCCAGGGAAATAATGTTCCTACATCAGCCATGGCTCCAGATGACAGACCGGTAAGTCAACAAGGAGTTGATAAAATACTACAAGAATATGCAATTAAAGCAATATGCACGTAACTTCTGGAAACCACAGATTCATAATGTCAATGTTACAAATTAGCAGCCCCGAATGGTTAATAACCATTAAAAGAATGCCAGCAGTTCATCCTTGGTAAAGTGCTTTCCAAATTTTGCTGCATTTTGATGTATCCACTGATCGTGTGTTTCTGTTACCCAAGAGCTGTTAATAATGGGGAGAAAGTAAAGGACTGAAGGACACATTAACTGACCACTAGTAAGTTTTGTAAGGTTTTAATATTTCAGGGTTCTGTAACTTAAAATGAAATAAAGGAAGCTGCCTTTTATCAGATCAGATTATTTCTCCATCAATCCTATTATTCTCCACTTTGACTGGTAGCAGCTTGCAAAGCTGCCAGGCAAAGATCTTTCACATCACCTGTTACCTGGGATGCCAGGAACCATCACCTGCACATAAAGTGTGTACTCTACCTCCCTAACTTCAAAAATAAGCTTCTACCCTCAGTCTAATATTCTTAAATTCTTTTTCTATTAGTTATTTCTATTTTGTCACACTTTCTTTAATATGCTGTTGAATCCCAAACTCTAGAAAAACATACCTCACAATTTCCAAAGCCTTGGCTATATCATACACTGCGCTGTCCTGCCCCTCTACAGGATAGACTTCCAAAAGAGGCACACAATGATCCATTTCCTCCAGAACTTCATCAACTAACTGTCTTGGAATATTTGCAATATTAGAGGAAAAGGGTTCAGCTACAGATACAGAAACTTTGAAGTTAGCAGAGGGATTCTGGGGCAGTTTGCAAGTAACCTGTAACAAAGAAACAATTACAAGGTTAAAATAGATTAAGATTTATATATAGATTTCTCAACTCTTTTGACTTTTGTTATACAATTTATGGCTACAATCCTATTCTCAAGATAGGTCAACTGAGAGGTTATTGGATATGACACAAGTTATGCTGACATTGCAGCAATTTAAGTCCCCCCACCCACATGGGAGTATAAGATTGCCCAGTCCATTATGCTTAAAGAACATTGAAATGGTAGGTTTTCTAAACACCAGATTATTGAATGCACAAAGACTGAAAAATGTCCCCGATCAGCTGCAGCGCAGAAAACAAGAGAGTAGATAGCAAAGATAGAATTAGGTCAATTTAAAAAGGAAGTGGGAAGGAAATAAGGAATCTCAACTAAACTTGTACATGTTTCATTGCATACTGCTGTCCCATATATATATATATATATATATCATCATACCCTCCAAAGGGAATTCTTGTCAGTAAGCAAGTTTTCCTGGGTCAGAGCTGGAACTCTTTGCCCCAGTATAACAGAACTCCCAAAGAAGGTTTGGCTATTATATAATAATTATTATTACTGAAAATAGTATGTATTTTCATACAGAAGAAGTTATATTATTATACTTTTTTCTGTTTTTAAATGTATTTTTATTAAAGATTTCTTGGTTTACAAAAGTATGTGCAATGTCTCATTTTTCAGGTTACATTTTTTACAGATCAGTTTCATTTGTTGAGACATTAGTGTTACATTAGGAAGAAAAAGGGGGAAAGAGTGGAGGGGGGAATGGGGAGGGGGGTGATGTTTCTATTTTACTTAACATATGTGTGGGGTTTAGCGTCAGCAACGCTTGTGCAGGTTCTCTTTGGTGTTGAGAGGTTGGGGGTTGGCCTAGGGTGTGATTGTTCATTTGTGATTGGCTGTGGTGAATTTTGTTTTCATGTGTGAGTGGGGTGGGTGGATGTTTTGGACCGGTTAGCCATATTGATTCGTATGATGTTGGTGGATTCTTGTCATTGTTTTGTTGGGCTGTGTATGTGATAAAGGAGCCATACCGGGGTGAGGGCGTCTTCTATTTGTCCCCGTGTCAGTTTCTGTTTATAGTATTGGTTAATTTTTCTAGTAAGACTGTTTCCCATACTATTTGGTACCGTTGGTCCATGCTTACTCCTGACAGGTCTCTCCAGTGTCTGGTTATGATGTTTCTGGTTGCTGAGAGTAGGTGGATTATGAGTTCTTTGTGATATGAGTGGGCATTATTGTCTTGGAAGATGCTTAGTAGGGCCAGTTCTGAGGTTATTTCTAATACTTGCTTAGTTATTTTGCATATTTCTTTTATGGCTGTAGTCCAGAATAAATGGATTTTGGGGCATTCCCACCACATGTGGAAGTATGTGCCTCTGGAGGTGCACCCTCTCCAGCATTTTGGTGAGGTTCCTGGGCGTATTAGCACTAATTCCCTTGGTGTTAGGTACCACCTGTAGGTGAGTTTCAGTGTGAGTTCTTTCCTTTTCGTTGATATGGATTTGAAGGGGGGTTTAACTTTAGACCACATTCTGGCCCACTGAGTGGGGTTAATCTCATAGCCTATGTCATCCTCCCATTGTTTTTTGATTACGTCTAGGGGGTTCGTGGGGTTTTGGAGTAGCATTTTGTATACTGCAGATACCATCCCTTTTCCATGACCCTTTGTTGTTAGGAGGAGGTTTTCGAAGGTTGTCAGGGGACTAGTTGCTGCTTTTACCACTGGATTGTTTAAGAGGGAATGTATGGTAATTGGTGGTGTGTTAACCAGGGCATTTGGGTGTCTTCTAGTTTGTCTTGTATTTCTTGTGTTGATAAGGGTTTGTTATTTTTATAGAAATCTGTTAGGAGATATAGGCCTTTGGTTTGCCAGGTTTTTATTTGGAGGTTTTGTGCTGTGTGGTGGAATAATGGGTGGTATGCCAGGGGAATTAGTTGGGATGGGGTTGGAGACAGTTTGCCTATTTCTGCTTTCCATGCTTTAAGCATGGTCTGTGTGTAGCTGTTAAGTGTTGTGGGAATTTTCCTTAGTTTGTTTGGGAGGAATGGGTATGCTGTGGTGCAGGTATTTTCAACTGTGTCCCTTTCTAGGTGTATCCATTGTTTTGTCTCATCTTTTAGTATATATGGGATTATATAGCGTACTTGGTTGGCAATGTAGTATAGTTCTATGTTGGGGATTCCCCATTCTCCCTCTGAGGGGGGGGGAGGTGCAGGTATTTGGAGCTTATTTTTGGTTTTTTTGTGTGAGAAATAAATAAAAGTAGGTTTTTTTCTGCCGTTTACAGAGTTGGGTTGGGGGAATCCAGACTGGGAGGGTTAGGAATAGGTAGGTTAGTTCTGGGAGGGGATCATTTTGATCATGGCTATTTTGTCTGAGAGAGTGAAGTTCATGTTGTTCCATCTCTTTAGGTCTTTGTTAATTTGTCACCACAAGGGGTTGTAGTTGTGGAGCTGTAATTTATTGAGGTTTCTGGTTATTTGTACCCCTAGGTATCTGAACTTGGTCTGGCAAAGTTTTATCTTGGTGACATTATTATACTTTTTTTCAAACCTAAAAATACAATAAAAATAGTGCCATGTTTACACTATATACTATGCTCCCTGGTGTGTAATATGGTCACTGTGTCTCCCCACCCTCTAGAATGCAATCCTAAAAATACCTTATTTAAGGAGCACAATCAAAATTCAACAAGTAAATACTTGGGGAAGGCCTCATACCAAAAGGACTTCACCTCCTGGCAGAGGTTGCCAGGCAGACTTTCCTGCAAGGAGGTTACAAAGACTAGCAACCATCTCTGGTGGAGCTTCCAGACTACTACTATTTTGCGGTGGGATTCAAGGACACGCAGGCAAATTCAGGTGGCACAATACTTGATTGGAAGGCTTTGTGCAAGAAACCCACCTCCCCTTAAAAGTTCAGACTTCTTGCAACAAGGAAAGTGATGGGGAAATGCACTGGAAAGTGTAGGATGACACTAGCTTTGACCCAACGTCGTCTAGCCTCCCCACAAACAAATCAGAATGAATGCTCATCAAAGAACCAACGTTATCTAATTTCTCTGCAAACAACAGGATGAATTATGAACAAACATAAAATATAAACAATTAGAACAAAAAACACTGTGGTGACTTTCCCAATAGAGGCAATATCTGTGAAAATAAGAAATATGTGAAATGATTGGGTACCTTATAAAGACCTATTAATAGTAGATCAAGAGGTAAAATGAAGGAGGTTTGAAGATATAAGAAGTTTAGTATCCAACTGGTTGCAGTATCATCAGCTTAATGAAGTACAGTTGCATCTCAGCTTACGTGACCCTCGGGTAATGTAAACTTTGGGTTGCAAAAGCAGCAAACCCGGAAGTCTTTCGCCGTGTGCACATGCGCAGAAGCACTCTACTGTGCCGTGCACATGTGCAGAAGCGGTCTGCACACGCGTACGTGGTCCCTCCAGTTGCGGAAACCTCAGGATCTGAACGGAGCTCCGGAATGGATCCCATCCGCAACCAAGGTACCACTGTATTTAAGTTGGATTTAAAAAATGGTTTTTCAACTGAAACCTCTCTATTTGAAAAAGAGTTGCTAGAAAACAAAAGTAAATTAATTTCCAAAATGTTCAATCTATTATTGGAATGGCAAACATTCCAATGGCAAACAAAATTGGAATGGCTAGTTTTTATTCCTTACCTGTTTTAAGTCTTATGAGTTCAGTTTATCCATATCTTTTATCTTATGCTGGTCTGTGACAGAAATAAAGTTTGATACTAACTAATACAGCTAAAAAAAGATGAGCAGGTTAAATAAGTGATGTTAGATTGGGCAAGGGACTTTGGTTATAATATTGAAACAGCAGCATGGGAGAGGTTATGGAATGTAGACTTAAAATTTACAACATGCTATATTTTGAAAGAAAACTACATGAAAATGATGTACAAATGGTATTTAACTCCTGCTAAACTAGCTCCTGCGGGAAGGTAAACGGAGTTTCCGTGCGCTGCTCTGGTTTTCCAGAAGCGGCTTAGTCATGCTGGCCACATGACCCGGAAGCTGTCTGCGGACGAATGCCGGCTCCCTCGGCCTATAGAGCAAGATGAGTGCCACAACCCCAAAGTCGTCCGCGTCTGGACCTAACAGTCAGGGGTACCTTTACCTTTACCCTAGCTAAAATGTATAAATCAAAATCAAATGTATGCTGGAAATTCAAAGAAAAAAAGGGCACCTTTTACCACATGTGGTCGTCATATAAGGTATGGGAGAAGATGAGTTGAAAAAAATGTTAAAGATAACTTTTTCAAAGAAATGAAGCTTTTCTTTTAGGAATATTAGATATCAAATGACCAGAAAAAAACTGTTCATGTATGTGACCACAGCTGCTTGGATACTGCTAGCCCAGAGATAGAAGGAAGATATGGTCCTGATCAAGGAAGAATGAAAGATAAAATTAATGGACTATGCCCAAATGGCAAAATTAATGGGAAGAATTCGAAACCAGGAAGAATAAACCAGGAAGAATGGGGAAAATATAAAATTTATTTGATAAATTATTGTAAACAATTAAATTCATTAGCAGGATTGATTTGAGACTTGTAGTAAAAATTTGAACTAAGGAATATTTAAGGTTTTATTAAAGACTGGAGTTATAAAGGAGATGCAGGGGGTGGGGGTGGGAATTATAACATAAGGATCCACAAAAGGGAGGGAGGGAAGTCAAAGGGGATATATGTATTGTTTTCTGTTTTTAGTTCATGTTTTTATTTGATATATATATATATGAATCATCAACAAACATGTCATCTGGAAGTGACCTGCAAAAGTCCTGGTTTCACTATAGCACACTGAAAGAAAAATGGAATGGAACATTCGGGACAGGGAAAATTATCAGAATAGGGCATTTCCTAAGTTATACAGGGGCCAGGCCATTTGGTGCTTTAAAGGGAATACAGGCAATGACTGATTTAGGCATGTCCAAACAACATGCGACCACACAGTGCCAAACCCGGAAGTAGCCCCAAAATGGGATGGAATGGGATGGAGAAGGCTTATGTGAATTCCACTGACGCATGTGAGGCTCCAGAATGTAACCCTCGCACAAAAGGATTACCTGTATAGAACTATTACAGAACTATGAAAGAAACATGATAAAGGTAAGGCCTCACTGCTTTCAGGTGGCTGGATGTAAGTCAGACACTTGAGAGAACATTCCCAACGGCATAGCTGAACTGGTGGGAGCTTCACTTTCATCGTACAATGTCTCAGACCCAGTAATAAAAAGACCAAGTATTCAAAAACTTTCTGAAAGACTTGTAATGTTTCCTGCCACAACAAAGTATTCAAATTGTGGCTATCTTCAAATTAATATTCACTGAACTGAAAGTACTAATTGTCACCAAATATTTTTTTAAATTAACATTCTAAAGAGAAATGTAGTTACCTCAACAAGCACACCAACATATGGTATGGGAATTTCTTCAGAATTAACAAAAAAAAGTTCTGGATTGGTCTTCCAGATTCCAAGCCATTTTTCCTTCATCTTCAACTTTTCCAAAAGGTATTTGCTAATGGCTTCATTGGCATCTTCTGCCTTTCGTGTAAAAGGAGAAAATGTCAGAAATGTATTTGGATATTTTCAGAAACGCACAAAACATAACCTTGCAAATTATAATACAAAATTGATCCTTTCCCTTTCTGCCCAGCTAGCCAAATCCCTTTCTCTACAGGGTGCGGCCAACCACACACACAATATGTCAATGCATCTACGAGTAGGATTTAGCTGAATGAAGCCATCTTTAATTATGAAGTTGTGGGTTGTGAAAATTGAGGGAATTCCTCAGACTGTTTTTCTCAGCACACAAATGCCTATCCTGTAACATAATTTGCTCTGGATGTATGTGTTCCCAGCTACTTCTCATAAATGTACAATTGGAGAGGAGTCCCTAAGACAGTTGGAGAGGGCCTTGTATGCCCCTGCCTAGCAACACCTGCAGCCAAGCTGGTACCAAATGTGTTGCTGTTTTCCTTTGGACAACATCAGCGGGGTGTGTGTGTGTGTGTTTCTTGCCATCTGGGCAGCCCAGGCCCTTCATACCCGCCGCCAAGGCTGGTGCCTGGGGGGGGGTCACTTCATTGCTGCTAACACAGTTTGACATCAGCCTCAGAGGTGCACTCTGGAGACAGACAGATGCCAACAACTTCTTTTTAACATTTTATTTGCTTCTATTTTCTTACTATTGTTACTTGCCATAGATGCTATGCAAGCCGAGATTTGTGCACAATTTCTCTAGCTATGTTAAGTAAATACATGCATACAGTCTAATCAGCCTATTTCTCCCACTTGCTTTCCTGCCCAGGGGGGCACACGTTACATTCCACAAGCGTGCAATCTGTCTACTTGTTAACAGAGAGTTGAGCTGTACACTTGTAGTTATTCACATGTAAAGCTGGACGCGTGTAGCCTATGTAGATGATACTTATTTGTACAGTACATATCTGTCAGCCGCCTTGAGTCCCTGTCAGGGGAAAAGGCGGGCTTGACCCATCAGTCATGTGAGGGGGCCGAGGGCTGGGAGGCTCTTGTCTTGGCTCCTCTCCCTTGACCTTCCCTCCTCCCTCCCGGTCACCTTGCAGCCCTTCAGGAGGTCGTCGCAGTACAGCGCCGCCTTCCCGCTGCCGCTCAGAGCTCCCAGGTGAGAGGGAAACTGCGCCGGCAGCGGCCCGGCCTCCTCCTCCTCCTCCTCCGCCCCCGCGCCGCCCACGGGGACAGCCAGGCGGCGCTCCCTCGCGCTAAGAGGCGGCCTTTTCGCCGCCCCCGAGGCCGCCCCCGCTCCCTCCCCCGGCTGCTCCGCGGCGCCCGACGCCATCGCCCCTCTAGCTGCCGCGCCGCCGCCCCTGCGCGCCCCCCCCCCGGCTCCCCGGCAGGGCCTTTATAAGCGGGAACTACTTTTCCTGAGGCGGGCCCCTGGCGCGAGGCAGCCAATGGGCGAGGCGGCGGGGCGGAGATCCGCGCGGTCACAAAGGGACCGTTGGGGACGGAGCACAGAGCCGGCGCGCGGTCTTCTTCCGCGTGCCGCGCGCAGGAGTCGGAAGGAGTGCCGCCCTGTTCCCTCTGGGCCTGGCAGGGGCCCACGCAAGAGAAGCCCTGCTGAGGAGGATTGCTCCCCTTATTGCTCCCTCAAGGCCGACTCTGAGGGGGGAGGGGTGGCTGCTGTTGGCGCACCGTGAAGCGTCTTGTATAGGCGAAGTCCGGTTGGGGAAGGGGGGACTCCACAGTGTTATATCGCATATACAACGCATATAAAATGCCTTTTCTTTAAAAAAAATTGGGGGGAAGCGATTTATAGGCATTGTGTATGTAATAAAGTACTGTGACACCAGATGGCCCTGTGGAGTCTTGTCTTTCCCAGCTGGATTTCCCTGTACAGTGGAAACCCCACATGTGACATATGCTAGATGGAGAAATAGTTACCTGCCCAGTGTTGCTTTGTGAGCTTCAAATAAGAAGCGTCTGCTGGATCAGGCCAGTGGCTCTTCTAGTCCAGCATCCTGTTCTCACAGTAGCCAACCAGAAGTCTATGGAGCAAAACCTTCCTACTGGAGTGTAGATTTGAACCTGGGACTTTCACAATAATTCAAGCCTTACATTCTTACATAGTAGCTAGTCCTTGATAATATTTCTGGCAAATCTGGTACGGTGTCTTATTTTCACAGCAGAACCACTAAAATTTTGGTAGTTTGGATATAATATTGAAATGGTGCACAATATGGGACATGGGACTGCTGTTCATATGTTTGTATAAACACTGTCCAGAGCAATCTGATTGCATTTTCCTGTTTGACTAGAAATTTCACAGTTGGACACATTCTTATTGATATTATTGACTCCAAATACATTTGTGCTTGGGTCACAATGTTCTGAGAAACAGGACAACAAAACAGGCGAACACCTGCCATCCCATATTTTCATCTAGAGGGAATCCTTGAGACACTGAGTATTTAGATTCAGTGAGAGAAAAGTATTAGCTGTGTATTGCAGTAATGCACCTCATGGGAGCCGTCAATCATGTTTTTGCCCCTTCTTACTCATTCCAGCCCTTATAATTGAAAACTCAGATGTTGCTAAAAGCCAGCTGGATCTGTTCCCTATAAAGCAAGAACAAACAGCTACTATTGTTCTGCAGCTCAGTAGAATTGTGTCCAAAAAGAGTTTAATCAGATTGGACTCTGTGGGCGATAAAAAACCCACCAGATTTTATTCTAGAATAACAGCAGACCTAATCTGACTTAAGTAGAGACTAGTCTTGCTGGTGTTCACAGTTCTTAAAAAGAGGGCAGGATGAATGCTCCAGAGCTGACTTTGCGGAAGAAGGAGGAAACTCATAACGAACAGAAGTTTTACAAATAAAATAAAATGGTGGAGTATTGTGAGAGTAATGTGAGAGGAAGTGGGTGGCCTTGCTAACCCTTTTCCTTTGAAACTAGCATTTTGGGAAGAAATGCTTTATTCTCTTCGCATTCCAGTGCCATGATCACACTCCTCACCCTATGCAGGTCTGCACAGATCAGCATTAGATCATGTGTGCCTGTGTGTCCATGTGCCTGAATGTATACATCTGTGTGTACAGGTGTGTGACGGCCTGCCCAGTTCAGCATGCAGCCCCCCTAAAGTTTTGTCATGAGGCAATGTGGCCCTTAAAGCCAGAACAGCTAGCCACACCTGCTCTTCTGTCTAGGCTGCATCTACTGACAATTTAGAGCATTGTGAATAGTAGCAAATAAATTGGCATCTTTCCTTTCCATCATATCCTGCTCAAGCTAGCCAACAACAATGAAAACAACTAACAAAATGAACATATAAATACTCATCACATATAAATATGATAAAGAACAGATATAAACAGGTCAATAGAATCAACCCATCTGTAAAACAGAGGACCATCAAAACCCATTAAAAACAAGCAGTATAAATACCAAGTCAAGCTGCTTTTTAGGGAAGTTTGTCATTATCAATCTTCTCATAGAGGAACAGTTGATAAGCTTTTGAGGAACCTCTAGGCACTTCAGAAAATGGTTTGAAAACAAATAGTAGCAGCAGCAGCAGCAGCAGGGGCACATGATGGACTGGAGAGAGGACTCTAAAGCACATCTGTCCCTGCCCCTCAGGTCTGCCACAAAGGGAGTTATGGCAGCTGGACAACTTCAGCACTGGTTCATTTTGTAGCAGCACCTGGCATTCCAAACGACACATGAGTTAAATATGTACAGTCTAAGCAACCATCAGTCCAACAATCTGATTTTCTTATCAACTGCTTTATGGCAGCATACATAAATAACCTGGAAATGTCAAGGAACGGTTTGTGTGGAGTGAACCTCTTGAAAGACAACATACAGTCTAGTTATTGCAGTTTTAGTTAAGTGGAGTGGAATGAATCTTCCTTCCTTGAAGACAATTGTAGTCTTGGTGCTAGTTAGCGAAGCAGAAAGCCTTTGGCACAGCTACCTTTCCCTACCCACCTTTTACTTGTTGCCTCTCTGTGAGCCAGAAGCCTTGCGCCAACTTTGGCACTGTGATCCAAAGCCACTTATGTGGAAATAAACTCAACTGAAATGAAGGATACTTCTTTTCACATAATGTGCTTAGGCTCAAGGTGTTAAGAGAGATCAGCCCAGATGTTGGCCGAGCCCTTGTACTAATCCCTGGATGGCAGTACAGAGACATACAAGTCTAGCTAACTCAGCAATGGCTGCAGATTCCTATAGCCACGTATTCTGGCTGCAAGACATCCATCTCTCTAGCATAAGCACTTGCTCCCCAAGATAATGGCTTCAGTTCTTGTTTGAGTGGGTAAAAAATATTTGCAAGGGCAGAAGAAGGTGCAAATTATTCATGTAAACACATCTTCTATTTTGGTCCAAGATGCATCCGCAGTAATTGATATCCATTTATGTCTGTGGCAAGTTTTGGAAAAGTGAGCTCAAGGTCAAATTGCTTATTTGATCCCTTCTGTAGATCTGCTTAGATTAAAACCTGCTAAATGAAATCACTTCTTCTGAAACCAAATATTCTGCACTGTAAGCTATAACATATTAACAACTGTTAAAAGAAGAAGGGATTTTTGTTTCTAGGGTTTCAGCAATGAATTATGGGCAGAATGCCTTGTTAAAGCTGCAGCAGCAGTCCATTGCGACTTCACTGTATGTATATCCAAACACAACTGCAACTGCTATGGTTGTACTTATTACAAAGATTTACACAGAGCATATAAAAGATATCAGAGTCAAACTTATATTCTGTTTCCATTCTTCAGGAGATAGTGCTGGTGCTTTTATAGCCAAAATGGCAGCGTGTGTGTGCGCGTGCACACACACACACACACACGTAGCAGTCAGGTCCAGGGGAACCCCAAGGTTTGCAGAAGTACAAAAGATATTGAGAGGAAAATCTGTACAGAACCCCAACCCAATAGCCTATTGAGAACTGAGCTTGCCCAGTGGGCACATAATATTGACTGATAGGCTGAAGGGAGCAGCCCCTGACTTTTCCATATCCTGTCTGAACAAATAGCTCATCCCCAAAAGAACTGATGCATTCTAGAACCATAGAATTGTAGAGGTGGAAGGGACCCCAAGGGTCAACTAGTCCAACCCCCAATGCCTGTATTTTGGGATTGGTGCATTTAATTTTAAATGTGACAAGGTCTGAGAACAGAAAATCACCACTTGTGATTTTTTAATTTTATATTTCATTGTATACAAGAAGAGTTCAGCACAGTATCTGTTCCCTACTTTTAAAAACTATTTTTTGGCTGGCACTTGAAAAGCAGGCAGGCTGATCTTGATACGTTAAAATGGAAACTCTCTATTTTTAATACAATTGTATGGTTGTTTCCATTGTTGCTAGCAGTGCCCACTCCAGGGTTTAAAAATAACATTTCCTTCCTTCATAATCTTGTCACATGTAAAAATAACAAAGTGGCTCTCTTACCTATAACAACATTTCATGCTTATACATCTTCAAAGGGTTTTCAAGTTATTAAAATAGGATATGTATTTTTGGAACATACACAAAAATGACTAGGATCCGCTATGTTCCAACATGAAGCAAAACCTACTTGCACATACAGATTAATATCAAGATACTGAATTCACAGACGTTTGAAGTTATTTCTTATATACTGCCATAATGATTTGCATCTTTAATCTTCATACTAAATCACAAAGCTATTTTACACACATGATGACGTGACCTACAATCCAGAAAGCACACACTGTGTGAGCGAGACTTGGGGGGGTGAGGGGAAATTGCCTGGATTATCTTCAAGGCTCTCCTGACTGGCAGACACAGCCTTGTCGTCCTCTTGTGATAAAGAAGCAGCCCCTCCCATGGTGCTCCTGTCTCCCCAACCCAAAAGCAAGGAGGGCCCTTTAAAGGCCAGCCAGCTGCTCCAGCCTCACCTTCGAGACAACATAGGGAATGCTTCATTTGGGGCTAGCTGCTTGCAAAACTCTCTCAGAAGGATTCTGGGTGCTCTGCAGTGCTTTTTTTTCTAAAAAAAAAGTTTAGGGGTACTCTCATTTTCCTACTCATATTGAAATAGTGCCCCTCAATGAGGCCAAACTTAGATCCACAAAATGTTTAGGGGTATGCGTACCCCTGCACCCCCCCCGGAAAAAACCACTGATGCTCCATAACAATCTCCAGGGACTCGGGGGGCTTTGGACTCCTGCTTCCTCTATGAGGAGGAGGACGTTGGCTATCACTTGTTAACTCCAGGCTAAATTGCGGGGGGGGGACAGAGCAGACTCCATCATGTTCTCTGTCCCAAGATTCCTCAGCCAGAAGGTACAAACCTGTAAGCCAATAAATTGGATATTATCTGTTGGTAAGTTACACAATTCAGGAAATTCAGGAGAGAAATCCCCATTGTATTTCACATTTTAACCATGTTCATAAATTGAAATTCTGCTAAACCACAGAGCCTAGGACTTGCTGATCAGAAGGTCGGCAGTTCAAACCCCTGAAACGGGGTGAGCTCCCGTTGCTCGGTCCCTGCTCCTGCCAACCTAGCAGTTTGAAAGTACGTCAAAGTGCAAGTAGATAAATAGGTACCACTCTGGCAGGAAGGTAAACGGCGTTTCTGTGCGCTGCTCTGGTTTGCCAGAAGCGGCTTAGTCATGCTGGCCCCATGACCCCGACGCCGGCTCCCTCGGCCAATAAAGCGAGATGAGCGCCGCAACCCCAGAGTCGGTCACGACTGGACCTAATGGTCAGGGGTCCCTTTATCTTTACCTTTAGTTTCCTATAGATTTCTGATATGCCACTCAGCAGTTAAAAGGCAACCTACTCTCAGCTTGGGAGAATGGGCCTCTAATCCACTCCTTTGACAATGATTTAATATTCCCTAATTATTCTCTCTCCCAGTTTCTGGGCCCAATTTAAAGGGCTGGTTTTGACCTATAAAGCCTTAAACAGCTCAGGGTGCAATCAATACCTTAAGGACCACCTCTCCCAACAAGAACCGCAATCATTGTCTGAGGTCCTTCTTTGTGTGCCCCCTCTACAAGAGGCTTGGAGTGTGGCAAGAAGAGAGTGAGACTTTCCTGTGGTGGTTCCCCACTTGTGGAACGCTCTCTCCTGGTACCTTCATTACATATATTTAGGCACCAGACAAAAATGTTTCTCTATAAACAGGCCTTTGGCTGATTAACAGTCTGCAGCTTTTTAAATTGTTTCAGGAGAGCTATTGGCTTGTTTTTGTTTTATTATGTATTTTGTGTTCTTGTTTTGTATCTTTATATTGTGAACCACCCTGTGATCTTCAGCTATAAAAAAATCAATCAATCAATCAATCAATCAATTAGAATAATTAGTTGTATCAGCTGCCTCTCTAGTCATATACAGCAAAGGTTAGTATCACTGTATATATGAGTCTCACTCGCCTTGTCGTGTTGAGTGGACTTGCACGTTCCTATGACCCTTGTGAGTGAAGCCGTCACGAGTCTCGTACTCCCAGCAGGGTCACCCAAGGTGGTAAGGTCAAAGGGGAGGAGCTAGAGAAAGAATGATCCTAGAAGTCCTCAACAGCAGAACAGGTGGATGATAACAAAGCGGTATGTTACGACGACTGTGAAGGCGGATGAAGACTGCAGGAGATAAGAATCTTCCGGTCATTGTGATACTCATGTCATGGCAGTGGATACAGATTCAATCGAACTCAGGAAACAAGGGAGAAACATGCTAAGAGGAAGGCACGCTTGGCAAATCCACACTGTGATCAGCTCCTGCCTGGAAACCAAGGTCCCCACTGTGGAAGGATGTGTGGATCCAGAATCGGCCTCCACAATCACTTAGGGACTCATTGTTCAAACCGTGTTTATGGAAGACAATCTGATTCGGCTACGAGGGATCGCCAAAGAAGAAGGAGGATCTATGGTACTCTTTCTGTGGGAGCATGCATTTATGAATTCTCTTCTTCAGTGCCTGGTCAGCTCAGCTGGTTAAAACATGGCACTGATAGGGCCATGGTGGCATGTTTGATCCTGATGGTGGGGCAGTGGGATCTTTCTGCCTTGCAGGGGTTGGACTGGATGATCCTGGGGGTCCCTTCCAACTCTACAGTTCGCCCTGCACAATTCATATCTGAATGGTTTCACAGTCATCTCATCTGTGCTGCGCCAGCATGGGATCTTGAGGTGCTGCCCTTGACTCCACTGGCCGGGCCTGGGTACGGGGTGCCCCTGGAGAGAATTCCCCTCCCACTTGGGAGGCTTCCGCTGGCAAGGTGGGTGTGCAGGTGAATGCGGACAGGAAGGCTGGTGATCTCTCATTGCCCTGTCCTTCTCTTCTTTATAGTTTATGATTTTCAGTTTTATACGTTTCAGTAATTTTACCATCATTTTAACATTTCAAAACTCAACGTCCTTCCCCCTTTCTGCTGTTCCTTAAATTTATTTATTTTTATGTTTTCTGCATATCCAAATGAATTAATTTGTTCATCTATTCAAGTACTTTAAATATATACAGTGGTACCTCGGGTTAAGAACTTAATTCATTCTGGAGGTCTGTTCTTAACCTGAAACTGTTCTTAACCTGAAGCACCACTTTAGCTAATGGAGCCTCCTGCTGCCGCTGCGCCGCCGGAGCACGATTTCTCTTCTCATGCTGAAGCAAAGTTCTTAACCCTAGGTAATATTTCTGGGTTAGCAGAGTCTGTAACCTGAAGTGCATGTAACCTGAAGCATATGTAACCCGAGGTACCACTGTATACTCTTATAAAACTGCAGGTTATTACAAAGTTTTTATCCATTTACAGTTTATTTGTAAATCTCCAATAAACCATTTCCATTCTTTTATAAACAGTTGGTTATCTTGCTTTCTTATTTTCCTGGTAAGTTTCGCCATTACGGCATGTTCCATAGGTTTTTGTATCCATTCTTCTTTCGCTGGGACGTATTCTTCTTCTTTCCATTTTTGGGCAAGTAACTTTCTTGCCCATCCTCACAACTGTTGGGAAAAAGAACCCCCGGGGATAAAAACATGATCAAAGACTAGTATATTTGTATTTCAAAAATTCTATATTTCTTTATTTATATATTTGGAATTGTGGGGAGGGGGGAACTGGGCGTGGGAGGGGGGGTAAGAGCTCCGCTTGAGCTGCTGGTCTCACTGCTGCCGTTGCCTGGAAGAGAAAAGAAGAGAAAGGATTCTTAATATTTTAATTGATTCTTATGCTGATAACCCATCTTTCTGCACCCTCCGCCCCACTGCCAGATTTTCTCTGGTCTCCCTGTTCCTGAGGAAGAAAGATCAACACTCACCATCCACGTTGTTATCGGTGGACTCCATCCCCTGGTCGCATGGTCTCACAAAAATTGATCTTATCTTCACCTTCTCCTCCTTTCCGTCCTTCATGATGTTGACCTCCTCCTTCCACTCATCTCCTTCCTCCTTCTGGCAGACCAGGGGATGTATCTTGGGCAACCGGCAGCAGGAGACCAGCAGCCCGCGGAGCCTCCTCAGACTTCGGAACCTAGGGAAGAAGAGGAAACAATGAGGAAATGGGTTCTAGAGATCTCTGTGCTGGATTTGGGGCTCCTGGCAGCTAAACCTCCCCTACGTTTCTAAAGGAGAAATCCTACTTACACTTTTGACGAAGAGAGTCTCTGAAGTCTCTGCCGCAACATCTCTGATCTCCTTCACTAGCTATCCTCAAATGGTTGCTCTTCCCAAAGTGCTCAGCCAAGTCACTCAGCAGGGGGACGTGTCACAATGGAGGACATGACCCTGTTACTTTAGCTATCTTGCTTAATAATGGGCATTGTTCCCCTTCACAGTCATTTTTCAAATCTATCTTTCAGTGGGTTAAGCGGTTTTATTCCATTTATCTCAAGCTGGCTTCATCCAGCCCGGTGCATTTCTGGACAGGACAGGAAACCCCTTGCACCCCCCCTTTCAACATGGCAGGGTCACCAAGGGAAAGCACTTCTGGCCTAGACTACGGCTGCTGTTTCTCACTTCATAGTTCAAATAACCCCTCTCCACACCCTGTAGTAATCTGTCCAGTATTACGTTTCAGTGTACCCCAAGCTCTACATTTGATTCTTGGCTATTAAAAACTGGTTAAAACCATTTTATTTCATTCACGAAAGAAAACCTGACATGGGATTCTGATCAAGGTTTATAGACAATGGGTGAGACATTTATTGATCCTTTTTGTAAGTTATTATTTGTCTACTTTAATGTCTTATTTATATATAGTAATCAAGAAGGGGTTGGGGTGGGAAGCAGTTTTGAATATGAAACTGGTGGGTGGCTGTCATGAGTTCCGATCCATTTCATAGAATCATGGAATCTTAGAGTTGGAAGGGAGCCAGGGGTCATCTAGTCCAACCCCCTGCAATGCAGGAATTTCAGCGACAGCATCCGTGACCGATGGCCACGGGAGGCCAAGGGAGTCTGTTTGACTGCCAAACCGCTCTTACTGTCAGAAAGGTTTTCACGAATGTTTAGTCGGAATCTCCTTTCTTTGAACTTGAAGCCATCTGTTCGAGTCCTCCTGTCCAGAGCAGGATAAAACAAGCATCCTCCCTCTTCCATGTGACAGGCCTTAAAATAGCTGAAGATCTCCTCTCAGTCTCCTCTTTTTCAGGCTAAACATACCCAGCTCCTTCAAGCATTCATCGTAAGGCTTCGTTTCCAGACCCTCAATCATCTTGGTCACCCTCCTCTGCACATGGTCCAGCTTGTCAGCATCCTTCTTAAACTGTGGTGCCCAGAACTGGACACAGTATTCCAAGTGTGGTCTGACCAAGGCAGAATCGAGTGGTACTATTACCTCCCTTGATCTGGACACTAGACGTCTGCTGAGGCAGCCTAGAATAGTGTTAGCTTTCTTTTGCTGCTGCATCACGCTGTTGACTCCTGTTAAGCTTTTGGTCCACCAAGACCCTTAGATCTTTTCCTCCTATGCTGCTAGAAAGCCAGGTGTCCCCCATCCCATCTTAGTGAATCTGGTTCTTGCTGCCTAAGTGCAGAACCTGACATGACTCCCTATTGAAATTCATTTTGTTCGCTTGCGCCCAGTGCTCCAATCTGTTCATGTCATTTAGAATTCAGATTCTGTCTTCTGCAACATGAGCTACCCCTCCCATTTGGGTGTCATCTGCCAATTCGATGAGCATCCCCTCAATTCCATCATCCAAGTCATTGATAAAGCCATTGAACAACAAGGGGCCCAGGACAGAGCCTGGCAGCACCCCTCTAGTCACTTTTCCCCAGGAGGACAAGGAACCATTCATCATGTCCCGGTGGTGGGCGACATTTGCAGCCTGGCGCATTGCACCACCATCTCGGAGCCACACTGCTCCCGTGGCTGTTGCTGTGCCTCCTGGGGTCACGGCCTCCGAGTTCCCGCCGGAACCCAGCTGTTTGAATCGGCCAATCTGCAACGGTCCGGGGGGCGGAGCTAGGAGGAGCGGACCTTACCAATGCAGGCTTCCCTCTGGTCCGCTCCTCAGATTTTAAGGAGGCCAGAGGCCTCTGGGCTAATCTACTTTGCATCAGTATATGGGGGGCTGGGCTAGATGACCCAGGGCCCCTTCTAAGCCTGTTTTCAGTAACACGAGGAAAGGATCCTGTTCATTAGTTATTAATTAGGCATGCGGTCATAGGCATGCGTGCACATGCGGGGTTACAATGCATGGCTAGTTCGCATGTGATCTATGGTCCCACTCGCTGGATCATCGCCTTGTTGTGGTGAGTGGGCTTGCATGTTCCTATGACCCTTGTGAGTGAAACTGTCGGGAATCTCGTACTCCCAGCAGGGTCACCCAAGGCAGTAAGGTCAAAGGGAAGGAGCTAGAGAAAGAATGATCCAAGAAGTCCTCAACGGCAGAACAGGCGGCTGATAACAAGCGGTATGTTACAACAGCTGTGAAGGTGGATGAAGGCTGCAGCAGATAGGAATCTACCAGTTTGTTGTGACTACTTCATGCCATCGGAACACAGCCCTACTGTGAAGACTGTGCGTTGGTCAGCGTGCACTGATCTACACACATAAAACAAATTCACACACAGGCGACTTCCAAAACCCCAATCCAACCCCCCCCAAAGTCCCATTGCGATTGGCAAATGGTAATGGGGGCAGGATCGTGAAATCAGGAAGCCCCTAGTCATGAACTGGCACATGGGCGGTGGATGCAGATTCAGTCGTTCTGACTCCAGGAACGAGGCAGTTGAGCAGCTCGGCAGCTGTATCCATGACTGAGCAGCCCTTTTTAGGATCCACTCTGCTCACCCCGAAAAGAGGGAGGGGCTAGAAAAGGTGCCTTAAACATAGTCTGCCTCCCTTTTCCCCTGACTGGATTACCACACCCAGTGAGGTCACCACCTAGTGGTCGTAAAAGACAATTGAACTTTGGAACATGGAATATACGGACTTTGTCAGATAAAACAGATAAGCGAGCATCCTGAATGCAGAACTGCCATCATTGCAAGAGAGCTGTGACGTTTTAACATCAATATTGCAGCGCTTCAAGAGACTCAAAGAGCAGGCGAGGGACAACTGAAGGAAGAAAAAGGAGGCTACACTTTCTTCTGGACAGGTCTATCTGAACAAGAACATCGAATACATGGGGTAGGCTTTGCTATCAAAAACGATCTTGTGAAGCTCCTGTCAGAAGTCCCTGCCAGCATAAATGAGCAACTCTCAACCCTTCGAATAAAACTCACCAAAAAACAACAGGCTACTATTATAAGCGCTCATGCACCAACACTGGATGCCGATGAAGGCATTAAAGAAAAATTTTACTCTCAGCTGGATACCATCCTATCAGAAGATAAAATGATTCTCCTGGATGCAAGAGTTGGGCGAGATTTCTATCTGTGGCCTGGGACTATTGGGAAAGAAGGAATTGGCAACAGCAACCAGAACGGAATCTTACTTTTGACGATATGTGCAGCGCACAACCTTGTTATTACCAACACACTCTTTTGACAGAAAAATAAATTTAAAACTTCATGGAGGTATCCTCAGTCAAACCACTGGCACCTCTTAGACTATGTTATTGTCCGTGCTAAAGATCACCGTGATGTCCTCCTCACCAGAGCTATGACGAGCGCCGACAACTGCTGGACAGATCACTCACTAATACGCTCCACGATGGCTATCAAGATTATACCTCAATGCAAGCTTCAAGGAAGGAAACCAAGGCGCAAAACGAACACTCAAGCCCTTCAAGATCCAATTAAGCGGGATTGCTTCCAAACGACTCTTAAGGACCATCTGCTTTTGGAGTTCTCTGATAAAATCGAGGAACACAGGACCAAGATAAAAACATCCATTATTGCAGCCTGTGAACAAACTATTGGATACCAAACCAAGAAACACCAGGACTGGTTTGATGAGAATGACAGTGAGATTGAGTGCGTGATTGACAAGAAAAGGAAGGCCTTTCAGATCTGGCAAAGAGATAGAAACTGTGCCACTAAGAAAAAAACCTATGCCAACGCTGAAGCTGAGGTTCAAAGAAGAACCAGAGAACTAAAAAACACCTGGATCAAGAGATCAAGCTCAAGAGATCCAGCACTTAGCCGACACTCATGATGCACAGAGTTTCTTTAAAGCCACAAAGACCATGTGGACAGGCTGCTTGGACAAGTGAAACCGACCACCTGTCTCCTTGATCCTTGCCCATCCTGGCTGATAAAAGCGAGCCGGGAAGGGCTGGGCAATGGGCTCAGCGGGGTGGTGAATGCTTCCCTCCGTGAGGGAGCCTTCCCAGACCTGCTGAAAGAGGCGGTCATTAAACAGCTTCTTAAAAAAACATCTTTAGACCCGGCCAATATGGCCAACTATCACCCAGTCTCAAATCTTCCATTCTTGGGCAAGGTGACTGAGTGAGTGGTTGCTGAACAACTCCAAGCACGCCTGGAGGATGTGGACCATTTGGATCCCTTCCAATCGGGATTCAGGCCTCATCATGGGACTGAAACTGCCTTGGTCACGCTGGTCGATGATCTCCGGCGGTCTAGGGACAAAGGTGAGAGTTGTTTCCTAGTTCTACTGGATCTCTCAGCGGCCTTTGACACCATCGACCATAACATCCTTCTGGACCATCTAGAGGGGCTGGGAGCTGGGGGCACTGTTATACAGTGGTTCCGCTCCTTCCTCCTGGGCCATGTTCAGAAAGTGGGGGGGGGGATGAGTGTTCAGCCCCTGGCCTCTTACTTGTGGGGTGCCTCAGGGCTCTGTCCTTTCCCCCATGCTTTTCAACATCTACATGCAGCCACAGGGAGAGATCAGCAGGGGGTTTGGGCTGGGTGTTCATCAGTATGCGGATGATACCCAGCTCTACCTCTATTTTAAATCAGAACCAGTGAAGGCGGTGAAGGTCCTGTGTGAGTGTCTGGAGGCGGTTGGAGGATGGATGACGGCTAACAGATTGAGATTGAATCCTGACAAGACAGAAGTACTGTTTTTGGGGGACAGGAGGCGGGCAGGTGTGGAGGATTCCCTGGTCCTGAATGGGGTAACTGTGCCCCTGAAGGACCAGGTGCGCAGCCTGGGAGTCATTTTGGACTCACAGCTGTCCATGGAGGCACAGGTCAAATCCGTGTCCAGGACAGCTGTTTACCAGCTCCATCTGGTACGCAGGCTGAGACCCTCCCTGCCTGCAGACTGTCTCGCCAGAGTGGTGCATGCTCTAGTTATCTCCCGCTTGGACTACTGCAATGCGCTCTATGTGAGGCTACCTTTGAAGGTGGCCCGGAAACTGCAATTAATCCAGAATGCAGCAGCTAGACTGGTGACTGGGAATGGCTGCCGGGACCACATACTACCGGTCCTGAGAGATCTGCATTGGCTCCCAGTACGTTTCCGAGCACAATTCAAAGTGTTGGTGCTGATCTTTAAAGCCCTAAATGGCCTCGGTCCTGTATACCTGAAGGAGTGTCTCCAACCCCTTCGTTTAGTCCGGACACTGAGATCCAGCGCCGAGGGCCTTCTGGCAGTTCCCTCATTGCGAGAAGTGAGGTTACAGGGAACCAGACAGAGGGCCTTCTCGGTAGTGGTGCCCACCCTGTGGAATGCCCTCCCATCAGATGTGAAGGAAATAAGCAGCTATCTTATCTTTAAAAGACATCTGAAGGCAGCCCTGTTTGGGGAAGTTTTTAATATTTAATGCTGTATTGTTTTTAACACTCGATTGGGAGCTGCCCAGAGTGGCTGGGGAAACTCAGCCAGATGGGCGGGGTAAGGTAAAGGTAAAGGTACCCCTGCCCGTATGGGCCAGTCGTGTCCGACTCTAGGGTTGCGCGCTCATCTCACTTAAGAGGCCGTGAGCCGGCGCCGTCCAAAGACACTTCCGGGTCACGTGGGCAGCGTGACAAAGCTGCAGCTGGCGAGCCAGCACCAGCGTCGCACACGGAAATGCCGTTTACCTTCCCGCTATAAAGCGGTACCTATTTATCTACTTGCACTTGGGGTGCTTTCGAACTGCTAGGTAGGCAGGAGCTGGGACGGGACGACGGGAGCTCACCCCGCCACGGGGATTTGAACCGCCGACCTTACGATCAGCAAGTCCTAGGCACTGAGGTTTTACCCACAGCGCCATCTGCGTCCCTAATAAATCATCATCATCATCATCATCATCATCTATGGGCCAATAAGCAAACGGTATCACACTATTAAGATAAAGAAGCTATTGCACTGCCCTGGAAAGAACATTACCAACATCTCCTTAACTGCAACTCCCCCGTAGCTGCTGAGGTCCTCTCACAAATTCTGCAAAAACAGGTTAGAGATTAGCTTGCAGTATCTCCAAATCAGTGGACCTGATGGGATACCTGCCGAAATCTTCAAAGTGGGCAGAATTGGACTTACACAACAACTTCACAAGCTCATCAAAAAAATATGGGAAAGAGAAGAGATCCCAGCAGACTTTAGAGATGCCAAAATTATCAATCTCTTTAAAAAAGGTGACAGAACTGATTGTGGAAACCATCAAGGCATCTCATCGAGGCAGCTAATAAGCTGCGGCCGGCAAAATTCTTGCAAGGATCTTAGCAAAACATCTCTTAACAATATCCGAGGTGACCCTTCCTGAATCCCAAAATGGTTTTTGGCCTTCTAGGGAGACAGAGACATGATTTTCACCACTCAACAGCTTCAAGAAAAATGCAGAGAGCAAAACCAACCCCTGTATATGGTGTTTATTGACCTGACTAAGGCTTTCGACACTGTAAATCTTAATGCCCTGTGGACTGTCCTTCTGAAAATTGGCTGCCCAGATAAAAGTTGTAAATATCATTCGGCTCCTCCATGATAATATGACATCAACAATCGCAGATAACAATGGCTCTCAAAGTGAACCATTCAGTGGGATCAGGTGTTAAACAGAACTGTGTTCTTGCCCCAACTCTATTCATTATTTTCATTGCCATGATCTTACACTTTGTCGAAGGGAAACTCCCCACCAGAGTAGAAATCATATATCGAACAGGTGGAAAGCTCTTCAATCTGAGCAGGCTGAAAGCAAAGAGTAAGGTTACTGTAACTTTCACCATAGAGCTTCAGTATGCTGATGACAACGTAGTGTGCGCACACTTAGAAGATGACCTCTGAACTATCCTAAATATATTCGCAGAAGCTTACGAAAAGCTTGGCCCATCGCTCAGTATCCAAAAAAACCAACGTGCTGCACCAACAAGTACAAAACAACCCCTCTGCAGTGCCACAAATCCAACTCAACGGTATAACATTGGAAAGTGTCAATCACTTCTCCTACCTGGGCAGTTATCTTTATACAAGGGTCGACACTGATGCCAAAATCCAGCATCGCCTGAGCTCTGCGAGTGCGGCTTTCTCCCAACTGAAGTGCAGAGTGTTTGAGGATTGGGACATTCGCAGGGAAATCAAAATGCTTGTTTACAAAGCTATTGTACTACCAACCTTACTGTATGCTTGTGCAACATGGACCACTTATACATGCCATCTCCAACTCCTTTAAAGATTCCATCAACGGTGTCTCTGAAAATTTTTACATATCATTTGGGAACAAGGGTGAACTAATGTCAGTGTGCTGGAAGAAGCAAAGATCACCAATGTCGAAGCAATGATTCTTCAACATCCATCTTTGTTGGACTGGTCATGTTGTGCGGATGCTAATTGTTGTCTTCCAGAGCAACTACACTATTCCAAACTTAAAAATGGAACGCATAATGCTGGCGGGCAACAAAAGAGGTTTAAAGACTCTCTCAAGGCAAATCTTAAAAAATGTAGCATAAACACGGACAACTGGGAAACACTGGCCTTTGAGTGCTCCAATTGGAGAACAGCCTTTACCAAAGGTGTCGTGGACTTTGAAGACACTCAAACTCAGGACGAAAGGCAGAAGTGTGCAAGAGGAAGGCAAACTCTCACCATGATCAACTCCTGCTAGGAAACCTATGCCTCCACTGTGGAAGGACGTGTGGATCCAGAATTGGCCTCTACAGTCACTTACTGTCTCACTCTTAAGACCGTGTTCGTGGAAGACAATCTTACTCGGCTACGAGTGGTTGCCAAAGATATATGAGTGCAAATGAAAGTCCATAATCTTTAAATTCAATCTGTGTAAATGGTGCAATCAGTACTTTACAGTCAGAATCTCAGCTGCCTTGATGTATACAGAAGAATGTGAGGAATGTCTCTGTGGTAGGGATGTTGTCAGTGCCTTTCTGGAAGGATTAAAGCTTTATGCATTGGTATTACACGAAAATCCCTTGGAACGGGACCACCAGTTCATACTCTCTCAGGAAGCAGCAGCTAATGCAGTATCAAAGATACTTTAGGCTAGAAATATTAGTGAGCTGAAAGGACATGTCTCGTTAAAGAAAAAAGGTAGAAGGGGAATTCACTCCTGTGCTGGATTACCTTCCACCTAAAGGGGTTGCTAGAGCATGGAAATCATCTTTTGAGACAAGATGCTCTCCAAACTTCCTCCAAAGCAAGATCCCTAGGTAATATATTTGGCAAGAATTGGATAATATTTAAAATAACTGGCATATTCAAAGGCTTCACAAAGGAGATTTGCTAAACTTTAAACACTGAACAGTGCAGATCTGTGATTCTCCATTTTTATCTGAATGAATAGGTTTATTGTCACCGTTTACAATTTTTTACTTCTATTGTTATTTATTAAAATAATGTTTCCCTTAGGCTTCTAGAGTGATAAAAGGCTTTTACATGACACAGAAGGAAAAAGGAATTGAGAATGAGGAAAAAATAGAAGTGTTATTAGATGCAGACTTCTGTAATGTCCAGCTGCAATGGAAACAGATTCAAGGAGAGAATGAACTGAACTGGTGGCATCTCTGCTGAGCCATTGGAGAGTCTAGCCTCATCGTTTTCTCTGCTATTGCCTGATGGAGAATGGCTCCTTCCCGATGACACTTGAGGGAGGAACTTCTTGGAGCTGGTGTCTCCACAGACTCAGTGGAAAGGCCCTGCAGCCCCATCTCTTCCTCTGCTATAGTTTGATGGAATGGTTGTCCCCAAACACATAGTGGCAATGCTTACAAAAATCAGTATATGGAAAAGAGTTTTGAAAGCATGGTAGCCTCTCATTTTGTCACAGTCAAAAGCTCCTTATGCACTTAGTTAATGACTATGACAACCTTAGGGTCATTAATTGCAATGGGTCTACTCTGAGTAGGACTGGCATTGGATACAACCCTTTGTCTTGAGAGGCTTCATTCTTATAGGATATGAGAGCATATTCACCCTGCTCATGGTAGGCAGTTTGCTCCATGTTTCAGCAAACACAAAATGATGATGGTAATAATCCTAATCCTAATCCTAACAATAATTTTATTGTTTTATTCCACCTGACTGGGTTGCCCGAGCCACTCTGGGCAGCTCCCAACAGACGATTACATGTTCAAAAGGCATGCTGACCCACATAAGGGGTGCACATGCATGAAAGTCTGCTTCCATGCATAGACAGGGAACACGCAAACTGGCAGGGGGTGTTTAATGTCTCGCACTGATCCAGCTATTAGGCTTGTGTGTAGCTCAAGTGAAGAAGACAAAACTCTGGCGATGCCAATTAGCTGTTTGAGGGTGGATGGCTGAATTTAGGCTCTGCTCGCACTTCTGTTTACTGTACACACACTGCATTTCCAGTGCTGACTTTTTAATCTTTGTTCACACCACGTTATCCAAAATACATACGTATCCTGTACTTTGTGATAAAATGCTACTGTTTGGTGCATTTTCCCTCAAACAAGCTTCACAATGATTAGCCATTCCACACTGTGAACACCTTTGCATAATGTGCAGACACTCCCATCCCAGCAACACCTCTGGTGGTGTACACAAAACAGAAATGAATCTGACACTAAGGAAGCCTTTGCGGATGTGAATAGCTAGAGGGGAAAGAGCTGTGAAACACACCTGGGGGGAAACAACTGAGCTCTAAGGTGGCAATGTGAGTTTCCCTCACCTGTTGCCAACTATCTGACCTGTGCTGTTGTCATGTCTTGATGGTTTTGGACCAAAATGTGAGTGACCGATCTATGTCCTTAAATGCCTGGAACCGCTAATTGTAACTCCCAGGTGCATGCATGTGGGTGCTCATGGAAACGCTGCTGTTTATATGTTTGCTGAAGGAAACACCAGTGTAACAAATATATACCTGCAGCAATCATAGTTCCCTCAGAAACTGTAGAGCTGCCAGTATTCACCAACCATTAGCTAAAATCTCTCTAGTATTTTGCAACCATCTGCACTTGTAATCTTCTAAAATTTAGTAATAAAAAATACTTAAAAGTAGGCATGCAAACCTATGCCATATATTTAGCAGTGATCTGTCATTTCATCTATGATTTAATTTAGTGTCAGCTGGAAGTTTTGCATCCTGTGACATAGTTGAAAGGAGCTGACAAATTGCCTTTAGTTCCCACATCAATTTGTACCTCAGCAATTCTTGGTTGAACAAAGACATGTATAGAAATGTGCTTGCCTTTCCGACCCACCCTGCCTTCTTTAAAAGGCAACCAGGCCTTGCACAAGAGCAAGCCTATCTTTGTTTGCATTCCTGAATCTCAAAAAGGCCTGGGGAGATCCCATGGTGATAACAGTCTCATTCTTAGGGACAATAAATCACAGCTGGTCCCTAGCCATGTCTGGCAGAACTGATCCATGACAGCACTGAGAATGACATGATTCAGACCAGAGCATGACCAGGAAGTTGAACAGATCAGGGATTACGGGAAAAGGGTTTGCGTAAAAAAGTGAAGTGTGGATGCAACAAATGGGTGTTTGGAAGCACTTGGATCAAGCCAGTCTTCTAGTCAGAGAACAAAAACTGGCTGAGGTTCCCTGACAAATGTACACTCTGATGCCGCAAACTTTGACTTTTTTCCTGAGCAGCATGTGGAATTTCCCTTATTCCTCAACCTAGCCGAAATTAAGTCTCCAAGGCTGCAATTGTCTACACGAGAGCAGGCCCCGTTCAACTCAGTGGGACTTGGGTTGACATGTATAGGATTGCATTCTAAGTACAGTACAGGGAGTTGTATTTCTTCATTATCATTCCTTGTTTTCTTGGACCTTTCACTCTATTCCACCCCCTTTCCTTTCTTCTGTATCTCCCCTACAGCCGAAATTCAGATAGTACCCTACTGGTGGCAGGCATCCGTTTTGTTTTCCAATATATGATGGTGTTCTGTAAGTGAAACTAGTATGTTGCAATTAATATAAATAATAGTGCTGTATGAAATAGTGCTGTATGGCTATAAAGGGAATATAGTGATTCTGGCCATATGCTTCTGATCGTTACTATGAATTATAAAATAATATGTAACACATAATAATGTGCAGTTAAAGTAATGTTTTTATTTTCAGATGCCTCATTACTTCATATCTTAGAAGTCTACTCCTAAAGTACTGAGAAGTTAATTGCAGGAAATAGCTCAGATGGATTTGAAAGCAGCTTAATCCTTCTGGATTGCTGGAGGTTTTGACTTTTATTGAGTATAAAACTTATTTAAAATCACATTAAAGCCCCTTCATAGAAGCTTCTTGAAACCGTACACACATAGTTAGTCTCTTTCTTAAACAGTGAGTAGTATTCTATTGAAAGTGGCTGAGGTAAAAAGCAAACAATACAGGGAGCCAACAAAGAAACATATTTATTCTGGTCCAGCAGAAAATACTCTGGTCCAGAACTAGGCCTACTAGCAGATGGATGGAAACAGTGCCATTTGACTATCTTCAATGCAGGCTGAATTCAGTCCCAGAATCGTCAAACCTCTCAAGAATCTCTAGCAAATCAAAGAATGTATTATATGTAGTACACATGGATGAGAAATACAAAGCACTCACGGCACATGAAAGAAAAATGCATCTCCCAGAATAAAAATACAACAAAAAGTCCTAATTGGTAGTTATTAGCATATAATAATCAATATGGAAATAGGAGGGGGTAGAAACCTGTTTACATGACATTAGTCAAGTGGGTATCATTTCCTAAGTGATGCAATTTAACGATTTATCTCAGGTGGATTTATCAATGGGCTGACATGTTTAAAACATGATTGGAGACCCTTAGCTGTATCTTTCTGGCCCCAACCTTTTGTCTGTCTCACGCAAGTCAGTGGGACTCGCTTCTCCCCTCCATCTGCTTCCATTACAAGCATTTTACTTTGGTGGCGCACCAAACCTAGCATGTGCTAGCGCTCAGCCACTGGATCTGTTTCACTATTGGGTGCAGCTTGGAATATAAAGAGCATTCGAGAAGAGGAATGGTGAGCAATACCTTTCGCTCACCTCTGAATAAAAACCTAGGAAGGCCTGTGTTGCACATCTGGAGGCCTGTCTAGCCCAGCCTTGTTTCCCCAGCAGCCAAGCAGGTGCCCATGGGGAGCCCTCAAGCAGGGCATGATCCCACAGCACTCTCCCCACTTGTAATCCTCAGCGACTGGTATCCAAGCACACAGTGCCTCTGATACTGGAAGTAATATGTAACCCTTATGCCTGGTGGTTTATTCATAGCCTAATCCACACTGGTGGCTACAATTGCATCTTATGGCAGCAAATCCGTAGTTTAACTCTGCCCTGTGTGAAGAACTTCATTTTGTCCTGAGCCTCCCACCTTCCGGTTTCATGGGGTGACCTCAGGTTCCAGTAGAATCATAGAATCGTAGAGGGGGAAAGGGACCCCAAGGGGTCATCTAGTCCAACCCCCTGCAATGCAGGAATCTCAACCTCTGCTTAAAGCCTCCAAGGAAGGAGCGTCCACCACCCGCCTCTCGTGGGAGCCTGTTCCACTGTCAAATGGCTCTTACCATCAGAAAATTATTCCCAATTTTTAGTTGGAATCTCCTTTCTTGTAACTTCAAGCCATTGGTTTGGGTCCTACCCTCTGGAGCGGAAGAAAACAAGCTTGCTCCATCTTCCATGTGACAGCCCTTAAGGTATCCATCTCCTCTCAGTCTCCTCTTTTCCAGGCTAAACGTACCCAGCGCCTTCAGCCATTGCGCATAAGCCTTGGTCTCCAGACCTGTCTCCCTGTCTACTTTCTCAACACCAGACATAACTTTATGCACCTACATGTTCCTAAATTACATGGTCAGGAGAAAAAGGCACTCTACATATGCCCAGAGACCTGAGGAAGAGCAGCGCTTTCACGCAGCAACCATCAAGCAGCCCCTTTTCTTCTGAGAAACTAACCTCACCCCGATTCGACTCTCCCCTCGGCGGGGCAACGCCTTGGGCAGCCCGGAGCCCTTGCTCCGGTTTGTGGCGAGGAGGAAAGAGGAATTGAATGGCTTTCAGTGACTCGCCGTGCCCCTTCTAACCCGAAAGGCAGAAATTCTCACGGCGGCCTGACCCGCCGCGCGCGCCTCTTTATTTCGCCAGGAAAGCGGACTCTGCAAAGCCCGGCAGAAAGGCCCTTGCAAGGCGGCGGCCGGTTTATTTCCCAGCAAAAATCGGGGGGGGGGGGCGGAGGAGGGAAAGAAGCGGATTAAAACTTCGCTCTGGGAAAGCTTTGGGTGAACTGCGAGAAGTTTGTGGGGCGTTTTTTTTGCGCTTTCCAATCCTGCAGGAAGTTCGGGCTTTGCAGCCTCCCCCTCCTTCCCCCCCCCCCCCGGCCAAGCATTCCAAGCGGGACCCGCGCAGCCCCCTCCCCGTCCCGGCGTGCAGCGCGAGCGAGCGAGCCAGCGAGAGAGGAGGGCGGAGGGAGGGCGGAGGGCGGGCGTGGGGTGCGCGTCGCCTGCCAAGTCTCTGCCGGCGCCTCCCGGGGCTCCTCCTCCTCCTCCTCCTCCTCCTCCTCTGGCTCCCGGCCGGGCCGTCCGCTTTCGGTGCGCGGCTGCGAGGGCGCGAGCGAGGGCCGTGGGTTTTGCGAGCGAGCGGGATGGAGCGCGGTCCGGGGCGGGCGCTGCTGGGGCTGCTGGGGCTGCTGGGTCTGCTGGCGAGGCTGGGCGGCGGCGCCATGGACGAGTGCGCGGACGAGGCGAGCGCGCGGGCGCAGCGCTGCATGCCCGAGTTCGTCAACGCCGCCTTCAACGCCACGGTGGCGGCCACCGACACGTGCGGCAGCCCGGCCGAGGAGTACTGCGTGCAGACGGGCGTCACCGGGGTCACCAAGTCGTGCCACCTGTGCGACGCGCAGCAGCCTCACCTCAGCCACGGCGCCGCCTTCCTCACCGACTACAACAACCAGGCCGACACCACCTGGTGGCAGAGCCGCACCATGCTGGCCGGCGTCCAGTACCCCAACACCGTCAACCTCACCCTGCACCTCGGTGAGTGGGGGCTGGGGGGCCTCGGGGCAGCCACCTTGCTCGAGGGAAGCGTCCAGCGCCGGCGGGCGGGCGGGTCGGGCTCCATCCGTTGTAGTAGCTTTTCGAAGCTTGCTGCCGGAGTGGGCAGGCGGTGGCTGCAGCCTGCGGTTTATGCCTCAGAGCAGAGCTTTCCAAACTCGAGTCTTCAGCTGTTTGGGGACTACAACTCCCATCATCCCTAGCTAGCAAGACTGTGGTTAGGGATGAAGGGAATTGTAGCCCAAAAGCAGCTGCAGACCCAAGTTTGGGAAACTGGTTTAGAAGTACTGTCTCCAAAATAGGAGATTCTGTTTCCTTATTAAGGCTGATTGCGGTTGATAGTTCTGCCTCCTGCAGATTTGTTTAAACACACACACGTGTTGTCACTGATAAGGACTACCATTGCATCTTTGGCAGGGCAAGGTATGTCCTTGCCTGGGAGTGTTGCTTGCCAAGTCCAGATTCCCAGAGCGATTATTCAGCACACAGGGAGAAGTTGCTTTGTGGATGCTCTCAGCACATTGTATAGCGTGGAAATAAGTTTCCGGGCGAGGCCTCGACAAAGACTTGGGTGTCCCCTGTAGTTTGCAGAGGGGGGGGGGATACCTCCTTTTGCTCTGCCTCTCCCATTGGGGAGATGAGAGGATTCCTGAGGTCTGGGGCAGAGCTCAGGGGGGCATGTTTCCCATGCTGGGGTTCAAGTGAAGGAACATGCACACTCATAGTCAAGAACATGTGCAGAGTGCCTTTACCACATTTGGCCCTTGTGAGAATCCTCCCTCCTGACCAGAGGGCAAGTCTGTTAGGTGTTACTTGCTTCTGAACTTTCATTGCTGACATTATTTCGTGTAGCCAGACACATTGCCTCTCCTCCCTTGCTTAATAACTTAGCTCCATCGCCTCCCTCCCCGCAAGTCAAACTGTTGGATTTCTAACAAATAAGGGTCGTGCTGCAGTTGTACTGTCTACAGTCCTGTGCAGACATTGTTTTATTTGGTGTACTCTTTAAACTGAATCTGTTGGAGCTAAGTGGGTGTTCATGCTGCAGCAACTTGCTATGATTTTAATTTGTTGTAGTGACATTCTCTCTCCCATTCCCCAAGCTCCCCAAGTTTTATTTTTTTTATTTATTGAACTTGAGTTAATTGTATAGACTGCTGGTTGGGTATTGTTCTCCACTGTTTTTTTAAAAACCTCCCGCTGCAGGTGTACAGCAGCCGGTACAGCCCAAAGTGTCCCCATACTGTAGAAATGTTCGATATTCTACTAAGTTTTGTATATGCTGTAAGCTGCCCAGAGTGGCTGGGGAGACCCAGCCAGATGGGCGGGGAATAAATAATAAAAAATACTATTTTTAAGGAAGCACTGAAACAGCAGCCTCTCCCCCCTGGTTAAGAGAGGCATCTGGGCATGTCTTAACTCGTTTTGTCCATTGGAAGAGATTACTGGTGTAAATGGTAGCATTAGTCATTGTCAGGCCTGGACAGTAATGGAACGATTGCCCAATATCAGCAGCTGGCCTCTCTCCTTTATCGGATAAGGCACATGCGTCGTGCACCTAAGGCTCAAGGCAGATATCAACACTGTACTTTCTTTGCATTCATCTTCACACCAATAAGAGGTGAGTTGCATTCTCCTCTGTTTTTACAAATGAGGAGCAGAGTTGAGTGTGAGAGATGGCAATGAAGTTTGCTGACCTGCATCTTGCCTTCCAAATCTTAGGCAACTGGTCTACCCACTACTAGTCTCCAATTATTACTCTCCTAGCATTGGATTACCATTGTTTCTTGGGTTGGACTACAACTCCCATCATCCATGGTCACTGGTATTTCTAGCTAGGGATTATGGTAGTTGTAGTAGTCCAGCAACAGCTGCAGTCCCAAGTTTGAGAAACACTGGATTCGATAAAGGGCATGTGGGAATCTTGTCTTTGCAGCTGTGGTGACGCAGCTTCAGCCTAGCCTGTCACTCCCTTCCTTTTGTCACATACTCATTTCAAACGGACATTCTTCTTGTATCCTACAGTGGCTTGGTGTTCTCTCCCCCCCCCCATGGCATATCTAAGAACATAGGAGCTTGCATGAGTTGCATCCTCATGCACATTTAATGTGTTTCAAAGCTTTTCAGGAGCACCAGTACATTGAAGAAAAGGGACGTTCCATGAACTGCTATGAGCTTAATATTCAGTATGGTGAGAGCAGAGAGGTGGTGTCAAATGAGAGTGCAACATTTTCAGCCCACTTCCATGCATGTTTTCTCAGAAGTTATGTTCATTGCGCTGGGTGGAAGTGTGGTCCATCACAACAGCGTTCCTGACTTATTTGAAGTTTGAGGGGTGCAACCTAAGCAAACTTAATACCAGTCTGTTCCCTGAATCTTGCAAAACCTTCTCTGCTTACAGACAGGGTGCTGGCGGGGAGAGGAGTCTTTAAAGTTCGCATCACCTGCTTTTTATCCTTTTCTGCTTAGGGGAACACCTGCAGGCAAGGTTCTTTTGCCACCTGCTTGCATTTATGGCTAATTGGAACTTTGTGCCTGAACTGGCATGGTAGATTTCCTTGACTAGACAAGAAACTTCATTACCTGCTTCCTTTCATGATCATCCATTACCAATTTCTTGCATGTCTGGCCTCAGTGCTTTATTCTTAGAGCAGATTTCATCACTTTTCAGGTTGTTTTCTATAATGTAATAATTTCCTCCTGCTGCTGCTTCCTGTACTAGTGGAACTGAGCATTTTCCTTTTTCCATACAAGGACTACCCTTTCCTCTCCTTATCCTTCCTGTCCCAGCCCTTTATAAATGTGGAATGAATTTTTTCCAGGCTCCTGGGAGGCCAGAGGTACATTGCTGGAACAACTCTTGGGTTGGGGCAACTGGCTAAAATGTTTTAAACCGTTTTAATTTTGGTTCCTCTGTTTTGTTTTTGTTGGGTTGGGGTTGGTGGTTATTTTAATTTGACTATAACTGTAAACTGTTTTTAATTATTATTGATTTATAGTGTGTATAAGATATTTTGTTTTTTAATGTTTGAAGTTTTATTATGTTTTTATATATACTAAGCCACCCAGAGTGGCTGGGGAAACCCAGCCAGATGGGCGGGATATAAATAATAATAAAAAAAATTATTATTATTTTCTTATCCTTCTGCTTAATCCCTCCCAATCTTCTCATTTACTTGTGTTGGTGCCAGCAAGGATCATCTTCACCTTCATACTTCCTCTTCCAGGGGAGAAGCGGTTTGGTTGTTAGACTTAGGTTTTTTCAGGTTAAATATTGACTGACTTGGTCCACTTGACAGGCTAGTGCATAATGAATGTAGGAAAATTAAAACAACGGCTTCCCAAAGTGGAAAAGGGGGAGTGAGGAATGTGCACAGTATAGAGTTCCATGTTGCCTTCCATATATCTGGGGTCTTTGAATAAACACTTCAAAGGAGTGTTCTGTCTCAGGGTTAAATTGTTGCTTTGTGGTGGTCAAACATAATTTAAATAGGTCACAAAGCAGTTTCACAGTTAAATCTCATCACACGCAATGCAAAAAGGAAATGGGCTGTCTCCAAGTGGTAATAAATTGTAGGAGGCTGATTTCGGCAACATTTTAGCAGGTTATTCCTCACTGGATTTGGCTTTTCTTTGGTTTGCTTTGAACAATGTGTGTGGTGGAGCTGGGATTTTGAAGCCTGAATGCAAACTTAAAAGAAAAAATGAGCTGGTATCTGTAATGACAAAGTAATTCATGGGGAAAGCTTTTGACACTTTCTGGCTGCAAACAATTGAGTGTTTGCACACCTGTGATGCAGTAAGTGTAAATTTGGAGGGGGTTTTTTGTATAACACAGTAAATGACTAAGTGCAGGAATGAATGAATAATGTGCTTCTTCAGCATTTCCTTTGTAGATATATACTTTTTTTGTCTAGGCATTTGGAGCAAATGCTTCAGGTTTGGGAAAAGAATGTGTGAGCATCTGCTGTGATTGTAAAACAGAAAAATGCTGAAGCTGGGTGATGTGTCACAGCGGAGGAGCTTGTCTTGTT